TGTTTGTAATATTGAAATAACCGTTTTTTACTACTTGCATATGAATATAAATACGGTACATACACCAAAATAACATATTTTACAATTTTTGTCTGTCTGTCTGTTTGTTCCGGCTAATCTCTGAAATGGCTGGACCGATTTTGACGGGACTTTTTTTTGGCAGGTAGCTGATGTAATAAGGAGTAACTTAGGCTACTTTTATTTTAGAAAAATAAAGTTAAAAACCACGTGGACGAAGTCGCGGGAACAGCTAGTGTATAATATATTAGAGATACCTACGTGTTTTTTTATTGATGACTAGCTGTACACGGGATTTCGTCCGTGTGGAATTTATCTTTATTTTTCTAAAATATAAGAAGTTAAATTCCACGCGGACGAAGTCGCGTGTACAGCTAGTTGTCGGTAGTCTAGCGATTTAGCTAGCACACTGCTTTGATTCCTGCTTGGTGGTCGAGGGTTCGATTCCTCGCACGCTGCAAACATTTGTATTCATGAGTAGGATTGTTTGTAACGGTCTGGGTGTTTTCTATGTATAGATAATATATATGTATTTACGAAAAAAATCTTTGTATTTATATCAGTTGTCTAGTACCCATAACATAATCTTCAGCTAGCTTAACTTGGGTCTAGATGAAGCTGTGTGAATTGTCCTGAGATTACTATTATTATTAATTGGTACACAGGTAAACTACTAACTAGGCCATATTGGTGTTGTTTGTTATGGTGAAAAAACTAGTATATATAAGTTACACGTACATTTTCAAAGACTTATTTCTTCAAAACTACTGGCCATTCTGAAATAAAACTTTAGGGTTTGTATATGTAATGTTTGCATATAAAATATGATTAAAGGTTACCAGTGTATTTACACTTTTACTGAACAAACAGAGTTGTTTAATACTGAAAATATTGTGTGGAAGGCATCAATTACTTTCAGTGCATGTATAGCTTTTCTCTTTTCCTAATTATTATTATTATTAAGTTTAAAGTGGTTGAATTTTACGTAAGGGGTATTTATACATTATTTCTAATTTACCATTTATTTTAAGTTTTTTAAACTCTATTCATCGAGACCTATCTAATGAGTCCAAACACGATATTTCTGCTGTAAGTTTTCGAAGAGTATGTTCATCATCTGATAATACTGGTGCCAGCATGAAGTCAAGGTTAACAGATAACTAATTACTTTTATTTCGTCAAAATCTTTAGATTACGTATAATAAATTCATAATATCGCTACCTATTCAAATCAAAACAAGTATTAGGTACTTCATGTACTAGTATATAAATTCATCAACAAACAAGTAAATGATTTTTAAATATATTCAGAGCCAAAAAATCTTTGTGCATTTAAAAAAAATTGCCGATACGGATTCACTATTGCAGGAAATTGTTGAAAAAATATATATCGAGTATAGGTATCTACTACTATCGACGAATACATTTGGCAACAACGCATGGTCTCGGCCGGAACGGCAACATCGCATATTAGAATACAAAGATAGTGATAGAAAGAGAGAGACAGTGGAATCAGCAATATCTACGGATCGTGGCTGGATCAACTAAGTGTGCAAGTTTATATAAATGTATATATATATATATATACATTTGTCTTTAATTCAAAGGAAATATAAATAATGAACGCATCACATTTAAAACAGTATAAATAGTTAATAATTTAATAATAAGTTAATAGTTTAATAAGTACGTACGTAATATTATCACATGGTAACAGCACGTATTATGGCAAAAATAAACATCGGCTGATTTGAAAAGATTTATTATAGTAATAATAGTAATCTCAAGACAATTCACACAGCTTCGTCTAGACCCAAGTTAAGCTAGCTGAAGATTATGTTATGGGTACTAGACAACTGATATAAATACAAAGATTTTTTGTCGTAAATACATATATATTATCTATACATAGAAAACACCCAGACCGTTACAAACAATCATACTCATGAATACAAATGTTTGCAGCGTGCGAGGAATCGAACCCTCGACCACCAAGCAGGAATCAAAGCGGTGTGCTAGCTAAATCGCTAGACTACCGACAACTAGCTGTACATGCGACTTCGTCCGCGTGGAATTTAACTTCTTATATTTTAGAAAAATAAAGTGAAATTCCACACGGACGAAATCCCGTGTACAGCTAGTCATCAATAAAAAAACACGTAGGTATCTCTAATATATTATACACTAGCTGTACCCGCGACTTCGTCCACGTGGTTTTTAACTTCATTTTAAAATCGGTCCAGCCATTTCAGAGATTAGCTGGAACAAACAGACAGACGGACAAAAATGGTAAAATATATTATTTTGGTGTATGTACCGTATTTATATTCAGATGCAAGTAGTAAAAAACGGTTATTTCAATATTACAAACAACAGGCTTCAACATTCTCAAGTACCACAAAAAAGATGTTTTTTCTATCAAATAAACCGTTTTTATTAAAAACAAGTTGTTCCCGCGACTTCGTCCGCGTGGAATTTAACTTTATTTTTCTAAAATAAAAGTAGCCTAAGTTACTCCTTATAAATCAGCTACCTGCCAAAAAAAGTACCGTCAAAATCGGTCCAGCCATTTCAGAGATTAGCCGGAACAAACAGATCGACAGACAGGCAGACAAAAATTATAAAAATTGTTATTTTGGTATATGTACCTTATATATATTCATATGCATGTAGTAAAAAACGGTTATTTCAATATTACAAACAGACACTCCAATTTTATTTATATGTATAGATTATTATTTATTTATTTATTTATTCATCCAAAATAATACAAATTGTGTAGGATAACGTAATAGTAACATTACAGTAAAATTTTGTCAACAACATAATAGCAACTTAAATATTAAATCTCGGTATATCTATAGACTAGCTGGCCCCAGCGACTTCGTCCGCGTGAAATTTTATTTTATTTTTCTAAAATAACAGTAGCGTAAGTTAATCCTTATTACATCAGCTACTTGCCAAAAAAAGTCCCGTCAAAATCGGTCCAGCTATTTCAGAGATTAGCCGGAACAAACAGACAGACAAAAAAATTTTATTTTGGTGTATGTACCGTATTTATATTCATATGCAAGTAGTAAAAACGGTTATTTCAATATTGCAAACAGACACTCCAATTTTATTTACATGTATAGATGTATAGATTAAAAAAAAAGTAACAGTCATAAGGCTAGTCGTATGCCTAATATATATAATAATGTAATAAATTCATTTAAACAGAAATTGCGGCAACATTATTTAAATTTGTAACTTTTTTACTGTCCTTCTCCTTTTTTCACATCTTTCTGTTATATCCCTATAGTTCTCTCTATATTTTCTGTTTTTCTTACTTTCAATTTGAGACTGTACTTATAATTTGATTATCAGATCATTATGTATTTATTTATATATAATATTTATACATTTATGGGTTATATTTAAATGAATTTAATCGATAAAATCGTTGTTAAGTATTAAATTAATTGTAAGTGATATTAACTATTATATTATGCATAAAAAATATTTGTAATAATAAAGAAAATACATTTAAAATATTTTACGTGTTGTGTTAGTTATTTATAAGATCTTACTATAATTGTTAGCTGCTTTACAATTTAGAAAGTACAATAGGTAATGTAAATTAAAATTAATTGAATACTTAACAACGTTTTGTTCGATTAAATTCATTTAATTATTAAAATAGTTAATTTAAAATTAGAATAAAGACAAAAAAAATCGGTGGCGGGAATCGAACCTTGAGCGTCCGTTTGGTAAGTTGATTCAAAGGCTTATTAAAATCAAAATTCAAAATTCAAAGTTACTGGTCATTTTGAAATAATACTTAGGGTTCGCATACCCTTATCGGATACTACTACTACACGGAGTTTCGTCAAAATAGAATATCTAGGTTAGGTATAATAAATTCATAATTAATAGACCGTTACGGTATCTGTATATACTCGGATCAAAACAAGTACTATGAAATAAGAAAGAGTATATAAATTGATTAACACAAGTAATTGATTTTTGAAATATATTCAGAGCCAAAAAGTCTTCTTTCTTTATTTATGTACTTGTTAGATGCGACAGCGACTTTGTTTTATACTATACTATGTAATATACCTAAAATAAATAAAATATCTGAGGTTTGGACAAAAACTCAAAGGGTAATTTATTTTGAAAAAGTATTTTGAAAATACCTATTTTGCTTTTAGGGTTATAGTACTTTAACTGTTATGTTTTAAGTAACAATGTTTAATTATAATTAATACTACTGCACCAACACTCCGATCGTGCAAAAAAATTTGCTGTTTCATTATTTTTTAGTTCAATTAGTGGTCTACCTAAGTCCTGGGCTAAGGGGGGGAGAGTCATGACGCCCCCATGACTCCCATGACCTCCATGACCCCCCTGGATTCGCCGTTGCGTCTTCTCTTTATTCGCTCAGTAACGTTGTTACAAAAGAAAAGATTCCCATCCAAAAAATAACAAGTATTGAGGTTTGATCTGGAGTCACGTTACTCCAGACAGATTTCTATAAATATTTAGATTAGATAGACTATTATTCTTGAAATACTAGCTAGACATTATTAAGTTACTGTAGCCATAATGTAGTAGCCCAAACGTGCCAATGAGGAAGCCCTTGGCAAATGCTGCACCCTGATTGGCCCGTTTGAATTGGATCAAGAAGTGGTCGTATGCCAAAAAGGTGGATTTGTATAAAATCGTGTATAAATCGCGTAATTATTATTATTACTCGTCGTGACAGTTGTGGCTCAAAACGGATCAACATTTATATATGGTCAGCTGGCATTAGATCAACAAAAGGCCTCCGGATCAACAAGTGAAAAAGGATCAACAAAAAACTACCTATACGGCACGTCTGAGCCACAAAGTGCCCAAGGGGATATTTATATATATATATATATATATATATATAAGCAGTCATTTTTACTACAAACATCATTCTACTCGCAGAAACAAACGAAAATACTACTGACATCATGTTTGCTAAGGTAACAATTATATTATTTGTAAAAATAAATAATAACCAATTTTCTTGTAAAAAAATTCTAGTACTAATTTCGTATTAATGTATTTTATAATAATCGGGAAAGAAAATTAATGACATCACACATACAAACAACTAGTTATACATTACAAACAACAATTAGTTTTCTGATTACTTAGGTATGTATGCACTAAAAGAATCTTCTGGAAGCCCAACTTTTATTCTAATGTGCAACACTTTAGATGTATGTACTGATATCTCCCTTTATATTTTTCAGATTGTTGCCGTTCTGTGCTTCTTCGGTTTGGCTTACGCCAACATTGAGTACACGGGTCTCGGTTACGGGGCTGCCGGGTACGGTGCTCTCGGCTATGGAGGGTACGGGGCATACGGAGCCGCCCCCCTCGTGTCTGCCGCATCATATGGCTACAGCCCTGCAGCGGCTTATGCCGGATATGCTGGATACGGGCTCAATGGTTACGGATACGGCCGATTGGGCTGGTGAATAACTAATGTTGAATGATTTGTTGCTTCTGGTAATATTTGTAAATATTTTTCTTCTAAAAATTGTTGTCTATTTTCCCCATTTACGTCTTACATTTTGTGTGTAAAATAAATTACGTTTCATAACTATATATCGTTTTAATTATTAATCATAAATATGTATTAAGTATTCCCAAGCCATTCCATTTAGATATATCACAGTGAAAATTTTGATGAGCTCTGCTGTAAAATTTACCGTTTGCATCATGTGGCCCTTGGGCATTTACTCAGCGATATGTCTGTTCGCCAAATGATCTGATGTTCACCAGTCTGGTTATCGAATCTGAACTACTCACACTTAAGTAATGAGATGAACTTCCGCAAAATAACTAAATAACATCTAATTCGATAAAGTACATTATTAAATTACTATGTAACTACATGGAATATCTTCATTATTTAAATGAAAATATTTAGACAGCTGATTAATTTTCATAGGACGAGGTCAGTAAGTCTTGCATACTCGCAAGTATTATGTGGTGCCGTCTATAGTATTGGATATCGTGAAATCATTATGTCGTTAAAGCTATTACAAATATTAATGGTTGTACTAGCATATTATTGAACTTGATACTTAATATGATGACTGGGTAAAATTCAGAAAAGAAAACTTCAAAATCAATATTTTTTTAATATCAGTAAATATTTATCATGTCGTTCAAGTAGGTAAATCGTTTGAATATGTCCACCAATGTTTCATTATAATAACTGATTAAAATCATTTTACGTTTTATTTGATTATTGATTATAATATAACGACCCGAAAGAAAGCGATAGGCAATTGTATGCTTCCATTTTAGTGAAGAATTAAAGTACTTTACACAAATATATATATATAATACACAAAAAACAACCATATCTCTAATATAGTTTGAGTATATGGGGTGGCCACAACATCCCTCGAATGCTGACGCCCTGAAAACGCACATGTGTTGACGGATTCTTTTTGTTACCAATATGGAACACTTGTACTAGATATATTCATATTTATTTTACGTATCTATGAGTTTTTATTTTGTTTACTTTATTCTGCAGAAATTGTACGTAAAATACTTCATTCTATTTTAGATGCAACTCTGATTGTTTATGATGTGATGAAAATATTTAATATTTTCCCATTTAGAGTTTCTCACTTAAATAGTTTTGATATTCAAATAATACAAATGCAGTAGTACATGTGCACAAGGTGCCAGATATAATTTCTCTCGAGTACTAAATACTCGCCACACTCTATAAAATACATTAATTTAATGTACTTAATTTTCTTTTTATAAAATTAAATATGAAGATTTAAATAATAATTAATTAATAAAAGTAACATATTTTTTTCTCTTACTGAAATGGCATACAAGCTGATGGCTCATTTTATGGTAAGCAGTAACTACATACATAAAAAGCACTACGGACAATACGTTATCATGTAAGACCTGTTATACCACTCATGCATTGCCATTTCGGAACACTAAAATACCATGCATATTATTCTGTTATTTCACTGCTTAATATACACCCTACAACTAGATGCAAGGGGGTTGTTAGTAATTGGGTCTAGGACTACATTGCTAGCTATATACCATATCAGGTCACCTGTAATCGACCTTGGAAACTGAGGACTTCATCACTATGATCTAACTATCCTGACCTCATAACGAGTCCCAAAAGTGACCCACCTGACTTATGAATAAAGGTAATTTAAAAAAAATAATTACTTCAATTGGCCATACAACCATGCAACAACATAATGTGAAAAAATGATAACGGTAAGTCAATTGATATTTTTTACAGCCATCCACAGTGAACACACTCATTGAATTTATATATATAGAAAAAATCGGGAATCGTTATGTGATACAATACTTTCATTTGATAGGTCTAAGTCCAACCGATATCAAAGTCGAGTTGCATTCTAAGAAAGAAAGACTTCCACGGAGGGGGAAGTCTTCTCTTTCATTGACAACGGTCAAATATTGGGTAGCTGAGTTTAAGTGAGGTCATACAAGCTGCGAATATGAACACCTTAGTGGTCGACCAGTGAGGTCACTACGTGAGATGAATGTGAAGAAAATCCACAAAATGATATTGGATGTCCGTCGACTAAAAGGCATGCTCGCAGGCATTTCGAAAAGTGCTGTGCATCGCATTTGGACCGAAAATCTGAACATGCGCAATATCGGTGCGACGTTTGTTCACTATGAAGAGTAAACAGCGTCGTGAGTATGTTTCCATCGTGTGTTTGACAATTTTTCGCACCAATAAAACCGAGTTTTTTATTTTGATTCATAAGCATGGACGAAACAAGGGTCCATCACTTTATACCTGAGTCCAAGGAGTAATTGCAAAGCAGTGGACTGAAAAGGGAGAACCGACTCCACAGAATACAAAGACTCTTCAGTCAGCGGGCAAGGTCATGGCATTCGTTTTTTGGGATGCGCGTGAAATAATATTTATTGATTATCTTGTAAAAGGAGTAACAATTAATGGCGCATATTATGCAGTCTTATTGCAGCGTCTAAGTGATGAAATCAAGAAAAAATAATAATAATACAATAGTGTAAGTAAGTAAGTGTATCAACTTGAAAAGAGAATATGTTGAAGAATAAAATGCATTTTTGCAATTTTTTTACTGTTTTATTTGTCAGGTCGGGTACTTTTGGGACTGCCGGGGTATCTTCCTCTACTAGTGCCCCGCCAGCGTATAAGTACCGTTAACGTAGGCAAGCTAACCATTCCATTGTCATCCATTAAAAAAAATACACCGTACAACAGAAAAATAAGAAGCAGTTTCTAAAAAGTGGGTAAAAATAATAATTGATAACGTTTTCGTCAGATTGCAACTACTGCGGCGGTGACCAGAGGTAGATGGTAAAAGTCATCAGCTTGAGTACCTCAGTTTCATCTACTTCAGCCACCATGCAACTTGCTTTGTAAACTGTGTTTCGTTTTTAGGGTACAATACAATTTTTAGAAAAGTTTACGACTAACAAGGACGAATAACTAATTACTGCAATATTCCGTCATGTATTTTAATGAAATTTCATAAATATTGAAAACCTGGGCCTCTATAAATACTTTTTTTATTAATGAGTTATATTTGGACCTTGACAATAAGTCCCGTTTCCTGAATTAGACAATGCTCATATATATATATAAACAGTAATTTTTACTACCAACATCATTCTACTTGCAGAAACAGACCAAAATACTACTGACATCATGTTTGCTAAGGTAACAACATTTGTATAGTAACCTATTTTCCTATAAAAAAATCTAGTACTAATTTCGTATTAATGTATTTTATAATAATCGGTAAAGAAAATTAAAGACGTCACACATGCAAACAACTAGTTATTCATTACAAACATCAATTAGTTTTCTGATTATTTAGGTATATGTATATACAATACTTTAGATACATGTACTGATATCTCCCATTTATTTTTCAGATTGTTGCCGTTCTGTGCTTCTTCGGTTTGGCTTATGCCAACATCGAGTATGCGGGTCTCGGTTACGGGGCAGCCGGGTACGGTGCTCTCGGCTATGGAGGGTACGGTGCATACGGAGCTACCCCTCTCGTGTCCGCCGCATCATATGGCTACAGCCCTGCAGCGGCTTATGCCGGGTATGGTGGATACGGACTCAATGGTTACGGATACGGCCGATTGGGCTGGTGAATAACTAATGTTGAATGATTTGGTGCTTCTGGTAATATTTGTAATTTTTTTTCTTCTAAAAATAGTTGTCCATTTTCACCATCATCCGTCTTACATTTGGTGTTTAAAATAAAGTATGTTTCATAATTATATATCTTTTTAATTGTTATTTATAAATATGTATTAAGTATTCCCAACCCATACCATATACAAATTCAAAGAAAGCTTATTATTTTAAAGATAATAAAGGCTAAGAGGACTAAATATTATATAAGAATAAGATAATTATATGAATAAATATAAGTTATAAATATATGTAATCATGAAATAAGCTTTAAGAATCACAATATGATTATTAGTAGCTATATTTTTTATATCGATACATAAGCTTCTATGATCTATATACGGACCATGACTTGAGATAAATTATAATATCTCCGAGGCAACATCGGAAATCTGGACATTTGTACTACGATATTACTTATTTATCACATCGAATGAAAAATGATAGACAGGAGTACAATAGTGATTTCACCAAAGTACATTTTATCTAAATAACTTTATCTAAATAACTTACAATACTATGTAGGTAATATACCTGTAAATTTTACATTTATTTACGAGCATTTCTTTCTTTGTAAAATTCAATAAAATTATAGCAATAATTTTAATCTGTTACATAATTATTATTTGATCTCAAATATTAAGTAAATAACTATTAAGAGATTCACAGATCATAATATACATGTACATATGTGTAATTAGTACTTCAAATCATAACTGAAATTGTTTCAAAATCGTTTCAACAGACATGATGAAAAATTGGCAACGACATAAACTTTAGGTGAATCTTGTTAAATACGAAGATTAAAGCTAGAACCAGTCAGATGAAACAGCATAGATAGTCAATTATTCATTATAAAGTCATCACAATATCAGCACAGAGTGGATTGTATATAGGTACATTATTTATTAAGTAATTAATTACTTTATATACGTCATGTTTATAAATTATATGTTCTTATAGTACAAGTGGTGAAGCCTTTTTTAAACTAAAATATTTGACACCAATTTTTAGTAATGTAAATGACTGCTATATTGTTGACGCTGTAGAGTTTTGTTTTTATGATACTAGACACTTCACTAGGAATGTCATAGTAAATGTGCCATTATTATCGGTGATGGTAGATATCAATTTATCAAATTGTATCGAATGCAGAATATATCGGTACACACATATCGGTTTATAGATATTGCTTTGAAAAGGTAATTATGTAAATAAACGTATTTATATTTTAGCTGTATACAGTTCAATTATTTAAACATGGAATACGGTAACGGAAATATAATTAATGGGAATCAATTAGCCCCTACTTAACCAATACTTATCTGATTTTCTCCTACACGTTAAAATATTTATGCGCTACTAATTTCAATATTCACCCGAAGTATGTTTGTGTGTAAATGTAATATTCTCCACTGCAGTTGTAAATAGAATAACCAGAAGTAATTTAACGTGATAAACTATACGTAACACTTATGATAGTATACTCATATTTAGCTGAGAATATTTGAATTAATATGGCTATAATCTATTTTAGGATTCATTTGATCAGTTATAAGTATCTCTATCGCCGGGGAGTCATTTACAAGTATATGTTGACACAAAAAGGTTTTTTGTAATCCACCTAAATCAAACTCACATTCTATAAGGTCTATAAATCAAGGCAATAAACTACAAAACTACGACACTCTTTAATCACAAAATATAAACTAAACTTAACAATAAAAAAACATTATTATAGTTGACATTTGTATTAAACTACATAAAAATAAAATTCATTATGATCAGAGGCCAGTAAGTGCTTGAAAAATGTATGACAGAGTATTTAAAAAGATAAAGGGATGTAGATACTTATGTATATAACTACAATGTCATAAATAAAATATATTCAAAAGTTTAAATGTAACCTGTAACCAAACCATTTATTAAAGCTTATTATAACACAGACATCACTATTTACGTAGCGACATCTAGACCCAAACTAAGCAGAAATAATTCTATAATTTTTTTTAAATTTATTTATTCTCTTTATTGCAACAATTACAGAACAAAATCAAAAAACAATTAAAATAGAAAATATACATTGATACAAAAGCCGGTCTTATCGCTAAGCAATCTCTTCCAGACTAGCTTTAGGTGGAGAGAGAAATAAAAATAAGCACAGGGTAGGTGGCGCACGTAATAAATAAAAATAAATATATATGACTCAAATATACATAAATATAAATATATATACATATTAATACATATCTACATACACATACATATACTTAATAGTGCACATACATTTGAAAAGAATGAAGGAAGATTAGTTATGAGAACAATAAGAAATTAATTAAAGGGAAAGAAAATGGGATTTGACAGAGGCTTTAAAGCTGGCAAGTGATTGAATGCTCCGAATGCAAGAGGGAGTGAGTTCCACAACCAAACGGCCTGGACAGAAAAGGATTTAGAATAGAAGGAAGTGGAATGAGAGGGAAATTTAAGACGGAGATAGTTAACATTACGCGAGGAGTGGCTGTTGTTCTCGCTGAGAAATGTGAAACAGTCTTTTAGGTAATAAGGAGTGACTGGGTTAAAAAGAATGCTGTAGATATTAAATCAATGGACGTAAATATGTAAACAACTATTAAGTAAATATCTAAACTATTTTTATGTGAATACATACATAATATTTGTACAGAGCGTGGGATCGAACCCGCGACCATTGAAAATAAGGCGGTGTACTAAACCGCTAAACCACTGAGACCGTCAAAATATTTTAGTAATTTCTCCTATTTATGTAGTTTGGTTATAATAATAGTATTAATTAGATGTTAATGTACTCATGTAAACAATAAAACTAGGCAATTAATTAACTTATATGTAGGTAAAAAATATTAAATTAGGCTGGTAATGTAATTATCATTAAAATCAGGGCTCTAGAATAATATGTTTTGTTAATAAATTATACCTGAAACCTTGAAAATTTGTCCAGTTTCCTGGATTAGTATACTCGTTTACACATATATAAACTGATGACTTACTACAATAATCATTCTACTAGTAGAAACAAACCAAAAAACTACCAACAACATGTTTGCCAAGGTAAGTTTAAAATAATTATTTAACAAATAAGTGCATTGTAAATGGCAGCAATTCCTAATAACAATAAAATATATCGTGTAAAATATATTGTTTAGTAAGTATATTGGAAAGGTTTTTTTCGGACTACTCTAATGCTGTTGGCCACAGCTGGCTTTTACAGCTTCACCGGACGATAGGGCACGAGTGCAGATGGCACTCCAAACTCGCAGAAGCACTTATGGAGTGGCTGAAGGCCAACATCCGCCTGACGGATACGACTTTAGTCTGAGGTTACCGCTAGGGGTTCAAACCTCGGCTCAGGACGTCCTAATTTCGATCCCCGTTTGAATTGAAGGGGGGATCGATCAGGCTGATAAACACACCATTAATAATTTGTGTATTCCTCTAAAACACTTTAGGTACGTGTACTTATATCTTCCTATTTATTTTTCAGATTGTTGCCGTTCTGTGCTTCTTCGCTTTGGCCCACGCCAACGTCGAGTATGCGGGTCTCGGTTACGGGCCAGCCGGCTACGGCGCCCTCGGCTATGGAGGGTATGGAGCATACGGAGCCGCCCCCCTCGTGTCCGCCGCATCCTATGGCTACAGCCCTGCAGCGGCCTATGCCGGATATGGTGGATACGGCCTCAGTGGTTACGGATACGGCCGATTGGGCTGGTAAATAACCGATGTTAAATGATTTAATTTTTCTATAAATTTCTGTAAATATTTTTTTATCCATTAATAGAGTGTCTACGAATTTTTTCACCTAAAACATTGTATATAAAAAAATAATAAAGTCTTTTATATATGTAACTTAGTTACTTTATGTTTTATTTGACTATTTTGAACGTTACTTATTTGTAACTTTCATTTATTTCATTCCTTGCACATACCTATATTTTGTGCATATCTACCATTTAATAGTATAAAAACAATATGAACAAATAAAGGTAATAATAATATTATATATTATTAGATTCAATTATTTATCTATCTTTATCAAAGCTATTATTGTAATTATTATTATAGTTATTCATATAACACGAATAACTTTCCAAATCCAATTAGTTCCAAATAATAATCACTCCACATTGATAAAGTGCAAGAGACACTACTGTTTAAAATACACTCAGATTTTAAAAGCCTCGACTCTTAAATTTTAATTAAGTATTGAGTATACTCGTTTATTTTAATAGCGAAGATTTGGAGAACTCTGAAATAAGTACTTAGTTGTCGTGAACGGCAACGTATTGGAGGTCTCACGGGCAGCACACTATTAGGTGGTAGTCCGAGGTGCTCCTCTTATCGGCGTATACAACGGTTACCATGTTTAATTTACCAATCTTATTTTCCATTGCTGTTTTATAAAAATGCATGCATGCAATTTATTCGTGGCTATATGCCACGAATAAAATTAACAGAGGTGTTTTGTTAATTTTATTCGTATGTATCTACATACGGGTACCATCTCCATCAAGATCACCAGAAAAGAGCTAAAAGGCACAGTATGGTCATATCTAAAAATAAATTATAAAAAAGTATAGATAATAAAAAAGATATATAAAATAGCCTGTATTAAATTATGGCTATTTTATTTATGTTTTAAATATAATTAATATATTAATCGATAAACACAAATACCCGCAATATGAAGCCTCCATGAAAGAGTTTCCTTCCTTTTGTTTTTATACACAACATATTTTTTGGTGCTCTTATGTATTTAAATAAATATTTATAAAAGAATATGATATATAAACATTCGTTAAAACATAACAAGAGAAGTGGGAAAACTAGAAAAATGTCTTCACAAACGTCTTTAATAACCACTGAAAAAAATTAGATTTTCAGAAATTTGACAACCGTTACTTTCTTAAATTTTGTGTATGTTGGTATAAATTGCTTCAATAGATATCATCACAACAACAAAACTACGAGTGATTACGATTCATAATAAGAAATAGTCAAATCTGGACCCGCTTCTTGTAATGAAAACATTTCTTATGTAAATGTAAGAGCGAGTTCCCTTTTATACAATACTAGCTTTTACCCGCGGCTTCGCTCGTATAACTTTATTACTGGCTGCTAGGTGGCGCTGAAGTAGCAAAATGTTAATATCGTCAATTAATTGATTTATAACTTTATTATTGACTGCTATATGCCGCTGATTTATAACTTACTTATTTTTTTTAATAAAAAAGTAAAGTAGTTTTTGCTTGAAAGCATAACAAATATCCATACTTTCACATTTATTATATTAGTAAGGATATTATCAATTTATTTGGCTAAGTAGCGTATAAACATTCGCACGACACATATTTAATTAACTTATATCAATTTATTATTTATTAATATTATATAATTGATTATTGTAATGAAGTGATAAAATAAAAACAGTAATATTATTCTTTTGTATAATAATTTGGTCATATATTATTCATATTATCGATATTCGCCTGTCACATCAAGCATTATAATTAATTTTTATTGAAAATAATTACACGACTTCACTTTTACGATTATTATATAATATATAGTGTACGTCTTAACTTTTCTTGCTCTACTTAGTACTTAGTAATACTTGAACATCATCGTCCTTACCACAGATAAGATAATATTACATATACTTATAATAATAATAATAGCCTTTACTTAACAACCTTTCTTACATAATATTTATCTTAATCTAATTTAACTACTTGACACCGGTACTTGAAAGTTCTCATGCTGTCCAGCATAGGTCTCCCCTAGAGTTCGATATTGAATGGGATTCTGCGCTAGTCTTTTCTTCATCTACGAGGCTGTCTCCCATAGATATACTTATTAAGAACATTATTAACTCCAATTTGACAACCTGTGATCTAGTGGTTTGACATACCGCTTTATGTTCGATGGTCGCGGCATCGTCTCCTCGCACAATACAAACATTTGTATTTATGAGTATGATTGTTATTGATATGTATTTACTAAAATAATCAGTCTATATTTATATTTGTTGTCTAGTATCCATAAAACAACTCTACTTACCTTGGGACTAGAGGCGCTATGTGAATTGTCCTGAGATATTATTAATACATGCACATACTAATTTCTTTAGAAGTATCAAGTCACCTAAATAATCATCTGTAACACTTGAATGGTGAAAAATATCAAATGAAAGCTCTATTTATATTTACGAGTATTGACAGTAATATTTGAAGTTATAATTTGGTAGATTTATTACAAATTAATGTCTAAAGGCCATATGTTTATATAGAGTTTCAAAAACATAATGATTATGTTATGATTATAGTTCTTTTTAATTATGTGGCAGGCTATATATAAATACATATATATAGTTTACACAATTAAAGGTAGTAGGTAGGCTTCATTATTATGATTTTATGTTACTTATCTTAGAATTAAGAAAATAAATAACTCTATTCTTTTAATAAACATATATAATTATCTTTCTATAATACGTACCATTATGGTGATGAAATGTTTACTTTTATTACTTATTTAAGTATGTCTCAAATGTGTAATATGTTTAAGCCAATTAAGTATCTTGAATGTAATTAATAAGACAAACTCGCTAACTCGTGTACATACACGCCATAAATATGATTAATTAAAACTCGTCACGCTCCGTTTTCTAAAATATTATAACTGAACCTTGAAATATTGTACTCATTTCCTACGATTTTGATATAAAAGCGTATAACAATACATACAAAAACATTGTACTCATCACTTGTGAAAAGTAATCAACAAACATGCTCGCTAAAGTAAGTTTACAACATAATAATTAAAACGAATTATTATATCAAATTCTACTTTTACAATCTTCCATTTAAAAATTTTAAAGAAATATTTAGTTCTCTTTTTAACTTTTTATTACAAAAACATTCGTAATACATAAAGAAATTTAAAATAAAAGTATAATTTATGAATTTAAAATAAAAATGCTATTTTAATTGTATAAATTGAATGATTATAAAAAATTACTCACAAATTCAATTTTCAGATCGCCGTCATTACTTGTCTTGTCGCCATGGCCCGTGCTGGAGCTCTCCTAAACGCTGGCTACGGATCCAATGGATACGGGGGTTATGGCGGTTATGGCAGTTATGGTGGTTATGGCGGATATGGTGGATATGCTGGATACGCTGGACATGGCGGTTATGGCGGGTACAGCGGATATGGAGCTGGTGGTTCTGCTGTCTCCCATGTATCGGTGGTCAAGGAAATCTCTTCTCCAGCCGTTAATTATGCCCACTCGTATCCATCGGTCGGTTATGGCCATTCCTATGCCCCAGCTGTGTCTAGCGTTTCACAGTACCGTATCCACGCCCCTGCTACTGGATACGCCTCCTCAGCCTATGGTGGTTACGGATATGGCAACAATTACTGGTAAATTTAGTGAATTTGAAACGTGTTAGAGGTCCAATAAATTATTTATGATTTATTACAACTGCTTGTGTTTTCTTTTTAATTTTACCACTCTACAAAATATTCATCGTTAATTTTCTTTATCTGAATCAAAAACATCACTATTTATAGCATAATGTCAGAAGCCAAAATTACAAAAAAAAAATAATAAAAGATAGTATTTGTATTATAAATATTGTAAAAAAAAATAGTAATTAGTGTAAGTAAACCCCTAATTACAAACAATGTACTAAAGGTATTTAAATATAGAAATGTGTTTTTAATATTGTGTATAATGATAAATAAATAAATTATCTTATGTACAACAACGCAAACAGGCTATTTTTTAAATAAAAAAATTAAAAACTGATTTGGTTGATAAATTTCTTGAGCGATGACTTCACGTTTATATCTCGAAGTTAGTTAGTATGCACTCGAAATAATAATCTAAAATAATACTTCTTAAAATATTGGCTAATAAAATTGAACAATCGTTACGGTATTGTTGTAATCGCTTGCTGGATGTATTCGATCTATTTATTAGATAAAAAGTTCTTATGTCAATGTCTAGATTGCAGAAGTTACAATGACGGCGCAGACTCCAAGTAGCAAAACAAAGCATAGTTTCATGTACCTACAGATTATCATACTATATTTTTGTATGCGTTACCTTACTTGACATGAGATGATTTAAAGATTTTTCTAAACTAAACCAATAAACAGACAGTTATATATCATAAAAACGCAAATTCCGGATAATATAAAAATGCTTCCGAGAAGGATTTCCTTATAGTTTACGTTAACGACTGCTTCATGTGTATATATCAATTACACAATTAACCATTTATTGAAGGTGGTACCTCGCCTTGACATTGCAAGCGAAAACGCCCGCGGTGTTCAACACTCAAAATTAATACCAATACCAGTTTGAGTATGCTCATATAAAAGCGAAAGCAAGTGCTTCAAAAATTATTATTAACCATACCAACGGACAACGCAAACATGTATTCTAAGGTTGGATTATTTTTGTGTATCAAAGTTGACTATTGTACAAAGTTGTCAACGTGTGAGGTACCCATGTATATAGACACGTATATAGGTGGCTATTTTAGTTGCCAAAAAATTTCGTTTGCAAGCGATGTTTTGGTTTAAGTGTGAGATATGAAATGTAGCAGTGATATTACAGTCTTCCAGAACGGCAAGAGATTAGGGTTACTAGGACGTCACTTAAAAACGTGGTGCTGTATCTGATGCTAAGTGACAACAGTTGCCACTTATGGCTGATCTATTTTGCCATTACAATTATATTTTGTATATACAATATACAATAGTTACTATTCAATGGTACTAAATAATTAGTCGAATTTAATTTTAATCCTTAATTTATTTTTTTATAGATCGTCGTGTTCCTGTGCGCTGCGGGTATTGCCTCCGCTGGCAACCTCTTGCACGCGGCTCCTCTTTCATACGCTGCTGCCCCCGCCGTCGCCACATATGCCGCTGCTCCCGTCGTCGCCAAGACACTCGCACCTGCCGTCTCCTACCAGTCAATCTCCACTCACTCCGCACCAGTAGCCTTAGCTGCACCTGCTCTGCAATACTCTGCGTCCCCTGTTATCGCTAAGACCCTCTCTCCTGCAGTGTCTTACCAATCAATCTCAGCACCTGTTGCTTACGCCGCGGCTGCCCCAGCTGTCCAGTACTCAGCTGCCCCAGTCATTGCCAAGACACTAGCTCCTTCTGTTTCCTACCAGTCGATTTCCACTCACTCTGCCCCCATCGCTACCTACTCTGCCGCTCCCCTAGTCACGAAGACCATCGCTCCAGCTCTGACTTACGCTGCTGCCCCAGCTGTCTCTTATGCGGCTGCTCCAGTCCTCAAGTCTGCTGTAACTTACTCCGCGGCTCCAGCTGTGTCCCACGTCGCATACTCTGGTTTGGGAGCTAGCTATGGCTGGTAAACTAACGATTGTTATAATTTATTTGCACCAAATGAAATAATTTATAAAATGTAAATAAAGGTATAAATTTATATACATTACTTTTATTCATCCCTTATAATATGTAAGTTTAAGAAAAGGTTATGTAGAGTAAAATGTTTTATTACAGTAATTTGTTTTACTTTCGAACGAAAAAGTTAAGTATATTCATAATACCGATGGAAACTTACATTCAAAATAAAAAATGCTTTAATAGGTATCTTTCTACCCAGTTTTTATATAGTATAATTTAAAAGAAGTAGTCATCAACAAGTAAAAAATTATATTTTTTTAAATAATTTGAAAAGATCACAAACAGACATCTTGAAATTTCGCATTAATAAGCATAGCACGTACTGTGTATATTTGTGATAAATTGTTATACATTTTTGGCAAAAACAATTTTATTTGACGTTCTTTCTTTTATTTAAGATTTTAATTTGAACAAACATATACTATTTTTCCATATTTTATTATCTGACAGCAAACTTGTATTGAACTGTGCTTATATTAATTATAAATACTTACTCTGTTTCTTTACTAATTATTAGAAGAAATGTAGCAGAAAATGGTCATGAGATGATTAGATTTTAATATTGATTGAATATAATAATAAGTCGCAATGTCCGAGGTGAAACTAAATTACTTGTAATTTTTATTTTTTTAATAATAAAATCAATGGGCGTAAATGTTTTCATATTTACTAATTTAATCAGCATTTATTTTTAAAGCATTTAAAACAATAACAATAAGGCAACTTGTGACTTATAAGAGAGACTCAAAATTATAGTATAGTAATAATAAATGGAAACAATTATACTCAGTTAATAATGCAAATATTGTATCATACAAGAAATCTAATACATGTCGGAAGTAAAGCGGTATACTAAACTTCTAAACCAGAGAGGGACCGTTAGAGTTACGAATTTTTCGATTATGTCAAATAGAGTCCTTGTTTTAAAATGGGCAACATTGCCTACATCGAATGACATGCAAATATAACCAGCAATTTAGCAGTTATCACCTTAATATAAAATTCTCAATATAGTATATATATTAATGTTTAACAGACCGAATAAGAGTACTGTACCTGTCTCACTGAACAGATCATAATATGTAGGCAGGTACTATATTGAAAAATTTCACGTTAATCGGCCTCTGGAGAGCAATAAATTTTTTTCAATATTCACAATTCTGTTTTGAAAATCGAGAATTATGATATTGCGCATAATGATTAGTATCCAAAATACGTACGGAGAGTTACAGCAACAGCTCGGAATATTTGCGTTTAAAAATAGTTCCTATGTATACAATATACAGTATAAAAAAAATTGTAACAGAAATAGATGGACTTCAATCATGATAAAATTAAAAGGAAAAGTATTATAAAATAATCCCTTTGGATTAAAGAATGCAAGCAAACTTGGACACACCAAGTTGGTGTACATTCTTTAATCAACACGCAAGTTTCTTGCTCGTTCTTCTTGTGATGAGACAGCTTTCCAAACGAGCGGTAGATTAAAAAAATGTAATGACTATTCAAAAGTGCTTCAATGTAAGTTTATTTGAATAAATGATTTTCTATTCTATTCTATTCTAATCCAAATTATTGTCGACTCATATTTATTTAAAGTCAGTTTTTAATTATGTTTATTTTTATTGTCTTCACTTATATCTAATCTTTAAGGTAGTATTCCATTATTATATTCCTACTTCTCCATTTGACGAATAAAATAATAAAAAAAATCGTGCTCACTATAATTAATTCTATAAGTATTAAGTACATAAATTTGTATCGAATAAATTAAAATAATATTAAAAGTATCTTCGTTTACTCAAAAGGGCTGTACGTAATGTAGATGTAATATTGAAATTAAAATAAGTATGGACTTTTATTGATCCTAATACTGCATTTGTGAGTGTGGATGTATGCATATGGATGATGGACGCAAAAATTACGAAATGGATTTTATTGAAACTTTACATATGGCTTACACATCAAAATACCACATTGGCTTTAAAATTCACGCGGGCGAAATCTCGGGCACAGCTTTGCCTAAATCTGATCTCTCCACAAATGTATATAACACTTGTCACATAAAAGCTAAATTTCAAAACCGTTAAAGGTCCGAGAAATGAGAGTTTATTGTCATTCCGTTTTTAACATTGCTGTTATAATTAAAGGGAGTATTAATGAATTTTCATGGAAATTTTCCTCACTTGAGTGCTTTTTAATTAATATTATTGTTTTGATTTTTACTTTACTTTTCCAACGGATATTTTTTAAGAAAAATAAGTAGACTTTTTATGCTTTGTTAAGGGAATAGACTCGTCTCTTGTCGTGATAGGTAGATAAAATAAAAAGAACTGGTATTTGAGGACAAGTGTAGACTATTTTCATGACTTAATTAGGTCAGATATAATATTTGGGACCTCCTCCTATTTCCTTCAATTAACATTGTTAACGCATTTATTGTGCCTAGTGTCTTTCATTAAAACCTATGTATATATTAAATTCTGTAATACACATATTAATTTCACAAAAAAGCAACCATATCTATAATCTTTTATCCGCATCAATTAAAACAATGGGTACATACCATAAATGAACTTTAATTTACATTTTGATATACTTCCGATAATGATTTCCTATTGGGCCCATAAATATATTCACAGCCCACACCGTAGTCATTGATTACACGAGTTTAATTGAACATTGGGTGGAGCCTTACCTTGACATTGCTGCAAAAACCAACGCTCGGGGTGATCCACTATAGCCCAATCGATACCAGTTTCAACGTACCAGTATAAAAGCGAAAGTAAGTGTTTCAAAAATCATTACAATCAATACCATCGTACAACACAAACATGTACTCCAAGGTACATATTTACATTTTAATCATTCTGTTATAATTTGAACACCCACATACTATTATGGTGAAGAGATTTGTTCCCTGTTTGAGGTCAACGACTATTATAACCGGATTATTATTATTTTTGTACAGGTCATAGTATTCTTGTGCGCCGCGGGCATCGCCTCCGCTGGTAATCTGCTCCACGCAGCTCCCGTGACATACGCGGCTGCCCCCGCTGTCGCTACATACGCTGCTGCTCCCGTGGTTGCCAAGACACTCGCCCCTGCCGTCTCCTACCAGTCGATCTCCACTCACTCCGCACCTGTGGCCTACGCTGCCGCCGCTCCCGCTGTCCAATACGCCGCGGCTCCAGTAGTTGCTAAGACATTGGCTCCTGCTGTATCCTACCAGTCAATCTCTACCCACTCTGCACCAGTAGCCTACGCTGCAGCCGCACCCGCTGTCCAATACGCCGCAGCACCTGTAGTCGCCAAGACACTCGCACCTGCCGTCTCATACCAGTCGATCTCCACCCACTCTGCCCCTGTAGCCTACGCTGCATCCCCAGTAATTGCCAAAACTTATGCTGCCCCCGCACTCTCTTATGCCGCAGCTCCAGTTGTTGCAAAAGCCGTAGCCCCAGCAGTGTCTTACCAAACCATCTCCACTCACTCTGCTCCTGTGGCATACGCCAAGACCTATGCTGCGCCCGCTTTGACTACCTACTCCGCTGCTCCTCTGGTCACTAAAGCCGTTGCTCCCGTGACTTACGCCGCTGCCGCACCCGCTATCTCTTATGCGGCTGCCCCAGTACTGAAATCCGCGGTCGCTTACTCCGCCGCTCCCGCCGTTTCCCACGTATCCTACTCTACCCTTGGTGCTAGCTACGGCTGGTAAATGACTGATTAATTGTTATTTATACTATGAACCAAATCGCAAATGACTAATTTATTATATTTATAATAAATATAAATTTTGAATAAACATGTACTATTTTATTTTATCCAAATAATTCTTTATACATGCTGATACATGTCTAATACGAAGACGTTCGTAGTGATGTTTAACATGCTGCCTCATCTTCCGATTGTCGCAGGTCCACTTCTTGTATGAGACAAATATTAATATTGATGAGTATTAATGAGTTATTTAATTAGTGAGCTATTAATCTTATAATATAAATTTTGTAAGTAGGTATATTGCGTTACTAGCTGACCAGCGCAAATTCGTCTCACTCACACTTAGTCGATATCATTACATTTCGCCCAATTTACATGAAATCTTTTTAAATAATACTCTATATATATATATATATATATTGGTATTGATACTTCAGAACAAATAGTTCTGGCTAGTTTGAGATCTAAACGGCAATAATAATGTCCAATATAAAAAAATATCCAGATTTGTAATAAAGTAAAAAACACATTTGGTCCTAACGCTTATGTCTTTAAACTACATATTTACATGTCCACTCTTTTGTAATTGTCAACATCTCAAATGGTGATAAATAAAAACATACGGTATATGAAGGTCAAGACATAACATATTATTCTGTAACAATTCGTGGGAATGGAAAGTCACAGATATGCTGTCCATTATGAGCCTACTGAGATATAAAATAAGAAACATAAATAGATTTATAATATAATATAATAATAAAAATAATATCACAGGACAAATCACACAGCGATGTTTAGTCTCAAGCTAAGCAGAGCTTTTGTTATAGCTACTAGACAACTGACGAATATACATACTTAGACACATTTTTTTGTAAATACACACGTAATATAACATAATAACACAGAAAACACCCAGACCAATACAAACTATCAATAAAACCCAACATGGTAGGGAGAGAGTCTATGGCTACATCCCAAATTAATTTGGTTTTATATTGTTTTGTCCATAACCGGAGAGTTAATTAAAAATATAAATTGACACACAAACTTTTTGGTTTAGCTTTAGTAAATCACTATAACATGATGCCCTCTAGATAAAAGTAAATCAGTTCATGAATACTAAGATCAAACAACGCGGAAGAATGTATATATGTCTGTTGTCTCTTTACGACAAAACGACTGATCAGATCTTATTGAAATGTTTGAAGATAGATTATGTCACGAGGATGTCCATAGACTGTATTTTAACAAAAAAGCAATCAAAGTAGGCCTTAGAAACTACTTGTTTCTAAAGGCTACTTCGACTGCTTGTTTCTTCTATAAAATAAATGAATGTAATAATACCTTGATACTATGATATGCTGTCTTGACAACGCATTTTTTCATTTAATTGGAATGTCCAACAAGCTAACAGCGCACTTGATCATAAATGGCAACCGCCGCCTATAAACATAAACAGAACCACGGACATCCGTTATTAGGTAGCATCAGTAACACCATTCAAGCATTGATGATTGCTACATGCACACACGCATTCTCACGCACACTCATTTCACTATCTTTTATCGGTTGTCTGTCTCAAAATGGAGTTTTTAGGAAGATATTTATTGTTTTTTTATTTAAATGTTTAATTAAATGCTATGGACATGGGTGCAAAGAACTGCAACACAGTTTTTCTATGAACTAATGTAGTTCTTTATGTAACATATAATATGGTAATCATTTTGTATGGGTTTATTTCCGGTAATTTAGAGGATTAGCTCTACAATTGATAGATTACAAAGCAAGCTGAATACCAAAGAAAACTTTTGGAAATCAACCTTGGTAGTTAATTATTAATTAGGTTACTACTAAACATATTTAAAACAATATTAGTAAGGATTGTAACTTGCTACTTTATTCAGAGGACGGATATCTTAAGGCCGTTGGTCGACTCGTAATCCATAATATGACTTAACGTATACACCGCACGTGGCCTAAAAATATACATATAGCAAAGGACACTTGTTTGTAATTACTATTATAATTATATAAATGAAAAGAAATTAAATGTTCCAAGTTGCTGCTTTATGAAATGAGTATTATGAATTTTTATTTTATTGATGATTTTATTTCAAGATCTTGCTATCAAGATTTCTGTTATCTTTGTGCCGTTGAACTCGTACGTATGAATATAATAGGTATGTTGCTACTACTGGGCAGCAAGCATAGAGCTAGGTCTAATTCCTAGCTAACAGATTATATTGAAATATAAAACAATCATATTTGGTAAAATATTAATTTTAAATGACTTTTGTTTGCTAACATTTTATGTATTAAAATGAGAATATTCTATGATTTCAAAGTAAAACGTTAAAATAGCAAGCTATTATAATACTAAGATTCTAACATATAGAAACTTCATCTAGAAAGGTTTTAGGTAGACACTTATAATGCAAACAATTCTATATTTTTACTGACAATACAGATTTTTTCTCTATTGTTATTTTTATCTGTCGGCGCAAAAAGATTGAAACCATTATTTATCTGTGGAATCAAAACTCGCAGATAGATAGACTTCTTTTTATTTCAGCACTCAAGGTCGCGATCATTCTCAGCTTTTTCTCGTATTTTCACCTAATACGAGAAAAAGCTAAGGTATCCTTTCATTTTATCAGCTTTTATACTTTTAGCTTAATAATTTATTTAAGTTTTACCAATATTATCTATTTGATTATATCATATGTAGAAGATAGTAGTTATTGAAAGGTAAATTACACACTTAACAAATTATTACAAAGGTAGGTAACCTTTATCCGATCGTTTCGGATGGAGTATGAAGCCTTGACATTGCAGCAGGGTAATCAACTAACTAAACGTAATTATAACCTCAATACCGGTTTTCGGTTACTATATAAAAGCGAAAGAAAACGTTATTGAAATATTATAAACAAGACCAACAAACAACACAAACATGTACACCAAGGTACAGTTGCTTATCGGATTCAGTGATAAAATATTCAAATATTTTAAAAACTTACAAAGTTAATATTAATTTTCTCATTTTAGATCGTAGTCGTCCTTTGCGCGGCGAGCATCGCCTCCGCTGGGAACATTCTCCATACGGCTCCCGTAGCATCGTATGCCGCTCCAGCCATTACCACATATGCGGCTGCACCCGTCGTCACTAAAACTCTCGCTCCTGCTGTCTCTTACCAGTCAATTTCGACACACTCTGCTCCTATTGCATACGCAGCAGCTCCCGCTGTCCAATACGCCGCAGCTCCAGTGGTTGCTAAAACCTTGGCTCCCGCTATCCAATACGCCGCGGCTCCAGTAGTTGCTAAGACTTTGGCTCCCGCTGTGTCTTACCAATCGATCTCCACTCGCTCCTCTCCAGTAGCCTATGCTGCAGCCCCCGCTGTACAATACGCCGCAGCTCCCGTGGTTGCCAAGACATTGGCTCCTGCGGTTTCCTACCAATCGATCTCAACCCATTCTTCACCCTTGGCATACGCCGCTGCAGCTCCCCTGATCGCTAAGACCTATGCTGCCCCCGCAGTGACGACCTATGCTGCTGCTCCCCTAGTTACTAAAACTATTGCTCCCGCTGTATCGTACGCTGCTGCCGCACCCGCCATCTCTTACGCGTCTGCACCTGTACTCAAGTCTGCACTAACCTACTCTGCTGCCCCCGCCGTCTCTCATGTCTCATATTCGGGACTAGGAGCGAGCTACGGCTGGTAAATATGAGTATATTTAAAATTTACACTAAATTATAATATTTATTGTGAACTAATTTATATGAAGAAAATGTACAAATAAAATCATTTTATTTTATATAAATATATTTTTTATTTATAATATGCCTACATACATTTTTGATTTATGCTGGAGAGTGGATGAACCTGTATAGGTGTCAAAGCAGATGGTGCGTCATATACCCGTATTTTTTTTTGTGTATGATAATGGAATGGTGCACCCGCCCGCGCTAACGGTTTACGCTGGCGGGAAACCAGTGGAGGATGACAAGATGAGCATAAGGTCAGGTCATTTAATCCATCGTGACAAATTCACCAAGAATTCATCACGATGGTTTCCAGGGAGAACCACGTGGAAGTCGATCTAACATGGTACATTGCTAGCAATAGGAGTTACTAGTTCACATTGCTAACAATCCCCTTCCCCCCATATACCCGTATTGTAATCACTAACATTTACGACCAACTCGTACATACATACGCATAGTTACATTATTATTAAATTTATTTTTAATTTTTCTAGTCTTAAACTAAATCATCGTGATCACATAGACACTATAATATTATGTCCTGGTTTTGTACCATGTATCAATTATATTATAATGGTAATATTCAGCATAGAGAGAGAGAACATTTTAAATCTTATCGACGAAGTAGTACGGTTTGTTTTTATTGATATTTAAATACAAATTAACATTACTTAATAATTTACATAAAAGTAGTAATATACCGAAATAGACAAACATTAATTTTAAATGTCATCGAAAATAAGACTTACTCAAATAGGTTTTAACTTCCCTCTTTGATTCCTTCCGTGATTGGAAAATTTCCTTTTAAATTGTATGTCAAAATTTGTTTACATGTGAATAAATATCCTATTATAAAAATTTCATATGCATAACAGAACCAAGTCAAAAAATGTCCTTTTTGACATATGTCAACTATTGATTTGTTACAGCTGATTTATTAATATATATAATAATAATAATATTTTAGGACAATTCACACAGCGCCATCTAGTCCCAAGCTAAGCAGAGCTTGTGTTATAGGTACTAGACAACTGATATAAATACATGGATACATTTTTTTTGTAAATAAATACATATTATACATAGAAAACACCCAGGCCGATACAAACAATCATACTCATGAATACAAATGTTTGTACCGTGCGAGGGATCGAACCCACGACCATCGGATAGTAAAGCGGTGTGCTAAACCACTAGACCACCGAGGCTGTCTATATATTGATTGATTACAGCTGATTTATTTCTATAATAGTTTTTGCTAAGGACTTCATCCTACTGACCAAGATAATTTATATATCCATCTTCATTCTGAAGATAGTCAATACACATAAATGTTTTAAAATAAAACTTTCAACAAACATAGCCAATATATATGAGGACAAATTATACATTATAATGCAGTAATTAAAACCACGAACGTCGAAAGGTGAATTCGTGTTAAACTGCTATACCACCAAGGTTGTCAAGTAAAATATAACATGAATAAATTGTCTAAATTTAGTTTTCGCGGTAATCGCTTTTCATTTTAACGTGGAAATCAAATCCAAGACAATATTATAAAAATAAATCTGTTCGCTCTGATTTAACTATGTGCGTTACTATATTACTTTTTTCAATACTATTGAAGTGGAAAATCTGAGTTAAATAAGCATTTCATTGTTTTTATCAATGTATTAACAATTTACGAAATTTAGCTTTCATTTAAAACAGAAAACTCAAGAAAGAATTCATATATGTAAATTTATACGTATGTCCTGAAATATGCGATAATAAGATGAATTTGTGTTTTTGCGGATGTAATGTTATTTAATATTTCACGCTTAAATAACGAAAACATATAATAATAAGTCTTAAGTTTTTAATACGTTTATTTATACTGTATTTATTATTTAACAATTTTATAACGTTCTTACAGTCTCTTGCAGGTTTGGTATCGTATTTGGTGCTTAATAAGAATAGCTGCCGTCTGAACCTCTGTAGCTTACTTGAGACACGGCTGGTGCAGATGAGTACTGCGCTGGAGATGGATAACCAGAGTATCCTGGGATGACAGTAGAATAACCACTGGGGTAAGATGCAGCACCAGAATAAGCCTGTACTGTACTGTATGCTGGAACACTAGAGTATCCAGAGTAAGAATACGCGGGAGCTGAGTATCCCGACGCAGAGTATGTGGGAGCAGAGTATCCCGACGCAGAGTATGTGGGAGCAGAGTATGCCGACGCAGAGTATGTGGGAGCAGAGTATCCGGAAGTCGAGTAGGCGGGCGCAGAATATACAGACGTAGCGTATGCTGGAACAGAGTATGGCTGGGCAGAGTATGGCGCAGCTACGGTATATCCGGAAGTTCCAGAATAAGGTATGGCAGCAGGGGTCGAGTACGAGTAAGACACTGCAGGCACGCTGCTTCTAGCTACCGAAGGCACAGCACTGTACGATTGAGTGGAGTACGCAACTGGAGCAGTGGTATAAGCAGCGGAATACTGGGGAGCACTAGTCACCGTTCTCCCAGCTGGTGCCGTAGAGTAAGTCGTGACGGCAGGACCGGTGTATGCCCTTGAAAGGGCGCTTGATCCGGGATATGAAGCGACGGGGCCGTACGTAGACACAACTCGTGGCTGTGACGCGTAGGAAACAGAAGAGAGTGCGGGGGCCGCAGAATATCCAGTGACCGCGACTTGGCTACTGGCGGTGGCGATGCCCGCCGCGCACAGGAGTACCATCAACTGTAATCACAAATAACGTTACTTATATAACACAGGAAACACACAATACAATTGCTCCTTTATAACTTGTATCACAAAACCCGTACCTTGCCGTACATCTTCGATCTTTGTGTTTAGACGACAGAATAAGTTCAAGTTCAGTACGCTCACTTTTATATACCATTGCCTAAAAACTGGAATTAATACATCTTTAAATTAGCACACTATGCAAATTTTTAATAAACGCGTCTCTTCAAATTTTGTCTTCTTTGCATTGAAATAAGATTAATAATTGTATCCGCCAAAACCACGATATTTATGTGAATTCTTTCTGCTAATTAGGGCTGTCAACTTATATTTTAATCAGAGTACTAATACTCTGATTAAAATATAAGTTAACACATATGTATATTTTGAGCAAACCAAACAAACTGGTAAAACTGTTTGAAATTGTAAATAGAATTATACTAACTCAAAAAGGAAACTTTCCAAATTCAACTATTATTTTGTAGTAGGTATAGGTAAGTTAATAAACACTAATAATAGCTTAATATAATAATATGTAAGGCGGATATCCTAGCTAATTATAAATCAATTAAATAACTAATGGAATAACTTTTACCAGTAGTCATGCTAAATGGTTTTTTTATGTAGCACAATATTAACATTTTTTTCTCTTAAACAAACACATGTATCAATATAACCAACCCTAATCAAACCGAATAATAAAGTCGTGCAGCCACCCACCAAACAGTCTGCCTAATATTTATTCCAATAAATTTATATTTCTCGTTTATGCGAAAATGCCTTTTTGGCTCTGAATAGGTATTTCTTTATTTATTACGCACTCTTGATTTATTAACGAATTTTATACGTGTGTCAAAAAAATCTACCTACACGTGGATTTAGACGAAAAAAAAAATAGGTCAAAGAGTAGAAACGATTAGCACACAAATATCAAATTGGTTTATATCTTCTTATAAAATTGTAAGCAAATATAAACCTACTTATTATTTGTCTGCAAATCGGATCCAAACATACTAACATTATAAATTTAAAAGAATGTCTGTCAAAACGATACGAACTAAAAAATCCTCTCTTACAAAACAACTGAAATTTAATAAAAGATAAGGCGATTGCATAACAAGAACGAATATAGAACATAGGATAATATATAGGATTTAAAAATATAGAAAATAAATTAATACCCGCTCTAAACTTCCTGTCCATCGTAGGTATAGGTAATGGAAAGAAATCTTACAACTAAGTATTATGAGGAGAGAACTGTTCAGCAGTGGACCTTTTGTGAATTACTAATCTATTTACTAGTAAATAGTACTAGTATATCTTACTTTCGTATTATATTCATAATTTAATAATATTAAATTGAAACTACTACTATTGTAAACTGTAAAGTATTTGCAGATTTTTGAATAGTCACTATTGAATTAATAAACTACATATTTTATATAATATGCAAATAACAACAAAATATTCTGTACACTATGTTTTTCTGACTTTTGCATGATTTGGTCAGAATTCTAATTAAGTACCTATATATGCTTAAACAGAATTCTGACTATTTTTAATTATTTATAAGTAAATAATATATTTATATTTTTCATTGCAGTTAAAATTTATGACTAATCTAATCATCATAAAAATGCAAATAATTTCAAAATTACTGCATTCTTAAATACTTATGTAATTTATATTTGTGTAAAGCGAATAGTGATGATAATAACTATGACGAAATATTGCTCCAACTTCTCTATTTAATTCTCAACAGATTTTTAGTTATAGCACAGACATGATAATATTACATAGTTATAGGTTTATGAAAAATAATATTACCGGGTCTAAAGTCAATAGTATTAATATTTATAATATTACTGCAACAAAGTTTATTTTTAATGACATAGTAGAAATTTATAGGCAAAGACGTTGTTTCTTAATTTAAAAAACTATTTTCATTACTTTCTAATATTATGTACTTCCAAAAATATTGATACTGATTACATATTACTGAATTCATTGTCAAAATAAATCATCGAGGTTTGCTTTGTACAAAATCGTCTGCTTACGTTGGATTCTACGTCTCATCACGACAATTTCCGCTGACAAGGCAGTGAAATTACAGAGTACAGAGGTATAATAATTTTAGTCCTTCGGAATGGCAACACGTAAGTGGATGTCATCACGGCCTTCACATGATGACGTGATATCCGTGGTACAGTTACTCTATAAAGGCGATAGTTACCGTTTACTATCTAGTGGACCAAGGGGCGTATTATGTAAAAAATATAGATATATATACTCTTTCCCACAAACAGTCCTCGATTACTACTAACGGATCAGTTATTCATCTATATTTTAGGAAAGCCTAAATAATATAATAATAAATCATAAGCTTAAAGTACTAGGTAGCTTATAAATACATAGTTTTTTTTTTGTAAATACATATTATACACAGAAAACACCCAGATCGATACAAACGATCATCCTCGTGAATACAAATGTTTGCACCGTGCGAGAAATCGAACTCACTGCCATCGAGAAGGCGGTGTGCTCAACCGCAAGACCACCAAGGCCGCAAAATGACCTGACGTCATTAATTCATAAATTTACATTAAATCGCATATTAAACAAACGTAGGTATTTCTAGTATACGTATTCAGTATAAAATAGTATAAGATATACATAACCATATTGCATATCTCACCAGACAATTTAAATTTGACAATTAAATTTCAGGTAATAAATTAATCTGCATTTTTAGGTCCACTTGCACTATGCATTCAGAATGAATAAATATTTCTCAGTATTCTTAATACATTTTTTCATCAATTGTAACTAATTGCAATATATTAATTTCAAAATAGTGGTAGATATAGAATTTTGATCTATTTATTTATTTATTCATGATAAATTTTTGTATTAATTATAAACACAAATGTTTCATATAAATGTCGTAGTTGCCAATAATTAAGGTTGCGCTAAGTAATTGTGTAAGTATAAACCTTGTTGGTGACCTAATAAATAAATAAATAATGAAATAAAGAATGTATATTGTGTTGGACTGTTCATATTAAGTATAGATTTTCAAGTTTCCATAAAGAATCAATAACAAAATAATTTAAAAGTCTTCAATTGTTAACTCTACAATACTCAACCTCTAACTACCCCATCTCGGCTAGCAGTCGTGAAGGAATTATTATAGAATCTTCTACATAAAAGAATTGTGCCTGAACTAACTTAACTTAGAATTATTTGTCAACAGATTGCATGGTGTATTAGGGAACAGGCCTGGCTTAACAAATTTTCTTAAAAAGAAAAACACTAGGTACCCATTGTAACTATGCAATTACTTCAGATAATAATTTTATAAATAAAAACAAAAGAACTTTGACTTGATATTTTAATACTATCGATACATCATTTTAAAGATTTATCTTTATTCATGGACTAATACTCGTAGTATTATGAAAGTGAAATGTACAGTACAGTCGGTAATTCGGTATAAAAACCAGAGCATTACTTGACGAAATTATTCAGTTGCCAACTTTAATAGCATCAACATGTACGCCAAGGTATGTTTCAGGATTAATTTTAATAAGTGTAGGTCCTACTACCTTACACATGATTTGTTTATTTAATTGTTGTAAGGGTGTTTTACATTAAATACAAATTTAACTCAAAATTAAGAACTTCCAATTTTATACTTAAATTAGGGATTTATCTATCTGTAATTATGTGAGGATGTTATTTGTAGGAATTATTCTGTTTTTGTATGTGCGACTGATTATACTACTTATTGTAATTTTATGTATAATAATAATACTTCTTTGTTAAAAATTTGATTCATTGTGAAATTTACAAAAAAATTATTTCAAACATTCATAGGCGCCTTAAATTGTATATGTACATATACATATATTAAACTATAGGTACATATATAGTAATCATTTTTATTATAATTTCAGCTGATCGTTGCCCTTTGTGCCGTGGGTCTTGCCCATGCTGGTGGCCTTTTGGGAGCCGCACCTCTGGCATATTCCAGCCACGCCATCGCTGCCCCAGCAGTGGCAACATACGCAGCTACGCCCCTCCTGACTAAGACCATCGCTCCCGCCGTGTCCTCAGTTTCCTCTTACTCTTCCCACACTTCCCATGGCTCTCCCATCACGACTTACGCCGCCGCCCCCGTCGTAGCTAAAAGCTACGCTGCTCCCGCCGTGGCTGCCTACGCTGCACCAGCCGTCGCTGCGTACTCTGCTCCTGCAGTCGCCGCATACTCTGCGCCTGCGGTCGCCGCATACTCCGCCCCCATCGTGACTAAGACCATCGCTCCCGCCGTATCTTCTGTATCCTCCTACTCGACCCACACCGCTCATGCATCTCCCATTGCGACCTACGCCGCCGCCCCCGTAACTTCTTATGCCGCAGCACCTGTGGCCTCTTATGCCGCTGCTCCAGTAGCTGCTTACGCCGCTGCCCCTGTGGTCGCTAAAACGATCTCCACATACGCCGCACCCGCTGTTTCACAGATCGCCTACAGCGGACACGGTGCCAACTATGGTTGGTAAATGTAATCTATTTAAAATTAATTAAATAATAAAACAATTACCTGTGATAAATTATTATTCATTTTTGTCCTATCTATCGCAATTTTGACATAAAATAACCAAATTCTATATACGTATTTATTTTAGATCATCAAATTGAAATATCAGAAATAATAGATTGTTTACAAATATAATGTATTCTATATCGAAACTAATAAACATTCATCAAGAGTGTGCATATAAATACACTTCTTAATATTTCGTAAAGAACTTACATCCATTGACTTGCAACATGTACTGCACTATTAATTTATAATAATAATAATAACGCACTCACACACGCACACTGACACATACACACACGGACGTACATACACAGTACACACACACTGCACTTATTTGGTTTTGACTCGTAAGTGGTACGCCGCAAAGTATAAAAACTCGGCAAAAAAAGCTTACAAAACAAAACATATCAATAATAATAATAATCTCAGGAGCTTAACATGGATCTAGATTGCGCTGTGTTAGCTACCTAAAGCTTGTGTTATGGGTACTAGATAACTGATACAAATACATAGACTTTTTTTCGTAAATACATACATATTATACGTTAAAAACGCCCAGACCGACACAAACAATCATACTCATAAATACAAAATATTTGTGCGAGAAATCGAACCCGCGACCACCGGACGTAAAGCGGTGTGCTTGACCGCTAGACCACCGAGGTCGTCGAATTCGAATTTACAACGTACACTCCTCTATGGATAGATAATAAAATCATTGGATCACGGCTGTATTGTAAGCCCAGATAGGAGTTAAAAGAATTAACAACTGACACTCTAGTTGTTGTCACTGTTACCGTTGGGATCGTCTCTCAGTACACAATTCATGAAGCAGATCGAATATAACGTGATAAAGAGCTAAAACCTAATCAACTTTTCCGTATTATTGAATACATTTAGCATATGTTCAATTTCAGTCATATGAAATGAAATTAAAACACCTTTATGAATGTAGGTCTATTACAGACTCTTATGTCAAACCTAACGTAAAGAGGAGTGCTTTCGGGTTAAGAACTGTTAGTTCTTATTCTGAGCTGGTAAATAATTATAAAGATACAGTTTAAAATAATGAAGTGTAATGAAGTATTAAAATTAAGGAGAATGTAGTGACCACCAAAATATAGCTATTCTATTATTCTCCATTAGAAATAATTTGATAAGTTGTCGTAACGCAAACTGATCAATCCCTACAAACAGGCATATACATTACTTATATTATATATATGAAAATGTTATACAGACGGACGTCAGACCGTCTGTTTGTTTTATTTTATTTGCATAATCAGTTAATTGAATTCAATTTTTAAAAAATTAGGTAAAGATAGAACATAGTATAGGCTATATTTTGTCATAAAAAAACTAGGCGAATATCCTGGAGGCTATAAAACTTGGGTGACTGCCAAATATGTACTCAAAGAAGCTATCTGTTTATAAAATTTATTCGCCGACTTACAATAATAAAGTACCTACTCATAAGAAAAGTGGACTTCTGTATTATATTGTTTTACACATGGAATTATTTCTTGGTATACATACAGACTTATAAATATTTAAAAGATAACAAAATTAATACATAAAACAGATTACAAGTTTAGAATTTCAACTAAATCATTTTCAAACCGTACCAACGCGCCACGTTTCTAATTACCTAACGCGAAACAATTTCAGTTAAATAATGCATATGTAAATCTAATATTATTGACACTGTGAATTACTGTATGATGATATGTGTATATTCTTAAGATAGAATCTTAAGAATATCATCTTCACTCTATCTTATTACAGATTTTCAGTAATTGTTCTATACATTTCTACATATTTATATTTTTGTTAATCCACTATTTCATGTTGCGCTCACAGTCACTCGATGGACACGTATGAAAAGCATAAAATCCCAGGGAATGTAGGTATTTTAAAATCCATACCTGTTTTCAAATTTTGCAAAATTTGTCTTTTTAAAGTTATTGATAAACATACAATTAATTGGCAGTACTAATTAAATCTTAGGTTTTATTTTATTTAAAAGTGGAATAGAAATAGAGTAAAAGACGGTGAGAATAAATAATTTAACCCAAATTATCCATTTCTAGAATTTATTTTTGACAGTCATTTGCAGTAAATGCTTGAATAAATTATAATATTTATTAAGGTTACAAAAACCGTTCAAAAATAATTATAATTAACAAGATTTGACACATTCAACGAGAATGCTCTAGTATTTTTTTTTGTAACCAAAATATCGTATATCGTCGTATACCTTAACTAAGAAAGTAAATAAATATTCAGATCACTTCAACGCGAAAAACAACCTACAGTGACAATAATAAAGAGAAATTAAAAAAAAACATTTTCTTACGAAGCATACTGCATAATATAGAGACCTGTTTTAGTACTCAAATTTTTAAATAAAAATAATTTACTGATTTCCTGTTCATACTTTGTTTAATTATATTTATTTGTCAACTCAGTATAGTATAGTCATATCTACTCGATTCAGGTACGACGATATTTTATCTGAGAGTAGCCTGACATTCACGGAACAGACATTGTACAACAACTGGTAGACCTTCATAATACATATAGATTCGCTCTAAATTTAGATGAATATAGGATAAAAATAAAGACGGCAAATTATCACAGGAAATAAATTTATTTTACATAAGACTATTATTTATAACGTATTCAGTTTACCAACCGTAATTGGCACCGTAACCGCTGTAAGCGATCGGTCCAACAGCAGGAGCAGAGGAATACGCGACGGCGGGAGCGGAATATGCGGAGATCGTTTTAGCAACCACGGGAGCGGCCGCGTAAGAGGCGACTGGAGCAGCAGCATAAGATGCTACGGGGGCAGCGGCATAGGAGACAGGAGCAGCGGCGTAAGAGGCCACGGGGGCAGCGGCGTAGGTCGCTACGGGGGAAGCGTGAGCGGTGTGGGTTGAGTACGAGGAGACAGAAGATACGGCGGGAGCGATGGTCTTGGTCACGATGGGGGCGGAGTATGTGGCGACGGCAGGAGCAGAGTACGCAGCGACGGCTGGAGCAGAGTACGCAGCAACGGCAGGTGCAGAGTACGCAGCGACGGCTGGTGCAGAGTACGCAGCGACCGCTGGTGCAGAGTAGGCAGCCACGGCGGGAGAGGCGTAGCTCTTAGCTACCACAGGAGCGGCGGCGTATGTCGCAATTGGTGAGACATGAGCGGTCTGAGTAGAGTATGAAGATACCGAAGATACAGCGGGGGCAATGGTCTTAGTAACGACGGGAGCAGCTGCGTATGTCGCCACAGGGGCGGCGATAGCTGGACTGGAATATGCTAGAGGGGCCGCTCCTAGTAGGCCACCAGCTCGGGCAAGGCCCACGGCGCAAAGGGCAACGATCAGCTGTAAATATATAAAAAGTTATTACCAAAATGTATATATAAATTACTCATTTTTTACGTAATTTTAAATGCCAAACCAACTGGCGGTAGATAGTAAGTTGTAACCGTGACCTATATACTTATATGAACTACACCACGGGCATCAGGTTATCATGTGGTACCCGCAGTACCCTTTATGTATTGCCATTCCAGAGAACTAAAATGTCATCAATCTGTAACCTGTAATTTCACTATAATTTCTCACCCTTCAACTGAAACACAGGCTACAAAGCAAGCTGTAGCAGATATAGAATAAGTAAGAGGATAATTTTGTACAAAATCTAAGCATTAAGATTACTAATATATTATATATTTGTCCTTAAAAATTCCTAAAATGTAGTTTAGCACTATTGCGACCATAACTTGTCATCAGATGGGCTATTACTACAATGCTTTGTTTGCCATTCCAAGTCCGATAACAAAATTATTAGATTTACTTTTCACACAGACACTAGATGTAGTATTTAATATTAATAAACATTCACTTTATAATATATTATTTTATTAATAATATCTCCCATATTTTTTATCACAATGTAGATTATACTTTTTAAAAACACTCCTGAAACACACCTTAGCGTACATGTTGATGCTTCTAAAGTTGGCAACTGAATAATTAAAGATTGCAATACTGCTGTTTTTATATCAAATAGATGCCGTATGCATTTAACATTTCACTTTCAAAATACTTATAAGTCCATGAATATAGAGGTGGTTAAGTGGATCTAGAATAGTGACAATCAATCAACTTTGATGCATGATGAATTTTTATTACTAAATTTAATTAATACTATACAGTTGTCGCAGTCACAACTGAATGTTATTTATCTATTTATATTGACAAATATAATGATAAAAAAGTAATATGTACGTATTTAAATTGGAGAATTGGTCACAAAGATTTGTCATGCATAGTTTTAAAAGTTACCACATAGTGAACAAAGGACGTCGGAAGGTACTCACTCTGGAGTAAAATATTAACTCTTTCAACCATCGTGTCGTGATGAAATTAAAATATATCTAGATTACATGTCACATACTACATCTTAGTGACGGTAAGACTGTTAGTTAGTTATCGTAAGAGCTGTCTAGGATTACTAAATACATCACAGTAACACTTATTAATTGCTCATTTAATGCAATTTTGTAATTATATTGTAATTTTTTAAATTAACTGTTACCCTTTTCTTCTACATTCTATTACAAAATATTACATGAAAAACAATGTGCATACTTTTAATTTTATCCGTGGCTATCATTTGTAATTACTGTCTTCCTTGAGGCCTAAATATAATTCTAAAGCACAGCAACATGTTTATCATATATTTTCCTACTCCTCCGAATTGTCATTCAATTACGATCTAATCCGCATTTCGCATGTGTATTGAATCAGATCAATTAATAATTAGAACACTATAGCAAAGTCTAAACTGTGCTGACTAATTACTCATTTATTAACCTCAGCATTAAAGACATTTGCATCTTTCAAACAAAAGGGCAAAATCTAATTAAGGAATAATAGTTATGATTACTAATCTTGACAAAATGATAGTAAAGTAACGTGTAAATTATCTTGTCTATATTGTCTAAACGAATAATCAAAAACCCATCACTATCCCGGATGTGAAAACCGAGGAGGTTTTCACTGATAGTCGGATTTCATTAGAAATAACAAAGAATGCTTGTTCCAAAAAAACAAAACATATACGTCTAGCTATAAACCTGCATGTTTATTCATAAACTATATAATGTATTATTGATTAATAAATTGTGTAAGAGTTACTGTTTATAAACTGTACAGTCTATTAGTGCATATACATAATTTATATTAACGACGCGGCGACGTTGACATTCAATTCTGTGAAGTTATTTTTGTAAGAGGTGTAATGGAAAGGAGGTGGCATTACGATTTTTATCTGCATAGTGAAGCATAAAAATATTCAGAAATATCTCAAGAAAATCCAATTGACTTTAAAATGTAACTGTGCAATGTGTACAAAATTAATCTTTATTATGTTCTAGTCTGCAAAGTTATAAAAAGTCATTAGAACACTCATGGAGGTCTTTGCTCCATGGTATACTTTTTTATTTGCCTCTGGCATTAATTACGAGCAAATCTCAAAACATTAGCAATCTTAGTCTAGATTAAAATTATACATATACCTATACCTTAATAAAATACATACTAAAAGTAGTTCAGCTACGATCAATGACTAATCTTGTCGAGGTCATTTCTTTTGGTCATTATTTGTATGGGAATTATATAATATATTATATATTCACAATTATTATACTATACTTATGAAAATAAGCCCATAACAATCAGATTGTCAATTGTCGATGTCCTGGACGAAATACAGGTTATGACAAATATTTTGAACACTACATTCTAGCCAAAGTTATACCGCCGTCTCTAATATTGATATGGTTTGTTGTGAATGTCTTTATCACCGTTAAGTAAAACAGAAATAAAAAGCGATACAAATTTTTTTGGGTAATTCACGACCTTTTTATGGCTTCCCAGTTAAATATATTAACATAAAAATAGCCTTTTTCAAATAGTGGCAACAGCATTAAACTCTGTTTAGTATTTTTTGAGTTTATCCATTTTTAATGTCTAAGTATAATTTATAATATTAGTCTGGATAAGTAGAGATATTAAACTACTGAGCTATGATGATTTACACTTAAAATATGAATCGTGCTATTATTAAACAAACTAATGCGTAGTCCATTATATTACAGTTTACCTGAATTGGGTCTACAAACTTATATACTGCGTATATAAGTTTATAAAGAAGTTGTGTGTAATGTTCCGGGCTTTTCAGAATGTATTTTTTGTTATATAACTAGCAACCCGCACACGGGTCCAAAAAGGTTATAATGAAAATATTGAACATAGATCTATATAGATCTATTGTAACAGACTTACAGTACAATTCCGTCATACATGTCATGAATATGTTTCGTTCATTTTTCATTACTGCTCCGCTATCATAGGTTGTAGCGTGATGTTATAAAGCATATAGCATTCGCCGATAATATACGTTACTAACAGTGAAAGAAATTTTAAAATCCTATCTGCATATCCTGGAATTACCCCGAAAAAACAAACATTGTATGTTAGTTAGTTTGTACTAACTCTTTATAATATCTAGTTGTACCTATAGTTGCAAAGTGTCCCAAGTATCAAGTAATGGTAAAACTCACAGACCAATACCAACATACTCATGAATACAAATGGTATTGCGAGAATCAAACTCATTTACCTAAAGTGATGTGCTACCGGACTACCGAGGCCGTCAAAGTTAATAATTATGTCATAATTTAGCGAATAATAAGAAGTAATATCAAATTATGATCTTAAATAATATTTTATCATGATATCGAGAGCAATTGAATGAAATTACGTTTAATTTAATTATTACCTTGAATTGTCGACAACGCCAATTGGATTCTTTTGACAAACAGGAAACGTGCGTATGAATAAGGTCTCGATTCATATCAAGTCTTGCTCATTCGTAAATAAAACTGAAATACCCATTACAACCATAACCGTTTTCTATAGTAATTAAATTTCTTTATTCTGGTTACAAGGAACTGGGTACTGATCAATCAGACAATCATGTCTGTTAGAAATTTATTTTCACAAAATTTTTAAATTGTTATAGATTTTGAACAAAACTACTCCATGTATAAGACATCATTCCATATTACAGATACATTTCTTTCAAAATCAGATTTTTATTTGTAAAATCTACCGATGCGAAGAAGCGATGCTGTTTAGCACATTATAATCTAAACATCCAAGCTATTTAACAAAAAAGTGAAAGTGTAAAATGGCGGATTTATATTCCCTTTGCGAGGAATGAACAATAGGTATATATATATTTAGATATGTGTATATATATATATATATATATATATTCAGATATGTATTTGCAATATAATGCAGACATTTATGTATATTCATTAAAAGAAAACCAAGGCTAACTTTACACATGTTAAATCAACACAAATCTAAATTATAAAGTTAGTAAAAGAGTGTACTTTGTAAGCAGTTCTATTCCTAACTTTAAAATGAACTTATATAAAATATAGATATATTCTTCAATAAATATTTAATTATTTCTTAGTCAAAGAGGGCTTAACTGTAACTAAACTCAGTTGGTATCTCGCTGATTTAATATTATAAGATAATAGATCCAAATTTACTGTTTAGATAGTTTATTAAAATTGTTGCTAGCTCGCCAAATAAATTAATTTTGTTTATTATTCGATGACACTAGGGGAACAAATAGAAGAGGATTATGCTTTGTTGATGTTCGTGGTACGTTAATTGATAATTTACTCAGGAGATTAGAGCAGTCAACAGCACTAGAGGCTACTCTCATTAGATATGTAATATCCGCGATTTCCCTACATTTCTCAAGAGGCAGAAGGTAGTGATCTTAAAGATATTGATTTATACTTGATTATTGTTATCAAATTAATGATGAAACAATTACAATAATGTAATCGTTTCAGTTTCAAATTAATTTGAAACAATAATGTTTTGCTATTAAAATAGCTGTAATAGGCGATTTGTTCTAAATAAGAATTTTCCTTATTCATGTATTTGTGGTGTTCATAGATTTATGTGTTATTTATTTTCCCATTGAAATATGAGATTATAGATAACTAGCTGTTATTGCTATTTATATATTCAGGTACAGGACACAAGGAGTCAAATCAAAATAATCAAAGTATATGGCAATTCGTTTAATTTTTATAACGGTCTATTTACAAATAAGATAGGAGATTCAGTTTACCAACCATAGTTAGCACCGTTACCACTGTACGCGATATGTGAAACAGCGGGGGCGGCGGAGTACGCGATAGCTGATTTCAGGACTGGGGCGGCCGCGGCATAAGAGGCGACAGCGGGCGCGGCGTAGGCAGCTACTGCTGGCGCGGCGTAGCTAGAGATGGTCTTAGCAACGACGGGGGCCGCAGCGTATGTGGCCACGGGGGCAGCGGCATAGGTCGCTACGGGAGATGCGTGTGCGGTGTGGGTCGAGTAAGAGGAGACAGAAGATACAGCGGGGGCGATGGTCTTGGTCACGATGGGAGCGGAGTACGCAGCAACGGCGGGTGCAGAGTACGCAGCGACGGCGGGTGCAGAGTACGCAGCGACGGCTGGTGCAGAGTACGCAGCGACGGCTGGTGCAGCGTAGGCAGCCACGGCGGGAGCGGCGTAGCTCTTAGCGACCACGGGAGCGGCGGCGTAGGTCGCGATGGGAGAACCGTGAGCGGTGTGGGTAGAGTAAGAGGACACCGAAGAAACAGCAGGCGCGATGGTCTTTGTGACGACGGGAGCAGCGGCGTAAGTCGCTACAGCAGGAGCGGCGTAGGCAGCTACTGCGGGAGCAGCATAGGCCTTAGCTACAATTGGGGCAGCGGCGTAAGCAGCAACGGGAGATCCATGAGCTGTCTGGGTGGAGTATGAAGAATAGGAGGACACAGCTGGAGCAATGGTCTTGGTTACTACAGCGGGGGCGGCGATGGCTGGGCTGGCATATGCCAGAGGGGCAGCTCCCAAGAGACCACCAGCACGGGCAACGCCCACAGCGCACAGAGCGACGATCAGCTAAAAGAAAGAAAAGACATTATAGCTTATGCAAACCTATCACTATTATTTATCGGTATTGGGTAATATCAGAAAGATAATTATGAATATGTATTATAAAATAATAAAAACAGCAATTACTAGGAAAATTTTGGGAATAAACGATATATTGGAAGCGGATGCACTTGAAATTTAAGTCTGGAACACACCTTGGCGTACATGTTGATGCTGCTAAAGTTGGCAACTGAATAATTCGACAAGTAATGCTCTGGTTTTTATATCGAGTAAGTGCCGTCTATATTGTCCATTTCACTTTCATTGCCAAGGTGAGCTAGTGGTTGTACATTATAATGTTCGAGTAGCCTACGCCTCTGAGTCAGAGATAGCCTTTCAATTTTATTTGTTCCACTTGCTATTACATATGACGACTTAGTATAGGGCGCACAAGCCTTGAGCATAAAATTAAATAATAATTAGATCTACAGATCGAGTATCGATGTTTACCGTTCATAATGTTTGTTTGTGACATTAAAGCTATTGTGTAGTATTAAAGACGTCGATAAGTGACGATGTTAAGTCAATAATACTAATAGTTAGAGTATACTGGAGATGATGAAACACTATAACAAACATATATTATTTATTTGGGTAAGTGCTTTCGTTATTTAATTTCGGGAACTTCATGTAGACTATATATTCTCTTATTTATGATAGGTAGTAAGGTTGTAATATTGCCTAATTATATATATAACCCAAAGCCTAGAGAATATTCTACTTAGTTATTTACATAGGTATCTCTGCCGCTCCTATGTGTTGCAAATGTTCGAGGGCTTTATAGTGACCGCTCAATATCAAAAGGATCTATATTGTTACCCTCAATGACTAGATAAGGTATAGCAAGCATTCAAGTCCTACTTAGATTCAGTCATAGTACAGTAATACATAATACAAGTGTAACGAAGTACTTTCCAAAAACGAATAAATAGGTACCGAATATATAACTGTAAGTAAGTAATATTATGTTATCTGTGGTATTAGGTACTGACAAATTATCCTTTTCTATTTCTAGACTGGTGAAATAACTCTGCCTCTACAGCTCGGGTTGGCCCATCATTATTCAAAGGATAATAAACATTACATATACTGCGGTCTACGATTAGGTAATGCGGCCATTTTTTAGTTTAGTACCTACGAAGATTGTATTCTTGTACGAAAAAAGATATAATTCAGTTTTTATAATAGTAACAATCTAGGAAAAATACTAATAAAAAGAACTTTTATTGGTCTTATAGACATCAAATAATATACAGGAACAAACCACTATGGCGCATAGAACCCATTTTGCAAGACTGCACTCACGGAGAATTTTAGAGCACATTTTTGTCCCTAACATAAAAATGCATGGGAGGACAATTAAATGTGCAAATGTGAAATGGGCACAGAGTGATAATTAATGACTCTGTTTACTCAGTGCATGTAATTTCTTTATTTTGCACAGGTCTTATACAATCATACCATCATCACCAGTCTCATGCTATCGCGATCAGGACTTCACACTACAACCCACGAGCTACGCTCTACCTTCCGTGGTCCAACCTGCTACCTGGTCTATTCACAAATTGTAATCATACAAATATATAAATTCATATAAATTTAATCATGTCAGTTCATGATTTTAGTGAAGCAGATCGAATTTTGAATAACGTATTAATCACGAAGGTCAAAATCGCTTACCGGATGTAAATTCAGAGATCTAAAATAAATTCAATAGTATATAATGTAAGTACTTAATTACAAAAAATATCTACGCTGATTTATAAATTATTCGTTGGCACTATACTATATAAAAAACTTCATACAACTGAGTCTCGGTATACCGCGGTAACTGCCTGTAACGTTGATAATTTAAAATACGTAGGTATAGGCAAAATATTTTAAAATTGGCTATGAAGTTTTAAAGTCAAGATTAATTAAGAGATAGATTTAAAAACAAGTAATATATACTAGTAATGTATACTAATATTACATATATTAGACAATATAAATATGAGGTATAGTAACAAAATTTGTATGGGACCATTAAAATATATATTTCCAACAATACAAAAGTTATGTCTCTCAATAGATATTACTGTCATACATATTGCAAATAACACTCTTCAAGGTGAATACTTAATCAAGTACCTACTGCGTTAATTTTATCATCGATAACAAAATCCTTCCTCTGGGCAATATTGTGATTAAATGGCAAATTTTTATCTGTAGAATAAAATTCACGCAACATTTTTCAATCAACCTGAATGATTATATTAAAATCCTTAATTGGTGTTATTCATATTTTAAACTGATATTAGGTACTATTTTTTAATTGAACGGAAAATAATTTAAAGAGGATAGGGTGAAGAATCGAAATTATTACTATCTACATACATATACCTGGCTTTATATAAGTACCTACTTCTTTATATCTATACCTACTCATACTAAATATATACAAAGAAAGAGAGAAAGAATCAGTCACTTCAATAAATTGAGATATCATTCACGTGAAAGGTACATTACCTCAGACTAACATAGACTATATACCTACTCGTAGGGGGAGATGTATTTAGTAATATGGACTAATAACCCTATTGTTACCGATGTACTGAGTAAGGTTGACCTCCACGCGGTTCCCCTGAAAACCATCGTGATATATTCCACGAATTTGCCACTATGGGCTAACTGAACAAACCTCATGCTCATATTGGGATTCTCCACTGTTATCCCGCCAGCGTAAACCGTTAGCGCAGGCGAGAGCACCATTCTACTATCAGGATTAAAAAAAAACATTGACTGTATAATACTATATATTACATTATGTCAATATATACAAAACTTATAAAGTTATGAGTAAATGGACGAAATCGAGAACCTATATTTAGTACCTCTACAAGCTTAAAAATAATCAATAAGTAGTTTTGCCCAATACTTATTAACACTTATTCTAATTTTATAGTTTATTATATCAGTGATTGAAGCTGAAGTATTTGTGCGGCTTCATACTATTATCGGAATGAAGTCTGCTTTCTTAAAATTATAAATATGCAAATACTTAATTATAATGAATAATTAATTACCTGCGTATTCGTAGTAAGTGCATACAGTGGAACTTTACTAAACTGTTTGACCTTACGGTCGTTGACCATAAATCCCTGCAATAAAAAAAGTGAAGCGAAATGCTACCTTGATATTTATTTACATCGTCGGGTTCGATATGAGTATCAAGCTACCTAATACGGAGTTTAATTTTTTCAATGTTACGTAAGTATACGTCTATTATACGCACGTGCGGATATATTTTAAAATCCTGTTTTTCATTATTTTAACCAAATGAATAAGTGTTCATTTTATTTTTTGTATTGATTCACATTTCAAAATATCCTAGAATAATTCAACTAAGAGCGACTGCGAATGTGCAGCCGGATGGTGAATGTAGAATTGTAGATGCCTATTCAGTGTATGATCAATTAATTACAAAGGTAAGCTTTGCAGTTTTTGGTCTCGCTTTCTTGTTGTCTTCTCTAGATCCTCCCATTCATTAATATTTGAGTGACTAATTCACATTCATATAACAACAATTATATCCCCATACAATTCGCACAGCCCCACCGAGTCCCAAGCCAAGCCGAATTTGTGTTATGAGTATTAGACAAGTGATATATACTTAGATTTTTTTAAAATACACATCTTGTATAGGTACCTAAACACCCAAAGCAACACAAATAATAAAACCCGCGACAATCGGAATTAAAGCAGTGTGTTAAACCCTAGACAATCGAAGCTGTCGAAATTCTTCCACAAAAATCAATGTCTCGTCACCCGTATCAAATAATGAGGACGATACACCGAAACTTAAAAAATCTTAGCAATCCAATCATGGGCTAAGTCTTTCGGTCTTTTTGTAAATCCTAACAAATCCCAAGTTATAATTGTTGATAATAGCAGGCTGCGGAGCAGGTTGGATTGACAGTAGGTACCCCCACATATGTATGAGAGGGTGTTCAGTTGGCGTATACTGACAAAATAAAAAACTTGGGGCTTATCTTAGATGACATAATGTCATGGACATCACATGTTAATGAAATCAGTAGACGGGTACATTTTACATATCACTCTCTCAAGTGTCTTCAATATTTTCTCCCTATCAGTATTTATGCTCGCACAATCAATTTTAATTCCCGTTCTCGATTATGCCGACGTTTACTTCTTAAACGTGACTAAGGAGCTCCTCAATAAACTTGAGTGCTTACAAAATTTAACCATTCGATTTTTTTATGTACTATATGTACATAAAAAAATCGAATGGAATTATATCAAATATCTACAGTACTAAAATTATGTACCATACCTGGATTCTGGCGACCTTTAGCGGTAGATAGTCTAATGTTGTGTTTGCATAATAATAATAATATTGTCATAATTATAGTATCCCTTTATGTTTTTTATCCAGATCTAGAGAGGCATTGTCAATTTTTTTAAACGATAATAAACATTAAATTTTCACATGATCATTACAACTATTATAATCATTTGTTATTATGCTTAGGTACCTAGGAATTAGATATAGTCGTTCTTGGTTTGACTTTATTTGGACTATGTAATATTCTCTTATCTAGGATTTCGACGCCTTCACGGTAGTTACCTTTATTTAACCACTAAATTATAACACAAATAGAGTTGTGATTAGGCGAATTCAATTAGAATTGCAATCGCGCAGCAACACCGTTGACTAATTACGATGCTGAGTTGAAGAATCGACAAGATTGTTACAATGCAGTCTGAATCCTTCAGTTTTTTTAAATCTATTTCTACTGCACTTATCTACTATCTGTAAACATATCCATAATACCTATATAGCTACGTAAATAGTTACGACTAATCATTTCTTTTCCTTTTAGCTTCCTACTGCTAGACTAAATATAATTATTAGCGGTACCATCATTGGTCATATTGATACCACACTTAGCTAGAAATTAAAAGGTACGAAACTAAACAAAAATTTGTTAATACGGTATAGCTATTATTCTGGTTTAAAAACCCAGTAGATATAGGTATAGGCTTTCAATGTAAATATAATTTCATATAGGTACGGCTTCTTGGCCAAATAAGTTTACAAATTTAATAAGTAAGGGACTAACACTGAAATACAATCCATTAGAGAAGATACCGAGTAAGATACACACAAAAACAATGCAAGTACTAATACTTTCCCTTTTTGAAGTCGATTGACTAATCCAAACCCGTTCTAATATTGTTGGGAAATACAATGGCAGACTGATGAATGGGACATTATTAACAATTGCTGACCGAAACATGCAACATTACTGATCGTGTGACATTTTGGAAATGTCGGAATGACGATCAGGGTCAACTGTGGCCTTATCTCGCTATCAGCCGAGAGCCGACAACATAGCTGAAGTGTCACTATTGTTTTCGAGTTCTAAAGGCGTGTGGATATCTAACTTATATGTATAAAAGAACAGAGATATCAATGCACAAGAACGAAGACTTTGAACTAAGGCAATAATTTATGGTTTCTATGTTCCATTGAATAGAAATTAAATTACTTTTATGTGAACCACACTTGGTAGATCTTCGTGGCTAAGTAATATACTACACCCACAGTAAACCACAAAAGTGTTTGTCAGCCTCGGTGGTCTAGTGGTTTAGCACACCGCTTTTCTATCCGATGGTCGTGGGTTCGATTTCTCGCACGGTACAAACATTTGTATTTATGAGTATGATTGTTTGTATCGGTCTGGGTGTTTTCTATGTATAATAGATATGTATTTACCAAATAAAATGTATCCATGTATTTATATCAGTTGTCTAGTACCCATAACACAGGCTCCGCTTAGCTTGGGACTGGATGGCGTTGTATGGATTGTCCTGAGCTATTATTATTATTAAAGTAATTAGTTCGGATCTGTCTTTTTATTAATTTATGTTTCTGACGAATTACTCGGTGATGTAAATACCGATAACAATACAAATTAATTCGAGAAACGGTATGAGCGCTCGCTCACTGCCGTATTGACTATAAATAATTGCAAAGAAATGTCGCTATAATAATATGAAATATTGCGTTCATCACAACATCGAACATTAACAAGTTTCTGACAACCACTGTCCAGGGTGTAAGGATTGTTTTAATGGATTATAATGGTATGGTGCAACCGCCTTCGCTAATGTTTTACGCTGGTGGGGTACAGTACAATGCACAGTAGAAGCTGTGGAGGATGACAAGATGAACATGAGGTCAGGTCAGTTAGCACATGTGACAAATTCAATAGCAATTTATGATGACTGTTTCTAGGGGGAACCGCGTGTAGCAGTAGTTAGGTAAATAGATATCTATTACCTTACCTATAAAAATATACAAAGAGGATACATAAAAACCATATTAACCTATAAATTATGAGGTTTGTTGCGAAAATATAGTCCACCCATCACAAGGCTGATGTGTCTATATCGTATTACGGGGCACTGAGTCACGTGACCTTGCCTTGGTTATTTCCCTTAAAATTCCAATTACTGGCTAACAAGGCGACTAATTTTATTGATTTTCTGCTTTGCTCGACAAATTTCATGATTCCATTTATGAGTCATGTTACTAATAACATTTTATGAAGATTTATTTCAGAGCTTCCAAATAAATAAACAACTAAGATAACATTGGAATAGACAGATAAAGTAGAACTAGCAAATTAGACGACCTGCACAACATTGCTTAGTCGAATATATTCTAAGCGATTGTAGGTACTCACAAAGTTTAATAAATTACTATCTAACCCGCGCAACTTCATCTGCGTCATATTATCCTCATGACTGTCTCTCAAATTTATTGAATTAGTTTAGTTTGTTGTCAGATATATTAAGACACAAAGAAAACTTTGGTTTTGGCCAGATTACAATATATTACATTATGATTCTGGTAAAGCGGAATAGTAAAACATTAGGCCATGGCGCTCTCAAAATAATTCATAATAAGTAGGCAACACTTTTTCACATACACATGCTATGGCTGAGCTATTAGGGGAAAAGAAGATTGTTAGTAAGTGGAGTAAAAATCCCGTTGCTAGCAATGTATCATGTCAAGTTGTTGACCTCCACACAGTTATCCCTGGAAACCATCATGGTCAATTGCCATTTGCTAAGATGGGCAACTGACCTGATTTATTGCTCATTTTATCATCCTCAACTAATGCCTTGTATGCCCAAAATAAACATATTTTTCTTTAAGCCTACATTACATTTAAAAATATTTTACATTTAGACTAAATTACATGTAAAAAAATATAAGTGTTATAAAAACATTTTCGGGAGATTATTAAAACAACAGTGAAGATTATTTTATTTGTCTTTTAATTGACACCAAACGCTTATCTAATACATAGATAGACAATATATGGCCTATAAGATTAGGTACATATAAGTTTCATCAAAAACTAATCATTGTTCACAACAAATAAACTACTACACAACATTTATTTCAGCAACAGATCCGACTTATCACTAATTTGCAGCCAAATAGTATTTGACTGCGAAGTCCTAGAAATTGATTCCCATACATAAAATACATACACTTATAATTAATTAGGTACTAAGTGAATACTACACAAAAAGCAAATTACTGCCCGTTCATGTTAATTTGACACGCTGAGTTCTCAGACTTTGTTGAATATCAGTAGCTCTTCCCAACTTCATTCTAGGGCTCATAAATGGAATAATATCCCTATCAAACAGAAAAAAATCTTAAATCAATGCCCGGAGTAACAAAATCCATCTCTCTCTTTATAATAATATTTTTTTATGTAATCCATGCAAACGTATGTACCACTTTCTTTTAATCGCTCAAATATCTTATATAATATTATATTTGAAAGTATAAACTAGTAAGCCGTAGCTTTCGTCTGTCTATTTCGACGCCTACCAGGGTTAAGGGTCCCCATAAATTTCCGACTATGGTCAGAAGGCCCGTTCCATTGGTTGCTACGCTCCGCCCTCTTTGGAAATACGCCATTCGAACGGCGTCGACCGTACTTGATGTTGTAAGTACACAGTAGATTCCAATATGGCTTTCACTATAAAATTATAGTGAAAACCGTATTTCTTTTTATGTATAATACATACATATTGTATTTTCACCACTTGCATTATAAATGCCATTAATTACGAGAGTGGGGGATACCTAAAATCACGGCCTCAGGTATATGAAAAAAATGCATTTTTAAATGTTCAATATAACTCCATCAATTGAAATACACACATCACATTGCGAATGTCTTTGTACCTTCAACCATAAAATCTTCAAAATGCTTTAAAACTGTTATTTTCACTCTTATCTTGTTGAAATAGCCTGGGTTTGGCTTGACTTCTTCTACGATGCATTTATATATGTTGGTAAAGATATATTTGCCATCAAATATAAACACAGAATCCTGAAGAACATTTCATCAAGAACTTCTTATTGAATAGAAATGGGATGGTATTATTTATAAGGTCTCTCGCAATTAATGTTAGCATTAAAAGAATCGCTAAGTACCTCAGGTCGTGAACTCAAAAATCCACTCATCACATGTTAATAATCGTACATAATAAAATTAGTGATAACTAAATGCATCAATATTAACAGAAACGGGAAATATTCCAGTTCGCAACTAACAACTTGATCAAAACTACAGATAATGAAGCTTACTTAATACTATTATAGTAATAAAATAGTTTTTCAAGATTTTTGATAGTATTATTAAAGATTACATGTTCGTTCAAAGTTAACACCTTTATAACGACACGGTCTGCAAAAATTTATGAGCGAAAGACAAATATATCTAAGATATTGAAATCTCTATACGCATGTGTTAATTACTAATTGCTTACATTATATTTGGTACACATCAAACACTGAAATTCTAAACTAACGCTATGCGGTAACATTTATATCATCAATAGTATTTATTATCAATCGAACAAGTCCTAAAAGGAATTTTTTTATCGTTCCATCCCGTAAAAAATTTTGAAACCCCTGTATTATACTTTGATGCTTATAGCTTACAGCCATTAAAACTACACATACACTTATATTAACACAGAAACTTATTCTAACAATAATATAGAGAATAGAAATGTATTATCATATAATAGAAATCTCATAGTTCATAGAAAATTTTAAAAGATTAAATGTCAGCCGACATTACATTAACATGTAAATACTATTGAAACTTAAACTTAACCACAATATCACTTTTAGGGTAATGTTTAAAAATTGACACACTAACATGCCAAATACGTTTAATTCCTAAAAGCAATATTGCTTTGAACATTTACATAAAATATTATATTGTAAATGAACCTAGTAGAGTCACACAACCAAACTTAAGAGAATACGAGTACAACCTTTAAATCTACGTATACATATGATTGTTACCGACGACGGTGTAAAAAAATACAGATGTATTTTATTATATAAAAAAAATAAAGTAGTTTCTGCAATACAAAAGTTAACATTTATATACTTATCCAAAAAGATTAAATCAATATTATTTACATAACATTGAAGAAAAAGTATTTATAAATTTCAATATTGTCTATTTTTTGGTAAATAGGAACACTAAAACAATAAACATACTAAAATTCAGGTAGGAACTTGAAATATAATATATCTGTATGAATATAAATTTAAGTAGGGAGAAATATATATGCAATATCAAAGCACATGCGATATTTACTAATATCGATGTCATTTCATTCTTCACAAAATTGGCATATAGTATATAGGCTATATTATTATATAACCGGTATACTAAATAAATATACCAATTTATTAAAATCACTATATCGATATTTTAATTTAGAAAGGCGGTGTTTATTATAATAATCGGGGAATAATTATTATTTCCATAGAATAATGCTGCAGAATTGTAACCTTATTTTCTTTAAGTTGGTTAATTATGCATCCGTATCATCTATTTTTATCCAATAAATTTAAATGTCATAATAAAAGTACACCATAAGCGGGCATTAAATAATTAAAACTATTAATATAGTTTAAAGAAATTTGAGCGTGTAGTGTAGTGTCCTTAAAATTGGACATTATGTATGTAATAAATATATATATATATATGTATGTAGATATAATATTAATATATCCTACGTAAATGCAGCTTAAAAGTACGACTCTGTAACCGTAAATAACCACACCGTAATAAGTCGATTAAAGTGTCATCAATAACTGATTAAATAGCTTGTACACCGATTAGCTTATCTATCACTTTAATTACATAAAAAAATATACAAAATATATTAAAAACTTCTTCAAAGCTCATATGTCAGTTTTGTTAATATCAAATAGTTTAGGCGGATGAACAGACGGGTGTATACTAAATTACAGGAGATATTTTAATTATTATTATGATAAATATGTTGGTATTTTTTATCAAGGTACAATTAAAAAGAATATGTAATATTATTTAAACTACTTCTTAATATGTACGTAAGAGTGTAAAAGGTCACATCCGATTCAAGTTTCCACGCGACAAAGTGTTCATATAAAGTTAGAAAAGGAGAAAGAGAAGTCATTTTTAAGTGAAAGCTCAACGCATACCATTTTCGCCTTGTTCCAACTTCATGACTTCATTTTATGTAAAGATTAATATGATACGATACCTACGTCTCATGACAGACTTCGCCCCTACAATCAAAGTTTACACTTGAAGTGTAGATGTTCATAACTGGGTCCTTACCTAGGTATATAATATACGTCAATACGTATCGAATGATAATATTTACAGCATTGACAATGACAGTACTCTCTGTTAATCAAAATTTACTATTTAGGCCGTAGATTTAAGGCTGTTAATAAAATAATTCGTCAACTTTTCTGACGAATGTTATGAACTTTTAACAATATATATAAGAACGTCTGTATACTATACCGCAGTCGCAACGTTATCTACCAACAAATCACATCTCCCCTCTCGCCTCTATCAAACATTTAACGATTTTTATAAAATATATTATGCGATATTGAGCTTTATCGACTAATATATTTTAAGTCCTATATCAAACGCACATATAAGCGGGCACTCACGGCACATTTATATAAAGAAGCACGAAGAATTTGGACTTAGCTTGGTCCCCAATAGACATTATATATTTTTTAATAATACATATTTTTTATAAATGTTATTTTTATCATTCATAACCTGCTCTATTACAGGCCAACCATAAATTACATAACACGACTTTGTGACTTTCACGACAGTGAAACATCACGTTTTGCAATGTTTATTAGCGTTGGAAATATTTCCAAATTAATGAATACTTTTTTACTGTTCCCATTTCTTGTCACACAATGCCACACGTCATCTACAGGTGTGACATGATCTATAGATAAAATTTAAAATTAATACAAAAATTTAAAAATAATGACACGTTTCAATTCCTTTCTCTCTATGAACCCTAATTGTGTCGTATAAACACCTAATTGTCATTCCGTTATTCTTTACAAGTATTTGGCAACGCACTAATAAAGAATCCTAACCTTAGCCTTAAAATATGTCATGCCATTTTAAAGTGCATCTACTAAAGTTACAGACATTAAAATATTTCAGATATGGCACTATTCTGTCGAAAGAAACGTTAAATTATATAGGTCGTTACGGAGACAACAGTCACTACAGCTGATAAAATCCATCCCAAAATACCGCCACAAGTCATTCTCAATCTTTATGGATAATCAAAATTTTTATTCCACATCCAAATATAAATTTTAATTAAAAAAAAAAAAATAAGTGTTAATTTTTTTACATTACTACTAAGTTTTATTTCCCTGTAGCTTACCCAATCTTGTATTTACACAATATTATAATTATCAATAATATTTTTGACATAGTATTATAATCTTATATTCTTTAGACCAATTACAAAACGTATAAAATAAAGCCATTGTCCTTTTAGAACAACGACAAGCGCTGCTGCAGTAGTAGTATACGAACGCCCTAAATGATATTATTAAAAATATTAACGTTATCGTATTAACGTAACGTTAACTCTAGTTTAAGTTTAGCATCATAGACAGAGCATAAATTTATTCATAAATGAAGCGCATTCAATACGCGATTTTAGCAGTTAATTTAGAGCACCAAACTTAAGCCATAATGAATATAAAATGAGATAATACTTAAGATAATGAATTTGGAAAAAATATGAACTACATTAATTCACTTATATGTAAGTAAACTACATTCCTGTTCTTATCAATCAAACATCCCACTATCACGATCATTCTGTTGACATGTAAATTAGTACACATAACTAGTATATATTATATATAACATATACAAAAAAAACGGGCTACTAGATGGGATAAGATTTACAAAATACCAAAACGGAAGTAAACCTAAAACTAAAATAATCATCCAATATTCGCTTTTCGCGTTAATATCTCGTTTTGTTTGTACATACAAAAATAGCATCTGATTGAAACCCACCTTGAGCCCTTAAGTAACAATGTACATGTCAAAACAACGATCACGAAATTTAGCTTAAATCACTTTTTTACAGTCTTTTTGGTTTTACAACTAATTATCAAATAAACTAGCAAACCGAAATAATATATTTCAACTTTAAACATAAAAATAAATTCCAGATGTTCTGAAATAAAGTCAATCATAAGTATACAAATACAAAACAAAAAAACACAAAGAAAAATACATTATAATATACAAAATATTTTAGGACCAAACCTTTGATAAAGAAGTTTATGAGGCCATGGACACAAACTATCATGAAATGACCACGTAGCTCGCATATTATGTTTTATACTTTATTCACATAGTCAAAGAAGAGTAAATACAATGGATTGTGGTAACGTCGTTGTTGTTGAAGCTCACTATTCTTTTTTCTTCGTCTCTCCCTTTGCTCTGTTTGCATGTGGAAAAAAAGAGAAAAATTATGTGCTAAATTAACTTCAACGTATAAACATTTACAAGGAATGTATAAATATCACAATTATGAAAAACTGTGATTAGGAAATTAGCTATATATCAGTATTACACTGTCAATGTATTGCTAATTATGTAAATAAAATAAGCAACAAAAATTATTACTTTTGTCATGGTGTCTGGATTTCAAATGTTAACTTGTCATTAGCAGAAACATTTGCTGTAAGCAGGCCCGGATTACATTCGCCAAAACTGGAAAAAGATAAAGTAAAGTAAGTCAATTGTTTTAGAATAATCAATTTAAAAATATTCCAATCTGAATTAAACTGATTGTGTAAACATTCAGTTTCGTTCATATTATGTTTTAAGACACATAATAGGACAAACATTAAAAATATAATCATTTTTTAATTAAGGCATATAAAGAAATAGAAATAATCTTTATTAAATAAACTTAATATAAGCACTTTTGAATAGTCAAGTTTTTTTATTCTACCGCTTATTCGGAATGCAGATTCATCACAAGAAGAATAAGCAAGAGCTATATCTATATATATATATATATAGAGACTTTTATGCAATTAACAACAAGGATTAGGCATGCGACAATCAACATAGAAACCGCTACACACTAATCTCTGTTCAATCAGATAACAAAAAGAATTGCATTACTACTGTAGAACATTGTATATTTTTATATAATAGCATGGGTCAAAATATAGACTAAAAAATCTGAGAAATAAACTAAACAACAAAGTAGGGAAATATTTATATTATGAAATATTATGGTCACGCCATCTACGAATTATTCTTGGAATTAAATTATTAATAAAGTGATGGCTATACGGGATATTATTGTTATATATATTTATTATTGTCGTCTGTTTGTCATCAATAGACGGCGACATATCTACATGATATTAATTTATAATATTATGTAGATACGTCGAGATATTTTATGTTTCGACATATATAATGGATGAAAGTATATAATATTTTTACCACGTATTTAAGAAAGAAAATAATAAATTTGGCATAACTTCTGTAATTATTTCGAAACCTAGAGCAAATTGAAAGCATATCCTTAGAATAAACCGCTTTCTTAAAATTCACCGTGTGATCAAGGATATAGAAATTACCATGTATGCATCAAAGTCTTTTCTCTTTATTGTCAATTTTTAATTAAAATAAAAACCGATTGTAATTTTGAATTTGAATTTGTATATTTATTATTCATATCTTATATGTAATTGGAATGGGACAAGCGGTCGGCCCACCTGATGGTAAGTTTTAACCGTCGCCTATATACATGAACAGCACTAAGGCCTTCAGGTTATTATATGCGCCCGTCATATTACTCATGCGTTGCTATTCCAGAGGACTAAGATGTCATGACACTTAAACCACCGCCATCTCTCATTAAATTAAATTTATCAAAATAGTGATATAAAAGTTTTAATGACGAGAGAGTAACTTATAAATTAATATTAACATACACGTACGTATTTGATGTGGGCGTCATGTACCATATAATACGAATAATAGTATAATTTTATTTTTTTTATTACTATGATTGATTTCTTTTTTTACTCAATTAACATTTATTTACTTATGTGTATTTTGCTATTTGGCAGTCTGTGTTCACACAAAATCTTAAAAATTGAACAACATTAGTTAAAAAGAGCAACACGCGAATTCCCTGGTCTTTTTTTTTTTTGATCTGAATCTACTTTCCGAATGAGTGAAAGAATAAAAAAATTACCATTAGAAGTAGGTACATTTCTATCTATTTAAGTTCTAATAATGTATGTGATAGAAACAATGTGTGAACATATATTTGCATGTAAACAGATTCGAAAAAAACTATATTTTATACATAAGTTTACAATAAATCGCACCCAGATAGGTTAAGACGATTCTAAGATTAGTGCGTATCATGTATCCATCCGGCCTGGCGAGACGCATCGTCAGCAGTCTGCAGAGCCCACACATAATTCATAGAAGACTGCATTCCAGAGCGATAAAAATTCATTCGATATCTACTTCTTTTAGTGTTAAGTCAATCTTTAAATTATTATGAAACTTTAAATAAAATTATATATTTTTAAGATGGGCTATAATTCGCACATGATCGCCTAGATAAATAGACAGAAACTAACAATAATCCCTGTAGGATTTTTTACATTCATGGAAACTTATGAAATAATTAATAGCACTGTAGTTTTTCTCATATGTATGAATCTTCTATGTACAATTAAATCGATTATACGTTATGATATTTTTTCAAAATATCTTTTTGTACACGATGTTGGTACTTAGTAACCGAAATCATAAACTAGTTTTTAAGTTTTTGTGTATGTCTAACTTTGACTTAACCGATTTAAACGCCGTTTATTAAAAGAGAGCTTCAGTTTTTGTAACAAAAATCTGCTAAGAATAATAACTTCAGATAAAACTACCAGTATTGTTAGCTTGAGTCATGTATTATAATATTTCTGCACAAGTGTTCTATGGCTTTGCATATATAAAATTACTACAATAATAACCCTGAACAATTCACACAGCGTAATGTAGTCTAAGCTAAACAGAGTTTGTTTTATGAGTACTATACAAATGGCAGAAATACATACTTAAATATCTTTTTTGTAAATACATACATAACATACATAGCAAACACCCAGACCAATACACAAATATTCATACACATGCATACGAATATTTGTATCGTGCGAAGTATCAAACCCACGACCATCGGATCAGGCGGTGTACTAAAACTAACCACCGAGGCCATCAGAACGTCAATTACAATATCATTAGAAATATCAGTAGTGTTAACATAGTATAATCATAAGATGATAACACAAACAATAATTAGCGTACAAATTTCGATAAAATTATTAATATTTTATGAGAGCCAAGCTAAATTAACAATTTGTCATAATAGATACTTGATATATTGATTAACATATTGTACTCGTACTTAGAAATGTTTTTTTTTATTTCTATAAATAATATTAATCGAAGTAATTTTTTTACTGCGTGGGTAACTTTGTAGTTGCCAAGCTGCTTACTTTGTAAGAAGAGGCATGATACCTTGAGATATCACTTACCATCAGATGCGGTGTCAAATTGATTGATATTCCAATTACATGAAGAAAAATATAAAATAGTTACATGAGAGAAACGAAAACAAAATCTTTTCAAGAAATTCGAGCAAACGCTAATGTAGCTTACATTAGCGTTTGCTCGAATTTCTTGAAAAGATTTTGTTTTCGTTTCTCTCATGTAACGCAACGCCTGCTTACTAATATTATAAACGCCAAATTTGTAAGTATGGATAAGAGATGAGATGGAAGTTTTTAAAGTAAAAACTACTGATCGGAATTTGATGAAACCCTATAGTAATATAGCTTATATGTACATCAGAATAACATACAGACTATAATTTAAAGATATATAAATCGAGCGAAATATAATGATAAATGTCAAGTGTGATGTAGACGAATGGATACCCCTATGACGAACTTGTCCTTTTATCATATTATTACACATTGTATATTCTTCTATATATATAATAATTTATTTGGGATTTCATTTAGTCTTCTTTTTAAGCTAAGTAATACTTACTGCAGGTTACGTTCCCGTAGCCGACGTTTCACTGCTGGTTTAATTCTGGGCATCCCTTTGCTGTGCAAGCCACGTCCCGTAATGATATACAAAGCATGGTACTTTGGACCCTGCTTTTTTACATGATTCTCTTTCATTTTGTTGATATGTACGTCAAGAAACAAATCGAGAGACTCTTTGGCTTCAGAAACACGTAAGTAATGAAGATCAACTGTCGCGTTGTTTGGATTGTTAGCTGCGTGAAACTGCAAATTAAAAGTATAGAAAATTGTAAAAGCGGAAAAGGGCCCGCGCCGCAGTGTATAATTTCAATATAGTAATTTGAGTTTTAATTGGAATATCGCTAATTTGAGATTACATTTAGTAAACGCTGATATGTACTTGTGGCAACTGTGATTTGCGTCAGGAGTTCACAGATCAATTTTTGAGATAAAAAATAGCTAATGACATTCTAAATCGGATAAGCTGTCAGAAATTCGCGCGCACAAACCCAAAAACAAACATACAAATATTCTAATCACATTATGATAGCAAACATCATATTCTGGGTTCTACTACGTTTATAAAATAAATATCAGCGTCTTATTGTCCGCATCAAATAGTAAGGACGAGACACTTAAATGACTGTATTGCTCGCCCAATAATAGATGTCATTGATATACGGGTGGTTCTACTTGCAAGGGAATTTTCCGCGGCTCACCCTATTTTGTACAGTTTTTGTAGGCAAATTATATTGAATTACGATCGAATATGTACAACTAAATGATTTCTATTATGACACTAAAAATTAGCTCACTCCTACATATATATCTATCAAAAATTATAATTTAATGTTCCGAATTCTCAGTATCCTGACATGTCTCTCGCCTGTAATGAAAGTTTATAAGCTGCACAGTAACTTTATTTTGAGTGTGTACGTAATATCTGCACAAAAATAGGAATGTATAATATATATAGTTTCAATGTGTTTCTCTAATTTTATCTTAAATACGAAACTTATTTTTTTTAAATGCATTATATTTTGTCTCTCGGTTTTTATCTCAGTATCCTGCTACATCAAAACACGTTAAAATCAGTTCGAATTACCGCGTCTAGCGCATTGCTGTTCGGTCAGAGAAAATGATCTAATTAAAGTGATCTTTCAATCACTCGCGCGCTTCTCGGCTCGCAATTGTTTGGTCGCTACCGTGAGTTGTGTGTGTGAGGTTTTGCTGCGGCCAGTCAGCTTAACAGTATCCTGGTACGTATTTATTTAAAATCCATTACTATCTATATACTTTTTTTGCATTCATATATCGTAAATAAGTTACATTTGAGTACAGAATTGCATAATTTCAATATTAAATGTTGCATTGCGTAATTATTGGCTGAAAACTTAACATAACCTCAGTAACCTGTCCTCAGTCTCCTGGCAACATAAAAGCCAGGAGACTGAGTATGAATCAGGAGACTGAGAGTTTCGAGAATCCGCATGATTAAATTCAGTTAACATGATTGATATATTAATTATTGGTACATTTTTGTAGTATAGTTACATATTATTTGTAGAAAAAATGTATAAGCTCGGATTTTCCCGAAGCAAAAACTCTGATTTCTAACATTTAAACTTATTTATTATTTTTTTTGTTTGATATAATTTTTACATTTTTTAGTTTAAATTATAACGTTTTAGATATCAATATGTGTAGGTAGGTAATATTTAAATACTTAAAAAACCGAATGAAATGTTAATTATATTCTTTTACAGAAAAATGGCCAAACAAAAAAATATATCTAAGGAAGAAAGATTAGAGAAAAAAAGATTAGCTGTAAGGCTTGGATATGAAAAAAATGAAAATGATCCTGTGAAATCAGCGGCTCAAAAAGAAAAAAGTCGGCAAATATATGTAATTAGAAGAAAGAAAGAACAAAAAATCGAAGTTGTTTAAAAAGCTTTATTTGGTGACACTTTAGAAAAGCAAATATCAGATAACATTACCAACTTAAGCACAAAGAGTGAGAAACTAGTTGCAAACAGATTGATTATGGGAAGTGTAGTTAAAAGAAATAAAATTTGGAAATTAAAAAACAAACTTATCACGTACAAAAAGGTGTGGCACTCACAAAAACAAAAGGAGAGATCAAAAACAAACTTACGAAATGAGGTATAAAAATTTCTAGAGGATAACAGTAGATTGTGTGCCGGCAAAAAGGATTTCATCACTAAAAATAAAGTGAGCAAACAGAAACGCTATCTACTTGATACTCTTAAAAACTTGCATAAAGAGTTTTTAAAATCTGGCAACGTTCTCATCAACTGATGAAACACTAGCACACATCGAGTAACTACTCGATGTGTGCTAGGCTAAAACCTTTTTGGATAGTGGCCCCAAAAGTAATTGATAGGGATACTTGCAAGTGTACTACACACAGCAACATACAATTAGTTGTTAGTGCTTTAAATACTGCAAAAATACTGAAAGACACAAGCTACCAAAGATTATTAACTTCTTTATGCTGCGACAGATGTAACGAAAAGTACTTAGGGAGAATTTGTGAATTATGCTCTGATAAAGCTATTTTATTTAGCGAAGACTTTGACGACACAGAACTGGTTATCTAGAAACAGTAGGTTTCTTCAAAGGAAATTATTGTAGACCCTAAGACGAAAAGAGAATGACAGGTTATAAAATAAAAGAAAGAAAATATTGAACCATTTGTTCGAGATCTTAAAGTTAAACTGCAGAATTTCCAATAATTAATTTGAAACCTTGTGTAAGGTTTATTGTATAAAGAATACTAAAAACCTTATTTGATTTGATTATTTTTTTCAAATATCCTAATTATGTAATAAGTACTAATAAGGGACATTTTCTAGTTATTTGTAAGTCAAGGTCTAACAATAGAAGTGTTCCATGGAAGACACTATTTTTATTAATAAAACATACATATTTATTTAAATAATTACAACGGTTTTTAATTTCTTTAGTATAATACTCAGTATCCTGTTCATAGTCTCAGTCTCCTGGGGCCATATTTTTTTTAAATGTTCATAAATTTGGTATATTTTATTTTTTTGACTGGCCCGTTTGAGATCAGTAAAATAATGACCTAAGCTAAACGTCAAGCTACTTTTCAGACCTTATACGCTAAAAAAATGTTGTTCCAAAAATTCATTTATTTTCGTCCCTCCTGAGTAGAACCACCCATACCCTCCATGTAGAGACATGTACAGTCCGTTACAATCATATAAATACTATAGATAAATGTTTTATTACTGACTTGCATAAGAGAGGCGGCGGCGAGGCTATTAGAGTGCTCGAACTTTAGTTTGTGGAAGGCCGCTACGTCGGAGTAGTAATTGGCCACTTGTGTCATCCCGCGGCGAATGTATTCTTGAGCCTTCTGATAGTTTCTGTAAACACACGATATTTCTTATGAGAGTGAACATCATAGACTTTTTATTTAATTAGTATGGCAAAATAGGCTGACGGCTTACCTATGGTAAGAAGGTAAATGTCACCTACATACTTGCACATGAACATCACATTACCATGTTATGGCCGTAGTACCAGTCATGAATTGACATTTCGGAAGACTAATGTGTCATGTTTCCTTACCCTGTAATTTCACTGCCATATCGCACACTTCAACAGAAACAGCATACAAAGCAAGCTGATTGGCAGGTGAAATAGATGAGACAGAAGTGGGCACCTCTATCTCATCTATTAAAGACAAAATCTATTGTAGTCAGGTCCCAATAATTCGAGATGCCGTTGACGTGAACGGCAACGCAACGAATATACGTATATAGGCGACGAAAAACATTAAAGAAATGTAAATGCGTTATGACAAATAATTACAATAAAATAACAAGAATATTTCAGTGTAAATAAGGCTTGCTTGCCTTTCGCCTTCGTCTGTCTTTTTAAGGTACAATATGATTTGATGTAAAAGTTGATTGAGATCCGTTCAGTAGTTGAGTCATGAAAAGGTAACAGACAAAGAGCCAGTTATATTTTCGAATTTATAATATTATTAGTATGGATGTATACTAACAAATTTCGGCTCGAAAGATGTTTCTCAGCATCCTGTCGATAATTGTTTATAACGTTCATGTCCACATTATCGACTGCCGGTAACAATGGCCATTCCACTTGTGCAATAGCCTGTTTAGGAAAAAAAAATCTAATATATACGAACATAAAGTTACGTTAGTAATATACTGTAGTGTGTATAGCTTTAATCTGTATAACGAATATATATATATTCTTTTAAAATGAAGAGAAGACATTTGATATCATTACCCCGCCCCATAGCGATCCAGCCTTATCTGATGGCGACAATGCGAAGCCAACGACATTGCGTAATTTAATATAGGGCAAATTTGACGCTAATTATGGTCGAATAACTACTATATGTATAGTATATAAATTGAAATACCGCGTGTCTAGATATGATTATTTTTATTTACACGTATTCTATGAACAAATAATAAAAATATTACTTCTATGAGTATATGAGTATATGGCTTGATATTTTTGGTGTTCATATTGATTTATAGGATTTGTAATTTTTGAAATTATTAAATTTTAACCTAAAGTTAAAAGTACTATTTTTCTAAAAAAACTCTTTTGATACTATAAAAAACTTTATGTACTTAGATGGATACAGAAACAAAAGTATCAGTATCAAATTACATTCTAGGTAATAGGTGGCGCGATGGTAAAATTCCAATTAATCCGATATTTGCATATCGAAGTGAAACATGAGATGGTGCTACAATGCACCATGCGATTAAAACATGTTAGGTACTTAACTATTACAATAACGGGAATGTCAAATAAAATATATTGAGTAAATATATAAAGCTATCTATTTATATATATTAATTTCAATAATAAGTGCACCACAACTCTTAATTTCACGTCAATAGTTATTTTATGACATCTCTCATGATATTCCCATGATTTGACTATATTTATATTAACGCTATATTTGAGTTAAGTACCGGTAACAATAATTACTTAAGCATAGAGGAATATCCGCTTATTTCGAACATCTCGACCATTTGTTCTTCGTTACGTAACTTCGTTAGTTTTAAATCAAAAACCAAGGCCAAGGCGCTCTCTTTATTTGCAAATATGCACCTATATATCTTAATTGGAGAAGTTCTGATAACATTTAACTTACTTTCCTCTCTTCTTCTAAAACTTTCTCCTGTCGTTCCATTTCCTTCTGCATTACAAATTTACTAATGCCATTCTTTTCTTCAACAATTTCCGATTTTCCTGTTGATATAAGTAAGCCCTGTAAACAAAATAATATAGATAGGTATCCTTCATGTTTTAGTTTGCTTACTCGGAAACATTTATATAATTATATATTTCATATATACATTATAGAAATCGTTATAATTTTATTTTCGTTTACCTCGACAGTGGCCTGAAAATTATTATCATGCGCCATAAGCAACTCAGATAAAAGTTCTTGGGATATCTCTGGAAATAAATTATACAACTTCTCCCTACTCATCCTGGCTGCCATATCGCTAGGTTCTTTATTACGCCATTCAGCTACATCTTTTTGGTAAAGAGACATCGCGAAATCCATATCCATTATTTCTTTAAAATCAGGTACTACAGGTTCCTCTCCAGCTGCAGCCAATTCGTTTACTTTCATAGCCAGTTCTCTAAAAAATAAATACAGAAATAAACGATAAATAAGAAACAATCTTATTTACAAAATATAATTAAACCAGTATTTAACTTATTAGTCAATAAAATTACCACGTTATGAATATTTTTTTTATTTACCATATAATTAATACAAATACTTAATGAATCTTTTTTAAAAATTACAAAAAAACTGAATACAATAAACTACATATCAATTTTTAAGGTAATTGTTGGGTGTTTGGTTATATTCAACTTTTCATAATAATAAGTCGATATTCATGTAATGTTAATTCGACAATCGTAATTGTAACAATCGTAAAAATGCAGTCGCATCGACAACCTCCTTTATTAAAATTGGTTGAACAATAACATCCGATTACATACAAACATTCACAAAAAGTATAAAGCAAGAAATATTCTCATCATGTAATGTCACATAGCCTCTAACAAGAGGACAATCAATAACAAAACGGGGTCTCATTGTAAAAATCTCCTATATAATTCTTTATGATGGATGTTATGCAGGAACAACTGCACGTATAAATATATATACATATACTAAGTAAAGAAATACATATCAAGGAAAGTACATGTCAATTATAATAATACCCTTTTTTTGCTTCACATAGTTGATTAATATAACTTTTATCAACGAGACTCTCATCGAGTTTGTACTGATTTTTTATTGTCTTTGTATAATTAAAGATTATTTATAAAAACTATATTTTTTATTACTTATAGCAGCATTAATATATAAAATTGCATAATAATACTGATATTATTCAACCTACCTGGCAAATTCTTTATCTTGCAATTCTGATTGTTTCTCATTTTCATCAAATTGATGCATAAGGGATTCCATCCACAGTGCATTTATTTGATTTAATAATGACTGTGGCATGCTAATCTTTGGTACTACATTGTCTGGATATGTCATGTCTTTTCTACCAAAAAGTTCATCCAATTGAGTTATAAATTCCCTGCCTAAATACATGTTTATACACTTTTCAGGTTCCTCAGTACTTGAGGAGTCGTCGTCGTCGTCGCTATATTCACCATTACCAGCGCCATCTGGTGATGAATTACTCTCATATTCCGTAACTGAGCTAGCCTGTGCACCTTCTGATTCTTCGGCAGTTGTTTCTAAATTATCTGCATAATTAAGTTCCCCTCGGCGTATTTTTCTAATTCTTAAACAATGGTCCGAATAATGATTATCTGATATTACAACATTCTGTTCTATTTGGCGTTTTAACTGTAATGATGTATCGGAATTAGCAATTGCTTTTTTTACTTTTCGTTGTTTCTGTGTATCTACACTGGTGGTATCTTGTGGTACATTTGTCGAAATTAAATTTGGCATCTTCGTGTCAGGTATGATATTATAAGCAGCCATACAACCACATTCATCGACACTGTCATCTGTATCCGACAATTCTTCAGAATCCAACAAATGCAACCTATTGTTTTCAATATCGTCAATAACAATTCCTACTGCCCAATTAACATCGCCCTGGCATTTATCAAAAATATCTCTTAGAGCTGCCCTCGGTAATTTTCTAAACATTTTCCGAAATGCATTAAAATGTTTCTCCTCATATTCACATCTATAACTTTCCATTAATATCTGATCATTAGTCATACTACTTTTGTCGAGCTTACACACTTGGGGTATTTTATTTTTGATGGGGGAGATATGATATAAATTTATATCTCTGGATGTAGTAGTCAATACCTTAAACTGATTTTTTTCATTTGAACTGTCTCCCGATTCAATGCATGTACCACTAGATCTAGTTTCTGTAGATACCTCAATAGTGTCTAAATTCGCTGGTATATTCTCATTCCAAGGAGACAAAAACATTGACATCTTACTCCAGTCATTACCATCATTTACCGTTTTCAGAATCCTTTCATCTGAAACTATATTATTTGCAGAATTCCATCTTTGTGGTTTAGGATGAGATGATGTAATAGTTTCTGCTTCTGTTACTGTAGTACTAATATTCGGTTTAGAACTGTCGTCCCATGCTTCTCCGTTTTCCCATTCCCTTTCAACCTTTTCAATTTCTTCTTGTTGTTTTCCCATTTCATAACAAAACATTTGATGTTTAGTATCATCGTCATTTCTGTGATCCACAATTTCCCTTATATTATTCGTAGGTATATTACTTAAATTGCCATCAACTTCAGGGTTACAAATGGGAGAATTATTCACTTCATTCAACAAAATATCAGCTGATTTATTACTACAACCTGCCTGAACTGTTTCAATAGTATTTTTGAGCATTGTAGTGGTTTTCATATTAGTTTTTACTGATGTAGAGCATGAATTTTTACTATCCGAAGAAGAAACATGTTCAATACTCGGTATATTACGTAATACCGGTGGTTTCATATTAGCGGGATACGATAATTTGAAACGGCGAAATAATAAATCAGGTGTAAAATTTTGATAGTTATCTAACATTCTTTGAATAGTTAATAACGGTACATTGTGCGAATTTCTTTTCACTAATTGTGATGGTTTTTTAGACCATGTTGTACTTGGTTCCATAATTTCAACAATGTAACCATAAGCAACTGCAATTCTAAAATATGGCTCCATTTCCCAGTCTTCTATATTAGTATTATCAATAATAATGGGACTAAGACCTTTCTCACTGGCGTATCTGGCCCTATTTTGATTCCAAGCGTGAGCATTGGATAAATTACTTCTGTTAAATTGGTAAATTCCTCTTACATTAAAATAATCATCCGTACTGAAAACATGTGTCTCAAATAAACCAGGCGTAGATCCTATAATATTTTCTATTACTTGTTTGGCTAAGTATGTCTTTCCACTGCCAGGAGCTCCTCTCATAATAATCAATATCCTATTACCTGCATTATGATTATTTAGAAGTCTTCGTAATTGATCTGTCCAAAATGTTGAATTTTGAGGCTTTAATCGTTTTCGAACAGCTCCAGTATGACTCATTGAACCCCGAGAACAACTTGAATTAGTATTGTTTGATATTAGAGACCTGACAGATTCCTCCTGGGTAACAGATGCTAATTCATTCGTATTATGTACAGGTGAACTTAATGCCTTCATGGAAGAATGCCCTTTTATATTTTTTAAATTATGTGACATGTCTGTATTCTGTATTATTCTCTTATTTTCAGCAATTGTAGTTTCGCCTACCACTGTAGTGACAGGTATATTTATAAGTGAGGATGTACTATTTGATTCATTATTAGTAGATATTGAGACATCTTTTGGTGTGACGTCATTTACAACAAGGCTGGTATTAGGTGTTGTAGATTGATTATTAATCCCGCTTGTAATATTCATCATACCTTCTACAGCTAAATTAACTGAAAATAAATTTAATATGATGCACTTAATTGATAACAAATTTTGTTACCATAACATTATGAACCTATCTTTTTCCACGATCCTTGAAATAGTAATGTTTTAGGGGTTAGTATATTTGTACTGCATTAATATATGTAAATATGATTATGATAATAAAGCTGCCAATAATTATTTAAATTTACATTTACATATACATACTGCAGTTTTGATGACATGAATTTTTAAATTGTTTTATGATATTCATTATCTATGGCACTAACTTAATTTATTATACATAATAACTATCCGCACAAACTATTTGTTAATTCGTCAGTCACTAATTCCTATCTACCATTGTTTCCATCTGCCTATCTAATAATTTAGAATGGTAAAGGATTGTAACATATAACACATCTTTGGATTTTAGGAATATATAATCAAGTATTATGAGACCAGATTAACACTGTCAGACTTGATCTTTATGGTTTTTTATATTAATAATATTTTCATTTTTAATGTTAAAATTGTCTAGGAGCCATACACAGTATATTACACACTGTAAAATTAGGGCTATTTCTTGCTTTGATAACTAATATGATGTTACATAATATATTTCCCTTGGGGAACTCATCTCAATAAATGACCCAATGCAACTTGAAATAAAATGATGAATTACAAGCTCATAGATAAGATACTGGTCATTGAAAAGTATCATCTACTTTAACACCTGTACTAATATAAGGATGACAAACATGGGTAGTCTACAGAAAATATGCAAAAACTTGTAATATGCCAAATGAGTGTCCAGAGAAGCATGACCAACATGCTTATACCAGGAGAGATAGAGAGAGCTACAGACATAAGATTTATCACAGGTTAGGACAGTCACAACTAATAATATAAGGTTAAAAAGGAAGTGGATAAGGCACATATTAAGGTGAAATATGTGATGAATAAAATTATAACAAAATAGATTTCCCTTTATAAAATGAAGCGAAAAAGAAGACAATGCAAAAGATGGTCAGATGACATTAAAAAGATAGATACAGTGAGAGAACATTAGATAGATAGAAATACATGGTAAAGGCTGAAGGAGCTTTCTGGTGCAATAAAGTGTTAATAAATAATAAATAATGTAGACATACAACCCCTATGTCTACATTATTTATTATCTATTAACACTTCATTGCACCAGAAAGACAAACAATTAAAAAAAGAACAAACAAATAATAAGAAATAAGGTACAAAAGGTGCTCTTATTGCTTAAGCAATCTCTTCCAGACAACCTTTGGGTAGAGTAGAGAAGACAGAAAGTGGTAGATGACCCAAGAATGGACTAGAGAAATAAAAAAGGCATAGGAATACTAAATAATACATTGATGAATTATATTGAATTGATAACTAATAGTAGTAAAAATAAATTCTTAAATCTGTAGTTATATAAAACTACAACAAAATTTTACTTTATTACATGTAAAAATGTTTTTTAGCTATGGACATAATTATCACATAGCACTCAAGACTAACAAATTCTGGTATTGTAGATATTTATTTTATTCTATAAGAATACATTACATCACATCATATATGCATATGTTTTGAAGTATTGCATACACATTCTTCTATCATTTGAATATTACTAGTATTTTAAATATTAAACTTAGAGACAAAGTCAAACTAAGAGAAAAAACTGAATTTAACAGATACAGTCAGAACAATCAAGAAACTAAAATGAGAGTGGACAGAACAAGCATTTTAGAAGTAAGAAAGGGAAATGGACTAAGAATGTATTAGATTGATATCCACAAGATCAGAAAAGAAAAACAAGGGTGACAAAAATAGAGGTGGGCGGACAATAAAAGGGCAGTGGCTGGACCAACATGGAGAAGAAAATTGAAGCTTTCATATGCATTTTATTTTATTTATTCTCTTTATTCCATGACTATAAAAAATAATTAAAATAGTAAATAACATTAACTGATACAAAAGTTGGCCATATCCTAAGCAATTTCTTCCAGACAGTTTGAGTATATTGAGAAGGTAAAGATAAGAAAAGAGTGGCACATGTAATAAACAAAGATACATAAAATTAATTTAAAACATTTTTGTCTGTGTCCTGTTTCTTGTTTCTGAAACAGCAGACTGATTTTGCGGACACTCACACTTTGCTAATCTCATAAGGAGTATCTTAGGATACATGTATTTTAGAAAATATATTTAACTTCTTAAATAATAAGTTTATTTCTACAGTAATGAAGTTGCCGCTAATCATTACATAGTATAAAACAAAGTCTCTGTCGCTGTCTGTTCGTCCCTATGTATGCTTAAATCTTTAAAACTATGCAACAGATTACAAAGCATTTTTTTTTTTTAATAGATAGAATGATTCAAGAGGAAGGTTTATATATATAATACATTTACAGCCAGGTGAAGACGGAGCAAGTAGCTAGTGTCATATAGAAAGACCCTTAATAACATATCAATGCATTACTTCTTTTAATTCTAGACACATATTTTGCATAAGGTCCTTATCCTTATGATTATGGTATGAGTAAGATCACATTTTAAATATTGGTACATTTAAGCTTTTTGATATCTAGGATAGATATAAAAATACATTAATCATATATGTAAAAATCTTATCTTTCAACATTCAGAAATACACTAGATAAGATATCAGATATATATAAAACAGTATATTCATCACAATTTATTCAGTGAACAATATTTGGGGAAGTACCATTCTAAACATCAGATTAGGTAAACATTAGTATTTGAATCTATGGCCACTCTGGAGACACTGAAATGGCAACCCCTATATCAGGTAATGTCACTTAGCCGTCAAATGGAACACAAATTACAGTGCAAGCATTTGGCAAATGAAATGGGTGAAACATAGGCACCTATGAAACAAGCTCCTTGTTATATCTCAACTATTTGCATTTCTAGTCTTATTCATCGAACATGACATTTTTATAACCTTCCTCAATAAATGAGCTATTAAAACTAAAGGAATTTAATAAATTGGTTCAGTTGATCCAGAAATTACCCCAGCAACCTCACAAACTTTACCAATTTATAATATTGATTTCATATGGTTATCCTGAAGGGAGTTATCAGAAATACTATCAAATGTTGATGTTCATGTTACATATATTTCAATCCTGTGTTAAGTCAGGAGAAAGACTACCTCCAATTCTTGAATCAGTGTTTTCACAATTCTATAATATAATGGTTGCCAAAAGTGTGAACCATACAAAACTGAAAAATACTGCTCATAGTAAAGATGGAACAAAGCAATCAATACTCATTTCAAACAGTATCTACTAGCAATAACAAAAATATTAATTAATCAATTAATAAAAGCAATCAAGCTTCAATATTGAGTGAACTTAAACTATATTGTGTATACTGTTATAAATTTTTGCTAATGCTAAAATATATATTGAACAAAATTCTGTCGTATAAAGGGATAATTTAAGTATTAAATTAACTATAGTAGGTACTTACTATCACCACCACAGTTCTCTACGACATCGACGATCATCTCTCGACTAGAAACCGTCCCAAACATGTTAATCAATGCTTTAATAACTCCACTATACTGTCCACTGTCTTCGTCCTTGGGATTATCCATTCTAACGACCAGGATAAATAATAATTATTAAAAGAAACATAAAAGAATATCCTATATCTTTCACCAACTTAAAACTGCAAACTCAAACAAAATTGCAAATTTATTATCAAATTAAATGCGCGTTCATTGTATACATAAGTGTGCATTGTAAAGAATTTTAACAAAGAATGATCGATATTCATTGATTGCTGTTAATAAAAAATAATAAACATCGAGTTTAGCGCGGAACTTCGATATAATATATTAATATCGATGTCAAGTTATCGATAACATCGAACCATCGTGACATCGGTCACATCGATGTTATTGACATAACATCAAAAAATACGACAAGCAACAACATTTTTATTAAAATAGGTAGTAATAAAATCAATATATTTATCTCATTTTAACTGAAGGCGTTAGACGAGATGACATTTACAAATGTCCACTCGCAATTTTGAAAAGGTTAAACTTCTAATTTTGGACCAACAAATTCAACATCCTCCATTCTCTCTAATTTCATTTAAACAATAATGTTTATATTTGTTATTCCTTCACAACCTACGTCGCTTAGAATTAGAGTCACATACTGGCAGTTCTGTGTCAATAATAGCCTAGGTACATTAATAAAGATATTTTGATTCAAATTTATAGTTAAGACTACGTTTAATCATTTAATAATCAATGGATTTGTAGATGATACCTTTCAACACAGAATTAATCCAAACCCTCTTGGATTTTGCCAATCCTACTTAAAAAAAAACTACATAACAATTATGCTTATAGGCAGGTTGGAACATCAATTTTCCTTATATCGATGTATCTCATTCGACATTTATCACAATTCGATACCCGCAAATCGATGTCTTTATCAATGCATTGAATTCATTGAATACCTAGTACACCACAGAATATTAAATAATATTAATATTCTATTAATAGGCAATCACACATTCCTAATTTCTATATTTCAGTCGTATATTGGTCGCATGTAATCACGACACACCTGTAAATCTGTCTGAAATCAATACAGACACAGTTCTACTATACAGTTGAGATGGATGTGTATCCAGGAATGACGAAAGAAATCTGAAAGTTGCGTCAGTTATAGACTGTTGCGAGGTAATATATTGTCCTGGTATGCGCATGTTATACAAAGGAGTGAGGACTGTCTCCTTAAAAAAATATTTAACATGGATGGATGAAAAGGGAGCGGACGACCAAAACAAAGGTGAATGAACAGTGTGAAAGACGACATGTATAAAAGGAGAATAATCTCAGATATGACGGGCGACAGGGATTACTAATGTAGACCAATGATTCCATTGCTAGCAATGTACCATGTTGGAACGACCTTCACGCGATTCCCACTGGAAAGCGTAAGGATAAATACCTGGTGAATTTGTCAAGATGGGCTAACTGACCAAACCTCACATTCATCTTATCATTCTTCACTGGTGCTCCTCCAGCGTAAACCATTAGGACAGTTTGTTTATAGTATGGTTTATTTTGTGTTTTTTTTTATTAAGGTCTTACTTTAGTTTAGTTAGAGGATCATTTCTACTGTAATCGACGTCAAATTTTAAACTGACATAAAACAACAGAATGTCAATAACAACATCAGAATTTATGACGCTCTTAGGTCAGTCAGTGTCGGAAAAAGCGCGGGAACGCTTGAAAGGAAGCGCGCTATTTTAAAAATTTTATTTTGTTTTATTTGGTTTATTCAATTGTATATCGTATATATTGTGGTTAAAATAAAATAAATAACCCACAACATGGGGAAGAGTAGAAGAAAGCGTAAAAAGCCTGTATCTCCAGATGATCCAGATAGTGACTGCAAATCTTCAACTTCATCCGAATCTGACGAAGTGGAATTAGATCAGAAAGAACTGTATAAAACTTATTTTGTCACGGATTATCATAGACGTTATCCAGAGGATTCCGGTGCAACTGAATTCGTTGTATTCGTTGAGTCTAGTGACCCTAAAACTATAATAGGCTCTAGAGACCTTCTATCTCTTTCATCTTGTTTAAAAAGGTTTAATAAAGGAGTCAAGTATCTCAGAAGCTTAAATAAGTATAAAATAGGAGTATATTTTGAGAAACCTGGCCTTGCAAATGCTTTCCTAAATAATTTTACCTTTCTTAAAGAATACCAATTTAAAGCGAGTATACCAGCTGGATCCACAGAAGTTACAGGAGTCATTAGGAATGTCCCATTAAACCTATCCAATAAGAAGATATATACCATGATATCAAGTTATAAAAAAATTATATGTGTTCGGCGGTTTCTACGTAAAGTTAAAAATGATACTAACTTTTTTCTACAGCCAACTCAGACCATAGCAATCACTTTTGCAGCTTCAGTTCTTCCAGATTATGTGGACCTTGAAGGATGGCGACACGATATATCACCATACATCGCTCCTGTGAAGCAGTGCTTCCGTTGTTTGAGGTATGGACATCTAGCTAAATATTGTAAAAATGCAGAGACATGCTCCATATGCAAAGGAAGTCATAATTTTAAAATATGCGATACACCAGTAGAAAATGCCAAATGTTTCCATTGCGATGGTAATCATGTTAGTATTTCCTCCAAATGTCCAATCAAACAAAAAAAAATTATAGAAAACAGAAACAAAGCTCAAACATCTTCATATGCAGATGTATTTAAATCTTTCCCATCACTAGGTACTAGACAGAATAAATATAATAATGATTTGATTTCTTTTCTTAAAAATGATGATAAATCTCTTGGTCTCTTAGTAGAGTCCATAGTAAAATTGATTACATTAAATAAAACTCAAAATACTTCAATTTGCACAAAAAATTTATTAGACATTCTTACTGAAAATTTCAGTAACAAAAACATTAGCTCTCAAAATTCACCTTAAATAATTTAAATATAGCTCAGTGGAACGCTCAAAGTCTGCTGAGCAATCGACATTTACTCACACATTTTCTTTACAGTAATAACATACATATTGCACTTTTATGTGAAACTTGGCTTCGGCCACATCATAAATTAAAAATAAAGGGTTATAAAATAGAACGCAATGACTCAGGTAATTATCACAACGGTGTTGCTATTATCATACATGAAAACCTTCATTATAATAGAATTAATATGTTTTCTGACGATTCAATACAAACTTTAGTCATTCAGATCATTATAAACAATGAAAAAATATCATTAGCTACTATTTATTGCCCCACCAATTGTTCAGTACCTTTCACAAAATCTAAACTTGTTAACTTTGTAAATAATACTCCTAAGCCTTTTATAATTGCTGGTGATTTTAATGCACATCACACCATTTGGGGTTGTGATTCAATTAAACCCAGAGGTAGAGATATTTTAGAAACTTTAGATGAATGTAACCTAGTTTTATTAAACGATGGTCATGTCACTACTGTAGGTAGTCATATTTGGAAGCCAAATGGCTTGGATTTAACCATAGTTAGTCCTTCTTTATCCCTTTCATGTAACTGGTATGTTTACGAAGATCCGTTAGGCAGTTATCATTTGCCAACAATAACACAATTAAATTTACAATATTCCAATTTTTCTTGTAAAGGAGCAAATAATTGTGTATCAGTTCCAGTAAATCGGCGTAACTTGCGACTTGTAAACTGGGACAATTACAGTAAAATTGTTAATTCCAAATTACAAGGCTTTTCTGTCAATGAGAGCGATCCGTGTTCAACATATGACACTTTTTGTAATATTATTTTAAATTCTATTGATATTGTTCTAAATAAGAGTTCATCGGCACATCAAAAACAATACAATTGTAATTCTTCTAGCAATTCTAAACTATCAAAATATAAGCATCCTCCAGTACCATGTTGGAATGACACTTGCGCAACAGCTGTTCGTAAAAGTAAACAAGCATATATAGATTTTAAATATGATCCTACCACAGATAATTATATTAAGTTTAAAAGATTGCAAGCGGAAAAAAAACTTACTATTAAAACTGTGCGTTTACAAAGTTGGCATGAATACTGTTCTAATTTAAACAGAACCACTTCTATATCTAAGGATTGGACAAAAGTTCGAAAATTTAATAAGAAATATATAAATAAACCTCGCACTTACAACTCAGGTAACGATGATATGTGGTTAAATGAATTTTTACACAAATATACTCCAGATTACGTTGCGAGCCCTTTTACAACAGTTCCTAACAATTCTGATAAAGCTAAAGATATTTTCTTTGATAAACCTTTCAAATTAGCAGAGCTTCAATCAGCATTAAAATCAAGAAGGGACACAGCAGTTGGGTTGGATAATATTTCATACAAAATGTTGAAAGCATTAAATGGTAACAATTTAAATACCTTCTTAATTATTATAAATTTATTATGGTATAACTCTATAATTCCAAAAGAATGGAAAACAGATTATCTTATTCCTGTGTTAAAGCCTAATAAAAATTTATATGTTGCTGATTCTTATCGGCCCATTACATTAACATCGTGTATAGGAAAAGTTTTTGAACAATTGCTTAAACAAAGACTAGAGTTTTATTTCGAGTCTCAAAATCTATTGCCGTCGAATCAATTTGGATTCAGACGAGGATTTTCAGCTCGGGAAAGCTTAGGGCATTTTTATATCGATATTAAGAAAGCTTTAGAAAATAATCAACATTTGGTAGCAATTTTTCTGGATATAGTGGGTGCATTCAATAATGTAAATCCGAAGATTTTGGCAGATATCTTAATTTCTGTCGGAGTTTCAAATAAACTAGCAATATGGTTATATAATTTTATGAATGGTCGAAAATTATACGTTAAAGTTAGTAATGTTTCATGTATAGGTCCTCGCTTATCTCATGTAGGAGTATCACAAGGTGGTATACTCAGTCCTTTATTATATATTATTTATGTTCATAGAATTAATGATGCTTTAGGGCCTTATGTCCATAATCTCCAATTTGCTGACGACTTAGCTGTATATTGTTATGGTGACAATATTGTGGATACATTATCCAAAATCAATATTGCTCTTAGTAATCTTTCAGTATATTTTTCTTATGTAAATTTGGAAATCAGTCCTTCTAAAAGCAAAATGGTAGTGTTTAGTAATAACAATTTAAATATAGACTCATCTAGTCAGGTGAAATATATGAGCGCTATTATTCCAGTAGAGTCAGAAGCAAAATTTTTAGGTGTAATATTTCAAAATAATTTAAGTTTTAAAAAATATGTCGATTGTGTATCAGATAGAGCCATGATGTCCACTAATATTCTCAGATCTTTGGTCGGCACTACTTGGGGATCAGACCCTAAAATTCTGTTAATTCTTTACAAGTCGCTGGTTCGAACGCATTTTGAATATGCGTTCTTCTGTTTTTGTAACAAAGAAAAATATGTTGATAAATTAGAAAAACTCCAAAATATAAATTTAAGATTAATTTTGGGAGCCATGAGCACATCACCAATAAATTCGTTGCAAGTTGAATGTAATATGCCCCCATTGCCGTTACGTTTTGAATTGCTAAAACTTATGTTTTTACTGAAACTTTATTCTGTTCATGATAACCAATTATTACATAAATTAAAAAATCCATCCTCTCCTAATAATTTCCTCTCTAATAATATAACTGAAATTATTAAAAGTCTACATAACTCCAACATATTTATTAATCAGAAATTAGTTCACAATAGCAATTCATATGATTGTAATTTTTTTAAAACCCCCATTTTTATAAATAAGAATTTACATAATAAATATGATGTCTATGATTACATATCTCAATGGAACAATTATAGGCATATGTATACGGATGGTGCTAAAAATAAAGACTGCACGGCTATTGCTGTTTATGATGCCAAGGAAAAAATATCATTCGGTACAAAAATATCGAATAAATCGAGCATATTTACTGCTGAAGCTTACGCTATTATCTCAGCGCTAGACTATATTGGTGAAACGAACAATAATGATAAATGGGTCATATTAACGGACAGCATGAGTGTCTTGTTGGCCCTTGCGAATGTTTCTTCTAGTAAAACATCTTTCGTTATACAAAATATTCAAAGGAAAATATATGATTTTAAAAAACGGCTTAATATGGATATTAATCTTATCTGGACTCCAGCTCACGTTGATGTCACTGGCAACGAAAAAGCTGATGAACTGGCTAGGTTCATCACAAACTGTCAAATTCAAGGAAAAGAAAAATACATGTTAATCCCAGCTTCAGATTTTATCTTTGAAAAAAGAAAAACAATTAAAACTAAATGGAAACAACAGTGGGAAGAATCCATAAAAGTTAAAGGGAAATGGTTCAGAGAAATACAGCAAGAATTTAAAACGCCATGGTTCGTTCAAGGAAAATATGTGGAAAGAAAATTTTATTCAATTTTATGTCGTCTTAGAATTGGACATGGAAGATATAAAAAGCATTTGCATAGGATGAAAATGGTTTCGTCTCCTATATGTGATTATTGTTCTGCCGACGAAGATCAATCATTAGATCACTTGTTTTTTGAATGTCAACATTTCGCAATCCAGCGATTAATATTTATTGATAAATTGATCAATATATATGATAAAATGGAGATCCCGCGCTCCATCCAGAATTTATTAAAGAACACAGAAACATACAAACCCATTTTCGAGTACGTAATATCAACATTTCAAGATATATAACTACTGAAGACAAGTATTAGAAAAAAAAAAAAAAAAATACGAAAATATTACTGAAGACAATGGCTGTATGGGCTGAGTCCTTTTGCCTTTCCCTAAAAAGGGAAAAACAGAACCAAAAAAAAAAAAAAATATGACGCTCTTACTAATTGACAGTGACATTCAGCAATATTCACTGATCTGACACTACGTTTATGTAACAAACTGAACATAAAATTATTATTATCCCATGACAGAAATGTGTTATGCAGGGATTTAACATTGAAATCAATTTTATCAGAAAAAAAAACACCTTAAAAAGCTACAATTTAGTTTCTGTATGTAATTTGTGACCGGCTATAGAATATATTTTAATTGACAACCCAACTATACAACAATTTAAATTCATTCAATACAAAAAATGAACTATATATTATCATTATAAAAATATTGATAAATCTCAACGAAGTACATAATAATTTAACATATAAAAATATATACAAGTTTGTGTTTAGAAAGTTAATAAAATAAAAAAATTCAACATTAAAGTTTGAAAATGGGTGATAATTTTCAAAATAAAACGATGGCTCCAGTCATGATGGATTATGATTTCAAAATCAAAACACAAAACGAACGCTCAAAAGTGGAAGATTTGTTTGATTTCGAAGGTTGTAAGGTGGGACGTGGCACATATGGTCATGTGTATAAGGCTAGACGAAAAGATGGATCCGATACGAAAGACTATGCCTTGAAGCAAATCGAAGGGACCGGTCTTTCTATGTCGGCGTGCAGAGAAATCGCAGTAAGGATACGTCACAATAGTTTATAACTACTATACTAGTCACCCCCAAATGTAGTAGAGATATGAGAGCTCATATCTTAATTTTTATTTAATGAGATTGTCTTTCAATATTACACCATCTTGGAATTAGTCTTTGAGTACTGTTTGTATATAATAATTACTATAAACTGCAGTTTCTTCATATTAGCATAGAGCTATAATGTTTAAGTGGCTTGAAATGAAAGAGAGTCCTGATTCAACTGTTTTTCTTTATATTATGTGATGATATCTCCACCAACAATTTCTTTTGACAAGTTTAATCATATGTTTTAAAGTTTCTGTAGAATTTAGAAGGAGAATTTTTAATTGGAAGTTATTGTTGTCACTGTATTAATTTTCATCATTCCTAGGCCTTGTCAAACTGTTTTGGGCTACCATTTCATCTTATTCAATCAGCCAATTGACTCTGGAAACTCATTCCAACCATACTGTTTCACACCTTCTTTATTCTTGAATTGTTAAACTATTTAATGCCAGTTTGCATAATCAAAGATTTTGTTGTTGCTATTGTGCATGTAGACCCAAGACTACTAGAGTAGCCTATGTAATTGTATTGTTATCTAATAGCATTTTTATATTTACAGCTTTTACGAGAACTAAAACACCCGAATGTCATAAATTTAATTAGAGTTTTCTTGTCACATACTGACCGTAAGGTGTGGCTATTATTTGACTATGCGGAACATGATTTGTGGCACATTATCAAGTTTCACCGTGCTGCTAAAGCTAACAAAAAGTCTGTTATGGTCCCAAAGGGTATGGTGAAGAGCTTGCTGTATCAAATTCTGGATGGTATACATTATCTGCACTCAAATTGGGTTCTACATAGAGATTTGGTTAGTAATATGAATTTGATGCTTTTAGTTTTTTTTATAATATGACTATTTCATACAAACTATTATTTCACATATTTATTCATTAAATTGTTCACTAATTTAAATCTTATAACTTATAATTCTCATACTAATCTTATTTTATGTCACAATGGCAATGTTTCATAGCCTTTGGATGCCTGAATCACCAGGGTTGTTAACTGCTGACACTTTTTTATTAAAATAATAATAAATTATATTAATTACTATTCTTCTTCCCTTTATTAGTTTAAGTAAATTGTTTTGTGTGTTCACCCAGATCAACTGGGTCACAGAGTATCATTTGCAGGATGTTAGTTGTATACTTTAATTTTTTGTTAATTAATTTATATGCTTAAAATGATAATTTTCTCCTCAACAGAAACCAGCCAATATCTTAGTAATGGGTGAAGGCCCTGAGAGAGGTAGAGTGAAGATAGCTGATATGGGTTTTGCGAGGTTGTTCAATGCACCGCTAAAACCTCTAGCCGATTTAGATCCAGTTGTGGTTACATTCTGGTATAGAGCACCAGAATTATTGCTTGGTGCAAGACATTACACAAAAGCTATTGGTGTGTTTGTTTTTTAATCAAGACTCTTATTTTATTCAGAATTTTATTTTATTTATTTGTTTCTCTATTTGTAGATATAAATTTGAGTTATGAGGTAGTATGCAAGAGGCAGTTGTGATAAGACTGAAGCAATTAAATAAAAGTTTATAAAAGCTTTAACTTTACAGAATTTAAAAAAATATTTTAAATTATTTAAAATGATTCTGCAATTTATTACTTTATATTTTTTTAACATCTGTGGGTAATCAAATTGTACTAGTATGATGATCAAACTGAATCTGATCAAAATGACCATAGAAACTTTAAATAAACAATCTAACGTCACCATGTTTGATATAATTTGCTTTAATTGCTAAAATCAGAATACTAGCTATTAAGTAGCTGCCATATATACTGTTGTGATTTAGATTTTAGTGCAAACAAAAGACATGTTTTTCATCTTCCTAATAATTATATATTTTTATGTTTCTTTTTAATATTGGATATGTTGTTTTCCAGATATATGGGCAATAGGCTGCATATTTGCTGAATTACTCACATCTGAACCTATATTCCATTGCCGTCAAGAGGATATCAAAACGAGCAATCCTTATCACCACGATCAGCTTGATAGAATATTCAATGTAATGGGTTTCCCACAAGAGAAAGACTGGGAAGATATCAGGAAAATGCCAGAACATCCTACATTGATTAAAGATTTCAAAAGATCTAAGTAAGGAAAATTATATTTTTAATTTAATATTTCTGCCCATAGAATAGACTTTAAGTCACAAGGGTGACTTAATTGAGGACTCAAGTGTGGTTGACAAAGTATAAAGTGATCTTGGTAGTGCTGTTCATGTATTTAGGCGACATTTACCATTTACCGTTAGATGTTTGACATTCCAATTAAGTAGAGAAAAGCTCAAAGTCAACCAAATCATGAGAATATTGGTGGCTATCACTTGGTGTCCAATATATGATGAGGTTTGCTCACCTTAGCGAAATGCATGCTAGTCAGCCAATTAGTGGTGACAAGGTACATAAATATTCAATAAATAGACAGTCACACTTTCAATTTTATAATGTTTAAAATAGATATCATATAACTTTTTTTTGTTTCAGTTACCAAAATTGTTCACTTAGTAAGTATATGGATAGACATAAAATAAAACCTGACAGTAAAGCTTTCAGTCTTCTCCAACGTCTACTTCTGATGGATCCCAATAGGCGAATTACATCTGAACAGGCTATGCAAGATCCTTACTTCACAGAGGATCCATTGCCTACACAGGTAAAATTCTTTAGAATGAGAGTATAAGAGTTTTTTTATATTATCTTATGATTGTCAAGGATAGATGGATACTAATGAAGGTGTCAGTAAAATATAGAACTATGGTTGGTATGTTATTGATCTTTGATGGAGAATGCACTCTGCATCCCACAAGTGCATCTTTCAGTAATTCAATAGAACTAAATTATGCAATGACTTTTATTTGTGTTATTATTCGTCAAAAATGGAATGGTTTGTATGACCTCAATACTTACTCTTAATATAAAATAATTTTAAGGATGTGTTCGCTGGATGTCCAATTCCATATCCAAAGAGAGAATTTTTGACTGATGATGACCAAGATGACAAGAGTGATTCTAAAGCGAGGCAAAATCAACAACAACAGCAACAGCCTAATGTAAGTGAATATTAAAATAATGTGAATATTACAATATAGATAGTTTGGTGTCCCTAAAACCATGAATTTGAAATCTATATGATATTTAATTCGTGGAGACATTACACCAGATATTAAATATACCTGTACACTGGTTTGAGGTTTTGCTCTTGGAACTTAGTGTGGCACAGTCCAAAACCTGTCTAAACTATTTTGAGCGGAACATCAAAATTTGGTAGTGTTTGGTATTACACTTGTGAACATTTTCAAAATTGGGAGTGCTGCTCGTAAAATATCATTATTATATTCATTGGTTCTTTATTCAGCATATGTTGTTTATATTATATGTAATTATATTATTCATGTATGTATTATATGTAGAAGTTATATGTTTAAGTATAGTAATATAATACCCCACGCAGACGAGTTTTTATAAGTTTACTTAGGTTGAGATTATTTTCAATTGTCATTCTCTTATACCAATGTTTAATAAATTATATATTCATTTTTACAGACACAACAGAACCAAGTACAAGCGAATAGCCACGATCATGCCGCAACCAACGCTAAGAGAATGCGAATGCAAGGTATCTATAATAATATATAAGAATTGTTACTGTCATATTATTTGCTGTAATGTTACGTTATTATTTTATTCCCATCAGCGATTAATTTCCGGCAGTTATTGAGTCTACATCCATATTGCGAAACACTTTCATTACCTCTGAACGAGGCATAATCAGGCAATTAAAAAAAGCTCAGATATATCTTGAAACTAAGTATTAACTGCTCGACGTTCAGACTACGACTATAAAAAAAATATCACCTATTCTCCTCGTAAGAGGCGGAATTCTCCAGCTCCGATTGTCACATTGTAAAGGCAGTTTAGCATATACTTTCCAGTTTTCTTTCTTTTTCATCTATGTATTTGATCTTTGATCTTACAGCGGTCTTACGTCTTGGGAATGATAATATATTTCTTTGATTATAGACCACAAAAAAAAATTGACTCGATTACATGATGATGATTACGTGGAACTTATAAAATGCATCATCAAAATCTGTTCACATAGATTTTTTTTTGAGGTAACATACTTAAAAATATATCCAGAGTCAAATTGAGAAACTCCTCTTTAAAGTTGATAATCGTAGGCCCATTAAATGATTTATTGGTATGTCGCTTATATGCTTGAATAACGTCATCATATGACGTCGTGGTCCTCTCATGCGTTGCCATTTTAGAGAATTACAATGCATGCCTCCTTTGAAATGAAACACATGTTAGAATACGTGTTGCTAAACGGCGCAAATAGGTGGCCCTGGCTCACCTATACACAAATTTCTGCTTGAGTGATATCTATTAGCGATATATATGTGATACATTAGAAATTTTAATTATATTCTTTTTCAGGACCAAACCAAGGCAACAATGCCACGGGTGGTGGGCAGCAGGAGTTCCACCAACAACAACAAATGATGTTTGGAGGTCAACAACAAGGAGCCAACTCGCAGCAGCAAGGGAATTTCCAACAGAGATTCTAGAACAGCTATGCACAACTCTATTTCTATGGTCCACAGTCATATTATACGTATTAAATGATGCCAAATGCAATGAGTTAAAATGTTGATTCTGAATGTATAGAAAATTATCATCATATCGAATATAATTTATTCAATATTAAGGACAATTTTACCTCATCTATACAAGTAAAAAATATATTGCCTTCTCGAATATTCTCTTATATCTTCTCCCCAGTTTTATTGCAGACTATTTGGAACTGGGAACAAACTCATCAACTTACACTCAAACACAGGACAAAAGAGCATCCAATGCATCCGAGCATATGATGTTAACTATGTATTTAAATACAATTTTGTTATGGATGAATATGACACAGTGCATATCCGGCTCTGTTAACAGTATAAGCTGACCGGGTGCCTGTGGAAGATGTTATGATGTATACGACGCCAATCGTGGAGAATTCACTAATAAATAACCACGATTGTTTCTAGGTGTTACCGCGTGTAAGTCGACCTGACAGTAATGTATTATAAATTGTTATCCATGGCGCCACTACGCGCCATTAGTACCAATCTCTTCCCACTTAACAACTAATTAATGTTCTATTCTTGGACTCGTGAAGACATTTCGAGATTTTCTTCAACAATTCTGCACCGGTATATTGTGCTTTCCTTGTTTAGTTTCTAGATCAGGAAAGGACAATATCATCACCATCTTGCCACAAAAAAGCATGGTAATACTTAGTAACATGTGGTGTATTGCTAGTGATTATCTTCATAATATCAAATAGGTTTTATACGCGGCGTCGTTACCGCATCGCCTGTTTAATATCTTTTCTCTCATTTCTCCTGTTGTAGTATGTGGGTCTATTTTAACAATTGAAATAGAAACATTCCACAGTTTACAAGCATTTCTTTTCTAAATATTTGTTATATGAAAATATCTTCCCTGATCTTTTTTGTCAATAGATGTCAAAATTTTTCTTTAACAAAAAGTTGTCTTTCTCTATTATTTTTTTTAAAATATGTTATTTTATCTATTACCTATAATTATAATACACTTAGTCTCCAAAAATGGCATTAGGAGGTACTACAGGCATTACTTGAGCTGATGTTCATAGACCGCCACGCTGGTGTAGTAGTTTAGCACATCGCCTTACTTACGACGGGCGCAGGTTCGATTCCTTGCATTATACAATAATTTATATTCATGAGTATGATTGTTTGTATCTGGGTATTTTCTAATTATAATATGTATGTAATTAAATGTATTTATGTCAGTTGCCTAGTATGGGTACTACTACTACAACACAAGCTCTGCTTAGCTCGGGACTAGATGGCGCTGTGTGAATTGTCCTGAGATATTATTATATTTATATTATAGGCGATGGTTGACACTTTTCATCAGAGCGGATCATCTGGAAGTTTGTTATTCATATAAGTTTAAAAAATATGACTTAATTATGGTTGCTATACTTTTAGTACAACATTTCAATAATAATTAGACGAAGTTTTTGCGAGCACGGTTGTATATGGCCGATCAAGATCCTGTTGTTTACAAATAAATATTAGCTGTGATTGCGAGCCTTGTTTCTAACAAATCGTAAACAATTTAAACATAAAGAGTTCGCTCACTACTAATTGGGCAATTAGCCTTATTAGCCTAATTTTTATGCATATAATACATGATAATTAATTACATGTTTTGTGAAGATCTCATGTCACGTCGGAATTATATGTATTGATGTATAAAACTAGACGATTAATGTCTACGATATGTACTAGTAGTCAAACTTTGACTTGATGTAATTACTAAACTATATTCTATGACTGAATAAAATCAATGTATAGTAATATGAGTAATTTAGTTAATAATTATGTAAATATTAGTATATAAGTATTAATTTTATGTATTTTATTATAATATCAATTCGAATTCTCATTTTAGTAAAATAAAACAATATTTTTGTACAACTATTGTTTTAAAATTAACAATGACTCGGTTGGAAATTAAATCTCTGCAATATTACAACAACGTTTTTATTCTTAATTTTAAAATAGCTTACGAAATTTATCTATAAATAATGAATATGGTTAATAAAAAATCTAGGCCGTCAATAATTGCACGATATTAAATTGCTACTTTAATAAAATTATAATAAACTTCATCAATCATTATATCTTCATTCAAACTTTAAAAATGCATCAATAGGTTAATAAATTGATATAATATTTATCTGAAATATTTGATAAGGTAGATCCTCCTAAGAATTAATTATTAGAATGACAAATGTCTTAACCTTGAGAACTGAATCTTAACAACAATGGTTTATTAAATTTAAACTTGACTGAACGAAAGTTAGCTGCTTTTGAAATATAAAAGTAACGAAATTATACATCTACTTCATAATAACAACAAAATCACCATCACTAAAAATTGTTACATTATATTATACATTAACTTTTGAAAAACAACATCAGCCGCTCGGCAGAATTCTTTGAACTTTCTACCGGACTAGTAGGTCTATTGAGACGTTCTAAATAATGTCGGGCCACGATATAGGATGCCTCGATGGCCACATTCCATGAGCTCATTGTCAAAATATTTAAAGTCTACTATCCTTCGTAACTTCCACTATTGCCCTGTCCGCATTATTCACGATGCTGTACTGACTCTTGAGCAACTCGTCTCTTCTGAGTTTGGTGTTACTATTGACTTGCATGATGCGTGTACGCAATCTGCTGCAACGGCCATCTATTAGTTTCTCATATGCTGGAATTAGTAAAAAAACTTTATTACAATTAAATTGTACACCATTGTAAAATACTAATATGTATTATAAATTCAAAAATGTGTCTATCTATATTGCTCGCAACTAAACGGCGATTGATGTGATTTGGCTTGAGGATAGTTTCTACCATGAGGACGTATATAAGCTATTTTTATTCCAAATAAAAGCAAACGAAGTCTCGGGTAATAGCGTGATATATATAGGTACAATAATTTTTTAATTCAATTTTTTTGTACCATAGCAATCGGGAAAAAATGTAAAAATACGTAAGAATAGTATATTAAGTAGGAATTTTATACATAATACGGAGTTGCCTGCCCTCTCTAAGACGTAATATTTACTGATTTGTAATTGATTACAGGTACATGAATTAAGTAACGAAAGAATATTGTGTTTTTAAGCGTTTGAATCCGGTTCAATGGTTTTATTCAATTAGATTCACCGGTAGTTTCACGCGCTATTTCCAGTACACAATATTATTGCTATCTACTTGGATTGTTATTCATGAATACTTTCGGCGTACAGAGCCGGTTATTTCGATTTTTTTGACATGTAAGTACCAACTTAATTTATACGTTTTCAGTTTTGTTTGATATCTATCTCTAACCAATTATGTACAGTAAATGATGGTTGAAAAAACCGTAAGAATATAGTTATTCACTATTTTTATGTTAAACTGACTGACATACATAATTAAACATTTTTATTCCACCGAACTTATATTCGGACAAAAAGCTTAAATTATGTCATATTATCTATAAGTATCATATCAAAAAGTAATAAATAGCTACTTACGATTGTCCCTATAAGAATTATGGCACGCCAAATGGCAGATGGACGGGAATCCCTTTAATGTATTTGGATCTATTATAAGCGCAGCTAATGGATTAGCGCAAAGTGGGTCTCTTCTGCCTTTACATGAATTTATACAACCCTCATAGGTGTTCTTTTTTGGTTTCTTGGTTCTTCTAGTTGTTGGTCTCTTCGTTGTGGTAGCGACCAATTTCACATTTGTAATAGAGCCTTTAGGTGCAACCACTCGGATCATAAAATTCGAAGGAATTCTATTCGTAGCCGGTGTAATACGGCTGGGCACAGGTGTTGAAGAAATGATGGTGGATCTTAAACTAGTTAACGGATTTCTCGTCACACATGGGTTTGTGATTATTGAAATGGGTGATGTTTGTGTTGAAGAATTAATAGTAACGGTAGAGGGAGCGAGAGTTGAAGAAATTATTGACGTAATTGGTGGAAGGGTAGAAACAGTGGTTTGGGTATTTGTACTAAGCACTGGTACATTTTGAGGTTGCGATTGGGGTAAGGTCTGAATATTCTGTGGTGCTTGTTGGTAAATGACAAAGTAATTTGGCACTGCGCTTGATGGAGTAATTGTAGTTGTTGAAGAAATTGACGGTGTTGTTGGCTCGATGCGAACAGTTTGGGGTGGTAAACTGTTAGTATTATCATTTATTGGGAAAGTAGACTGCTGGTCTAAGATGTTTTCAATAAGAACACTAGTCGTTTGTGGTCGGGTGACTATTTGTGGTTCTAATGATGATAACGTTGATAACGTTGGGATTGAAGAGAAGAATGAAGAAGTTGATAATGTTGGAAGCGTAGAAAAGGTAGAAGGCGTTTGTATGGTAGACAATGTCGGTGGCTGTATGGTGGATAGAGTCGGTGGCTGTATGGTGGAGAGAGTCGATGACTGTTTGGTGGAGAGAGTCGGTGGCTGTATGGTGGATAATGTTGGTGGTTGAAATGTGGACAAAGTTGGTGGTAGAACAGTGGAAAAAGTCGCCGGTGGCGGTGGTGTTGATGAGAAAGTTATAATAGGCTCTAACGTTGATAAAGATGTGCTTGGTACAGTTGATACTTCAGTGCTATAAGTCTGTCTTCTTGTTGGTGCACTTGACACTGTGGTTCGTGTGCTTGACATTAAATCTCGTACAATATTTACTCCATTTGCTGGGGCTATCGGAAGAACGACTATAGGTTTCGTTACTGAAAAAGTAGACGAATATATCGGTGAGTTGTCAGTTGTGAACAACTCTGAAATTGGTTTTGGTGAGTAGCCGTCGTTAATAGCGTTAGCTGAATACCATGTTCCTTGTATCTCTGGGATTTCTGCTCGACATAGTTGTAACACTGAAATCAACAAAGAAATATCTTTAGTTTGATTTTTTGCGACAGTTATTCTTGTTACACACTTATAAGTATAAAATAAAAATGGTTAAATTACTTGTATCTTTGATAACATTTTATTCTTGTTTTTTAGTTTACCTAAATATTTAAAAAATCAGAAATAAAATGAACCATTTTTCCAATGCTTTCTATACGAGACTGGAGCTGGAAGGTGATCACAGAAACTGTGTGATAATCTAGTTTCGGCTCATTTGTCTCCTTTCATTAATTAGTTGACTTATATATCTACTGTATATCAAGATATAATATAGAACTTGATTTATAGTTGTCACTTTATGCTATATGAAATACCTACATGGGTATGTTTACCTTTAGTTTTTACAAGTGTTACAGAGCTGTAACTATTAATTATGCTATGAATAATCACATGGAATAACTTCAATATGATACTTAGGTGTAATATTAGGTACCTCTAATCATTTTGAATCACTTTGTTTCTTGCAAAGGTACAGAACTGGTTTTCAAGGGCCGCTTTTTGCAATGTTCTCAGGTCAAACACCTTTCTCTCTCTCTGAGATCGAAATATCTATTAACCGTTTCAAATATTTTTTATGCTCTGTGAATTATATATTGTTTTACGGTAGATACTAAAATGTTTATATATTTTTTCTATCGCCTTATTATATTTTATATTAGATAATAATTATAATATTTTTAATTATACATATGTTGATATATTTATATATGCTCTCTTATTTATTACAATTATATAGTTCATATGAATTTAAGTATAATATGTAGAAGAGTATTGTAGCGAACTCCTTGATAGGTTTTGTATATTATTTTTGATTTTATAATTATATTTTTTTACATATTTACTTAGATTTATTAGTCACATTTTCTTTTATCTCCGTAATTTTCCTCATAAAACCCCTATACCCTTCGCTCATCAGGTACATCAGATACCTCCGATTCAAGTATTATTATTTTTTTAGACATCTATGAGAATATGCAATTTTATGTAGCTTCTTTTATATTAAATGAGAATAATTAATAAAGACAATAAATATAATGACATGTATACTAATGAAAATCGTATATTTGATGGCTCATGAATTTTTGGATTTAAAAATCTTGACACGATTCTCACGAATTTTTGGGGCTAAACTAAAAATCATTTAAAATACATAAATCGAACTTTCATTATAGAAATTTATGTTAGCATGTCTAATCAACTGATAGACTATTTAAAATCGATTGTTTTGATTTTGCACCTAAATAATGCGTCTGGATATTGCATAGACATTCAGCCTTTATATTTCTAATCGTTTCCTTTTCAATGAAACCTAAAATGTTATTACGAAGCCAATCGGTGTTATTACAAACACGAGTAGTGATTGATTTATACAACTGAATAGTTAAGTGATTGCCGAACGCATGTTAACTTATTTCTACATATATTGCGTGTATTGCATGTAAATAAATTATAAGACATCACTAGGTAGTTTGTCAAATTGTATTAAAATTATACTTATTTATCAAATGTACACGCATTTGGAAAAAATCAGTAAGTATACTTTACGATGAAGTGATTAATAATGAACATTCCTAAGTATTTTAGACATGAATAGATTTGTAACCTCTGGCCCTTTAAAAGTGTAATATATGTATATTAAAGTCACAAGTATATTCATAAATTATATATTTAACCTATCATGCACATAAAAATTTTAATTATAGTATTTATACCTTTTCTTTACCTGGCTATGTATGGCGCGATATTTTTAAAATTTATACGTTTAGATCTGTTATTATTCACTTCACAACTTTTTTTATAAACATATCTAGTATGAGTACCTAGGTATAAAAGTATATACAAATGTCGAAATTAATTAAATTAAACCCTATATATATGGTAACACCGTTTATAAATGAAAACCGCTTATTAGTTATTGAGATTATCGAGAACACACAGACAGACGCAGCGGGAGAATATGTCTTGTAAAATGTATTCTGCTCTTTGTAGTCTGACATCTATTCTGTTTACTTGTCTATGTAATTATGTTGCTCTTTAATTACTCAATGACAGAATGTTAAAACAAATGAATATGTTTTCTTTGGAAATAAACACAATATATACTTAATAAAAAAAGAGGTTTATATACGCATCACTATGTCAATAGAAAAGTAAAGCCTTTTTCGAAATGATTATCAATCTTCAAAATTATTTTAATTAAAGACAAATACGTATATACAAATACAAGGTTTTATTTTCATATTAAATTAATATTTTTAGACGTTTCAATCATTATACGTTGACATTAACAAATTGTTTATGGATGAAAAATTTACTATAACCTGTATATACAAATATCCATACCTATTAAGTAACTCATATTATGAAATAGATTTAAAAAAAAATTATCTTTATAAATAATCTAAGTCATAATTACTAAAATAACTAATTCTTGACATAACAGTCATAAATTTGTTAAACTCACCAGTTTTTTTAATTGTTTCACTGACAATATTTACAATGCTGTAACTTAACTAGTCAATTCTCATAGCATAACAGTTATAAATCAGTTAAACTCACCAGTTATAACAACGAGCGCTGGTAGGGTTGCGTGTGCCATGACTGTGGTACAGTGGCGAAGTGTTCACACGACTGGCCGATCCAGGCCCAAGTGGGGGCCAGTTCACAAGCGCACGGTGCAGTTTTTTATTCCCTGTACTTACCAAACTTGTTAAGATGTTCGTATACTATTAAGCGGTTTGAATCAACCGTATCAATTTTGCCATAGATCATGATTTTAGTCCCCGAGACAGCCAGATTTCGTCTATCATTTTTCACACTCACATACCTTCGTGCTCTAGACTGTAAATTTGTATAATGTGTCAGCTATGGTTTCGAGGCTGTATTGACAAGATATACACTAAGAAAACAGTCCTTCCGATTTTTTTATACTAAGTACATGGCCAACAAGAATACGTTCCATCTGATAGTAAACGCTTACCGTAGTCCTATATTATGGATAGCCGATATTGACTCCCGAAACGCCAGGGTTTGTGACGTGTGCGTTGCCAACCATTAAGAAGCCCTATTATGCCCGTCTTGAAAACCCTGTGCTGTAGTCTATCGAGAAAACTCGGCAGGTAGTTCATTTCCCGATCTAAGTGTACGCGGGAGAAAGCTCCTGAAACCGCACTGTCCGAGACCACAAAGGTTTCGGAGTGTGTGGATGAATTCCCTGTCGATAGGAATGGTGGCGGTGCAATGATAAAAGGTTGGCGGTTCAAACTGTTCTCTTAAGCACTTCATCAATTTTTTCTTAGGTAGGAAATAAGTCATCTGTTTCTGGCTCGCGGACCATTTGAACGTGGAATATAGTAAATCAATCATATGACACATGTGTAGAACAATGGTTTTATGTAATATATGAAAATAGTATTCCCCGCTGCGCTAGTTGCATACGCTGATGGGGCACTAGTGGAGGATGACAGGATGATCAGGAAGTCTGGTCACTTAGCCTGTCTTGGTGATGTCGCCAGATCTTTAATCCTGGGCACCTGCTTGGAGCTAGCAGGTGCCCAGGATTAAAGATTTGAGATTGGTAAAAATGGGGCCGTTGTCCTTTTGGCTAATAATTCTCTCATCAAATTACTCTAAAAATGTCTTTGTTTAAAATGCAGAAAACATTTTAATACAATAATTATATGTACAGTATCTCAGTTGTCATAATAATTATGTTAAATCTCGATACCAGTACAGTAGTTAGGTAACTTCATTTCAGTTGCCATCATATCTAACAACCTCTTCTATAATACAGATGAATATGACTTTTAAGAATTTGAACATGAAATCGGTTATATTATAGAGACTAGTTAGGTATGAAACGGGACTAGGTAAAAACAAATATTAATAACACATAAAATTTATAGTTTTTAGAGGTAGGTATTGGACATTTAGAAACTTCAGGTTTGTTACGTTAAAGTGCGGTAGTTATGTACGTCCCACGATCTATTGCCAAGTATTGTTTTGAGATTCCACAGTCAAGGATCATCTGTTTATACTTTTAATATACATACACATTAGGTATATTACTATAAATATTCATTAGTGCATGTTAATTAATCAATTCTACTAAGTGGATTCGATGTTATAATTGTGATTTATAAAGAATTTGTGTGAATATTTTAAGGGAATCAAAACTAAAGGTTAATTAACTACCTATAACAAATTAATCTTTTTGTTTACCACTAACACAAATAACTATATATGTATACTGTCTATAGCAATTCCTCAAGTAATGGACTGATTATGATTCTTATTTTTCTTAAAGAGCTGACGCGATTGTGATCCCATATCGCTATAATTTAGGTTATGATTACTAATTATATATCGTAGTAAAAAAAAAGGTTTTTTATTAGGAAGTTACTTCAAATTTCATAATTATTGTAACTGTGAATTATAGCAAAAAATTATTTATGTAACTTAATGAGTTATTTGTTGGGCAGTGAGTGTATACTTACTAACTCATTATCTACCTATGCCATTGTATTAATTGTATTGGTTGACTGGAAGAAATCTCTTTTAGGGATAAGTCCATCTATGCTAGTTTAATCCTTAAATAAATTTATTACCTACTATATGTTTGAGTGCACTAAAGAAAAAAAATATATTTACAGATAACTCTTTACACATGGAGCGGAGTAAACAACTAAATGACGCAATTTCATCAAAAAATTCTGAAAGAGATATGGATCAGAAGCCGAGGGAATATAAAATTGTGTATCATAACTTTTTAACATTTGGTTATTGGCATCTGGCTGGAATATATGGATTATACCTTTGCTTTACATCAGCGAAATGGGCTACTATTGTATTTTGTAAGTACCTATTCCTTAGATATGTACGCTAATTATTAATAATTGATAAAGATCTGACTTAATTTTTGCGAATGTTAACCTATAAATCGTTTACTTGGATACTGGGTACTTCTTTCTTATTTCAAATTACATCTTTAGTTATAACGGCATTTCGTCATATTTTATAATACATTGTTTTTGTATCTTGAGAATGAGACATATTCTGGATGATAATGGAATGGTATACCGCCTGCGCTAGCGATTTACCCTGGCGGGGTACGAGTGCAGATGATAAGATGAGCGTGAGGTTAGGTCAGTTTGCCCATCGTGATAAATTTTCCCAGCAATCGCTTTCCCCCAGAATGAGACGATGATAACAAGCCGTTACATTTCTAAATCATGTGCCATCCTACAATTATACACCACGTATAGGAGCTAAATAGTTGGAGGTGGGTAGTTCGTTTAAGGATGAACTCTTAATTCTCCAACATTACAGACCAATCTTACTAGAGACAAAAAATGAAATCTATAAGAAAGTATCCATCGTCGATAATGACTAAAATCATATATTTTTTAAAGTATGACAAATAGCAATACGTAATACAGTAGGTATAAATTGGAATGGAAAACCTAGGTTATTATATACTATCGATTGTTTTTATTCACAGCTATATTCCTGTACACTGCAGCTGAAATAGGCGTCACAGCTGGAGCGCACAGACTATGGGCACACAAGACGTATAAAGCTAAATTGCCATTGCAAATACTTCTCATGATTTTAAACTCCATAGCATTTCAAAATTCAGTACTCCATTGGGCGAGAGATCATCGATTACATCATAAATACACTGATACAGATATCGACCCTCATAATGCTAAAAGAGGTTTCTTCTACTCTCACGTCGGATGGTTGCTGGTTAAAAAGTTGCCAGAAGTTAAGAATTATGGTCAGCAGATAGATATATCAGATTTGAATAACAATCCAGTTTTGAAGTTTCAGAAAAGGTATTTATTTATTTATTTTAATCTTGTTGCCTTGAATATCTTAAGAGTACTGGAATAAGTGTAGTGAAATAAATAATAATATGTTGATGCTCTAAGAGATACTAACGAAAAGGTACCTACATAAATATTGTTCTAAATTTCGGTTGGTTGGACGTACCTATGGCAGTAAAATTACGATACGTAGACCACCTTAGTCCTCATAAGGACACAGTATGATAGCTAACACGAGCATTACGTGTCAACGTGATGTCCCTGGTGCTTTTCAAGTATATACGCGATGGTTGACATTTTTTTTTAATAATTAAAAAAGGAATTGTATCCAGAGCCGTAAGCTCTGGATACAATTCCTTTTTAGCCCAACAGAAATTACATAAACTTAAAAAAAATTACAATTTCTTCACTGTGTTGGAAATAAATTTATATAGAGTCTTGAATAGTGCACGCCTTGATAAGATTTCTTCTAGAGAATTCGGTACTTCATTACTATGCTCTTGAATCTCGTGAATGAGTAATAATCTGTCTAGTCCGTATTTTCTATATTTGAATATAATATGATTCAAATCTTGGTAGACATTTTCCGTCATGTAGGTCGCCAGCTTCAAAAATATTTCCTATTTTAGTAATTTTTTTCTTATGAAGCGTCACATATTCCCTCCATTCTCAATTATTTTTATCAGTTTAATAGATATAAATATTAATTTCTTTAGTAACACTTAGTAACATTTTATTTTGTGCCTTACTCGTTTTACTTATTACTCGTGTGAATACTTACTCGTGTTATGTTAAAAAAATATCTATCTAGTTGAAATAAGTATAATGAAATGAAATGGAATTTATACAACGAACATTTAGACAATACACAATAATAAAAGGCTTAAAATATAACAAATAAAGTGCATATAATTAAAGATAAAACAAAAACATTACTATGAGTTAACAAGTAAATTTTCTTATTATCTTTCAGATACGCAATACCATTTATTGGTTTGGTATGTTTCATTATACCAACTATAATACCAATTTACTTTTGGGGCGAAAGTTTAAACAACGCTTGGCATATCTCCATGTTACGATACATCAGTAACCTGAATGCAACTTTTCTCGTAAACAGTGCAGCACACATGTGGGGATTTAAACCTTACGATAAGGGTATACTTTCAGCGCAAAACTTGTCCGTCTCCGTAGCAACGTTTGGTGAAGGTTTTCATAATTATCACCATGTCTTTCCATGGGATTATCGAGCGGCAGAATTTGGAAATAATAAGTTGAATTTGACGACCAAATTTATTGATTTTTTCGCTTGGCTCGGATGGGCATATGATCTGAAAACTGTATCCAAAGATATGATTACGAGAAGAGCCAGAAGAACAGGTGATGGAACAAATCTTTGGGGTTGGGAGGATAAGGATATAATAGAAGAAGAGAAAAGTGCAACGCTCATATTTCAGGAAAAGAAGTAGTAGTCGAGTTGCATGATTTATATAAATTGTATAAATATAAAAAAAAATCTTGTTGTGATATCGTACAGTTATACTTATTTATTAATAAAAAAATATACGAAAATGAAATATTTTAAAATATTAGACCACTTATAATATAGCGTATCATATATTATATAAATAAAAAAACAAATCCAGAGCTAATATTAAACAGGCAAATATGTAATCAAATAAAAGACATTAAAAGCCTTAAAAGGCCGTTCTAACCTTTGATAATGTAGCCTACAATAAAGCTTTCAATAAAAGTATTTTATGACTTTTCCTTAGCACCATTAAATTTTTTCTTACGCATACTTGTATCTCCAAATCCCATCTCTAACATATTGGATGATCTAAATACACTTATTTTAGAAACATGGTAACAAACTTTTAATAATACTTATCTCGTTTAAGTATTATACTTTACTATGTCAAATATTTTGACGTAATATTGAAATAGTGACGTTTAACATTAGACTGGGACTTAATATACTATGATTTATACTATTTACAGTGGAAGCATTGTGTAATCCACGTAGATTAAGTTGAATAAAATTTGCAAAAGTGTTTGTTTACAATACATTTTATTTAATTTTATTATTTTCCTTATTCGTAGTGTCAATCTTTGGTACGAATACAACACTCGGAAAGGTAAGGGATTCTTATATATAATTGTATTATTAACTGGATAGGGTACTCACGCGTATGTAGCAGGTAAGTAGATTATTTACTGAGTCTGGTCGAAATAGGCGCCAGCTCATTCCCCGAAACTTAGATGACACAATCTCTAGTTTTTTCTCTAAAACTAGAGATTGTATGTTCATTAATCATAAGTGATATATTTATTAAATTAAATTAAAATATATTATTTGGATGTTTACTGGGGAATTGGCAACGATGACCTATAAATTGACCTGACTTCATGGTTATCATGGTACTACACCTCCTCCTACACTGCTGTCCCGTCAGCGTATTCCAGTAGCGTTTTCCGGGACATCATAATATTATCATTAAAATATGTCATATCCTTTAAAAATATACACTGTTTTTTTTTTTGTAATAATATATTGTTTCAGACATCGCATATAAAATTAAAAGTTCTTACATCTAAAGGGAATGAAGTAAAATTAGGAGAACTTAAGCACCACGTAAGATTTTTCTAATGAAAATAATATTTATGTAACTTCTGACATAGCTACAAAGATGATACGTTTAAAATTTGTTTATTTTTATACAGGTATTAATTTTTAAATTATATAATAAATGGCGTTTATTATATAGAGCTTTTTGTTCTGGAAGCATAATTACAAAAGACAGAGTACTCACGTCAGCACATTGCTTTTACACGAACAGAAAACAGTAAGTTCATAACTTTTTTGTGGTAAAAGTAAGTAGTGATTAATACTAGTGGTCGAAATTCAAATGAGAATGCATTTCCCACGGTTTCAGGATATTTTTCCTGTTTTACCAGACGAAAAGAGCTTTGAATACTAGTAAGTATATTGTTATTATGAACATGCTATGCTTTAATGAAAGATTGTTTAAATGGTATGCTGCCTTTTTTATAATAAAAATGCTTATTCATGTTATATTTTATTATTTTCAGATATAAACATGATTTAAAATCACTAAAAGTAGTAGCTGGTATTTTGCATACTAATCATCAACATCCTGTGCATGACGATACACAACAATGGAGGAGAATAGATCGTGTGTTCTCTCAGAAATTTTACAGATTTCCAGCGTTTAGTCTTGCCGTTCTGGTTAGTTGTATAACTCTCCCAATTTTATGTTATGTAATTGAAATGGCAAACAAATTGACGAGCCACGTGATAGTAAGCAGTAACCATTGTTTATATACATCAATATCACTATGAATAACACTATGGACGTCAAGTTATCATGTGATACATACATGTTTTGCCATTCAAGAAGACTAAGATGTTATACTTATCCTGTGATTGCACGGATTAATCACACCCTACACGTGGTTGTCCATTTACCGGTTTTTTTATACATATTTCATACAACTATGTAGTTGTAAACCGCTGTGTTAACCGCGTTTACTACAATGTATTTATTAACCATAATACGTATTATAAAATTTAGTTATTTAAAATAGTTCTTGTTAATTTTTTTTATCAAGTACAGTCAACTACTTCTGTTAGCTTAAAAATATTAAATTCAACATTTTAAGAGTATATTGCACTGTACTATTGTTATGTCGAATATCTTACTCTTAACTAGACTGTGTCCAAACCTTGTCAGATATATGCAAATTCTGTAAAAACTTGTGATTATAGGAAATAAATAGATCTTGGATCTTTAATCAGTTTGTTGATATGATACCATATGCGTCCAGAGATAATGATTTTGATGGTGTTTGCACTGCTACATACGTCAAGCCTACAAAGGTATTTTTTAATTATTTTTCAAAATTTATTACCTTTATTTTATTTATAAATACTCAGATTGAAATTATGTTAACTCCAATGGTAGAATTTGTGTCTTGTAAGGTCAGTCGTCATCTTGGTGTGTTCGAAATATTGCGAACGTGAGGATTTAGTAAAGGCAGGTTCATTACTAAATTTGCTGCGTTCGAAAATTTGGAACAAAATTTAAATTTTGAGTATAAATTTTATTTTTTTGACCGATTGGATAGAACCTTCTAAAATTATTTTTGTGTAATATTGTCTTTCAACAGAGTTGGTCGACCAACAAGTATGTATTTATCGAAGATTATCAGATAATCCCCCGTAAAAAGTGCCAACGAATTCTTCTAAGATCCTGCAGACTGTATTACTGTACTGCTTATGATAACAACAAACTATCTTATGCGTCTTCTGTTAGTAAATGTTTTATTATGTAGATATATTAGTTATCGCACCCTACATTGTCTTGGTGAAAAGTGTGTTCTTTATGTATATATTTGCGTGTATTTGTAGTTGTTATATGTTGGCGTCTATAAGTTAAGGACTAATATTCTAGAGTTCTAGACAGTCATTGGCAATTTTAATTCTTGACGTCATGTTGTAAGCAGGATATTACATTTCGGAGAGTAAATTTAAATTCAACGTGGAATTAATTCAGGCAAGCTCCACCTTCTTTGTCTCCATTATCAAACATTTTTTTTATGTCAGCCAGTTTCAAATTCATGCACCACCTTTGGGGTCTAAGTCTGAATAGTAAAAGCCTTATATTCTCAAAATTTATTTATATTAACATTTATTTATAATTTCCAGCGTTGTTTTAATGTTCGATGTAAGTACCTATTAATTAAATTTTAGGAGTCAGAAGGCGGTGGCCTCATCTGTCATGGAACTGGGGACCCTGAAGAAAAAGATGAAAAGCAAGGGATCCTTGTGGGCGTGACGTCACTTATACATATTCGTTTACCTTCATTACATTCCCGAGTCGGCCTATTCCATAAATGGATTACGGATCATGGTGCCGCTACGTATTGTAGTAAAACCGTTTTGTTTATATCTTTCATAATAAGATTATTTTTATGGTGAGTAGCTAAATAAATTTGTTTGAATCTAAAAATATCTTTAAATAAATAATGAATATATTTTTACCAACGTTTAAATTATGTACGTACTATTTTTATATATTTCGTATGTAGTTACATAATAATAATGATTATCCTTTCAACTGTTAGCTGTCAAAATGACATTAATGCCCAATCTGTGAGACCAATTACAAGATTTCTCACTATGACATTCTCACATGAACATGGGGCTATAGGATCCGAGTCCAATAATTGGCTCCTTTGCAGATGATGTTAATAAAAATTTCTATTATTATTATATGATCAAATGTAGCTAATATTTTTAATTAATAGAATTCATTTAAAGATAATACAATTACCTATTGTAAAGACAATGCAACCTGTGACATAGTAAATCAAGGGGTTTATTTTACATATTCAACCTTTGAAAATTATGAAAGACGTTTTATATTTCACTCCTTGTTTTTTCTATAATTTTTCACTCCTTGTAGCAAATACTCAAATAAAACGAAATGAAAATAACGAAAATGAACCATATATTATTATGATAATGAAATTTAAAATCCCTTTGTAGCTAATAGTATTTGCATTGTTATATTGAATGAACTCGCGGTATGATGATACTCTGGTAAAGAAGGAACCCACTTTGACTCTGTGGCCGCTAACGACTCCTACTAAAATGCCCATGTTCGACTCCTTTGGGTCACCTGTGTTTGCGCATACTAACGGTCCGCCAGAATCACCCTATAACAGTTTAAATAATTTATATTAAAATTTTATGTAACAAAAGAATCAACCTTATTAAAGTATTATTAAATCATGTTATTCTTTTGTTACATTCTTATCCTCATTATGATTATACACGAACAAGAACAAGCGTTTTTCATGGACCTGACCTCATGATGTTCGTTCTATCATCCTTTGCTGGTACCCTGCCAACGTAAACCGTTAGTGCAGACGGGTGTATCATTCCATAATCATCCAGAAAATAAAAAAAATAACAACACCGTAAGAAGACGGAATATGTTAGGTCACTTTTTATATTTAATTGGAAAAGCAAACAAGCTGACGACTTGCCTGAAGGTAACCGTCGCCTCTCTGCCCGGTTAAAATAGTCATTCTTTTATGGATGATAATAGAATGATGCACCCGCTAACGGTTTACGCTGGCGGGGCACAGAGGAGGATAATAAAATGAGCATAAACTCAGATTCGTCAGCCCATCTTAACAAATGGCAATTTACCACGAAGGTTTGCAGGAAGAACCACGTGGAGGTCAAATTGACATGGTACATTGCTAGCAATGGAGATATTCATTCACGTTCTTAATAAACCAATTCCCCCCTAATAATGTAGGTTTCTGTGGGGGGTTGAATCAAGGAGTTAGGTTTACAGGGGTTAACTACAAATACTAGTATTAACATAACTATCGAAACTAACTAAATTAACTACCTTGCCCACATCTGTTACTATACTTGACGTGCAAACAAATTTTCTCATATTTTTTCTATGCATACGGCTACAGCTATATGACGGGATCAAATCTAAATGCGCTGTAAGTAGCTTATCTGATAATATCTGTAACAACAAATGTACTTAATATTAATAAAGTAGGGTTTTACTACTGCAACCAATAACTCTGGTAGATTACACATACGACACATTTTGTTCTTCGGGGCTAAAAACGCATTTTTAATAACGCCCAGAGTTAGTCTACCTACCGTGATTATCTTTAATATTATAGAGAATTACAGTATAAATACACTAAGATCTTATCATTAATGATGATAAATGATCATATTTCGTAATAATTATTTAAGGGAACACTCTGTACTATAAAGACACGTGTAGGCAACTATTTCCACATTCTATTTCGCCGAGTTATACTTTGAAAAAGTTTTGGTATTTATAACTCACAACATCTTTATATCAGTTTCGTATCAGCAGTTCGGTTGAAAAGTTAGATAAAGCAGTGAAACACACAGGATATGAAACATGACTTCTTAGTTATTCTTATCATAGTCCTACTGCATAACTCACGTGTTTTGTAATCGATTTTCGCCCATAGCCGGATACGAGACATTTTCCATTGTAATCTCTGTTTACCTCCGTGTAGGGGATAGCGGCTATGTGGTCATTGTAATCAAATGGAAGGAATATCATCTATAAAAAAATATAAAATGTATCTATGGCAGAGACTGTTACTTGGAATTTCGTCTGATTTTTTGGAGATTTTTTTTTTAATATGCTTATGTAGGTACGTTCTCGTGATTCGATCTCTTACGTGATTTTTGGTTTGTTACGAGGACAAATCACTCGGACGCAGCTGCGTGTAAAACTAGTTTTATTTGAATAAAAAGTCCCTGTTCCTTGTATTCTGATTATGAAAACCAAAAGAGAGGTCAAGTTAAAAAAAATTAAATACCAAAAGTGGATGGAGAGTTTAACAATAAGTCAGAACATATAAGGTCATAAAAAATTCACGTATGAAATGTTGTTATTCGCTACCTCTTGCGCGTGGAATTGAACTATTTTTTTATTAAAACAAATAAAACTTCTAAAACAAAAATAGCCTAAATTACTCTTTATAACAACTATTTGCGAGTGAAAATCCCGGGAAAATCGATCCAGCGATTTTAGACATTAGCAAGACAATGTGACGTACAAAGTGACATACATAACAACAATTTTTAAAATTAACTATTGCAATAAGTTCCGTATATATACGGTACATATACGGTATTTACAGCTTTGCATCTACCTACTTACGGTATTCATATGCGTTTAGTGAAAAGATCTTAATTTGAAATTACAAATAGACACTTCAATATTTTTTATATGTAGATAAAAAATTGTGGGTAGACATACATACAAAAGTCATAAAATTTTTGAGCTCCTCAATTTTAATTAACAAAAAATACAATTTATCTTATGAATTAAATTTTTTCTAACCTGCATTTGGTTGACTTCAGTTACTAACTTTTCATCACTAACTTTACAATGGACACCACAGCTGAGCAACTTTTAAAAAACATGGATGACTTATCAACCTTGTTCAACACCCGAATGGAAGAGTTTGAGAAGGGCATGCAGCAACAGGCTCCGTCTTCCTCAGGTACTACGGTGAAAGGATTATCCGCCGATTTTGCCTCATTTAAAGCGTTTGTCTGGAAGAGTTTTGGACTTATCAAGGCACAGGTGGAGATGCTTCAACAGTCTCAAGACCGTCTGGATACCCATTCACGAAGGAAGGTCTTACTTTTTCATGGTGTGCCTGAGACTTCTGGCGAAGATACTTCTCAAGTAATCTTGGAGTTGCTCAACGACAAAATGAAATTAGACAGTGTTCGTCCTGATGCCATCGAGTCATGTCATAGATTGGGAGCTAAAAGGGAGGCTGCTCGGCCTGTTCTTGTGCGGTTCACATCTTTACAATCCCGTTCAATGGTTTGGAACGCTAAAACTATATTAAAGGGCTCCAAAACATCCGTTTCCGAGTTCCTAACAAGATCAAGGCAATATGTCTTTGTTGCGGCTCGTAACCATTTCGGCATGAAGAAATGTTGGTCAGCAGACGGTAATATAGTTGTTCTTCTCCCTAACAAAGAGCGTAAGAAAATAACATCTATGGGTGAGTTGAAAACACTCATCTTGCAGCACCCTAAAAACTCATAAACAGCTAGTTATGTGTTGGTGTTGTGATGCTATTTAATTCGGTCGGTTTATTGTCACTATTTAATTTTTATATTCACTCTGATTTAGGGTATATTTATATAATTTATGAATGTCTTGATTTTTGTTAAATTACCGACTCACGTCTATTATTCATCAGTTCTTTGTAAGTACAAATTACAATTACAAATACAGTTCTGTTTTTTTTTTTTTTTTTTTTTTTTGTTTTATTTATCCGTAATGGAAAGGCAAAGAGTCTAAGCCCATACAGCCGTTGTCGTTGGTATAATTTCTGTATTTTAATTTCTTTTTTCCTTCTTCAGATATCTTCTACTGTGGAGGCAATATATTCATAAATTGGTTTGTATGTTTCTTGATTTTTAAGTAAAGTCTGAATAGTGCGCGGGATATTCAGATCCTTGTAAATGGACATTAATTTGTCAATTAGAGCTAAACGTTGTATATTGAATTGTTGACAATCGAAGAGTAGATGATCCAGAGTCTGTACTTCTCCGCTTGAACAATAATTACACACTGGACTAGATATCATTTTCATTCTACACAAGTGTTCATTAAATCGTCCGTGTCCAATTCTTAAGCGACTTAATGTCGTATAAAATCTTCTAATTTTAATTTTTCCTTTAGTAAACCATGGGGATTTAATATCCTGTTGAATTTCTTTTAACCATTTTCCTTTAATTTTAGTAGATTCATCCCAAAGTTTTATCCACTGATTTTTAATCCTTTGCTTTATTTCTATAATAACGTCTCTGTCCGGAATTTTTATTCTCTTCTCTATTTGATTGACAGGACAGTTAGTTATTAAACGAGCTAATTCATCTGCTTTCTCATTACCAATCACTCCAATATGGGAAGGAACCCAAATTAGAATAATATCTTTATGTAATTTATGTTTCAGGTCATGCATCTTACTGCGAATACTTTGAATTACAGAGGAAGCGGTTAATTTATTACGAGAATCGTTCGAAAGAGCCATCAAAACACTCATACTATCTGTTATGATTAACCATTTGTCACAGTCAAAAGTCTCTTTAATGTAGTCTAAAGCCTTAATAATCGCATAAGCTTCTGCCGTAAATATACTTGCATTTTTCGAAATTTTGGTACCACTTGCCATTTGTTCTGTGCCATCATATATAGCAATGGAAACACATTCTTTATTTTTTGCTCCGTCGGTGTATATTTGCCTATATGTGTTCCACCGCGACAGGTATTCATATACGTCATATTTATCTTTTAATGTTTTATTAATATTTATAGAAATTTGAGAATAGAGGGCATCATATGAGTATCCATAATAACTCGGGGATGATTTAATATAGATATTAAAATTACGGACCCAATCAATAAATTCACTAACCTTTTCAGAAAGAAAAGTTTTTGGAAATGAAGAATCTATTAGTTTAATTAGCAAGGTATTTTTATTTACAGAAAGTAATTTCAACAGAAAGGTAAGTTTTAAAAATTCAAATCGTAATCTTAATGGTGATAAGTAACACTCTACTTGCATAGAATTTATAGGTGAGGTATTCATAGCACCCAAAATTAATCTAAGATTTATATTTTGAATTTTTTCAAGTTTTTCTACATAAACATTGTATTCACAAAAGCAAAAGAAAGCATATTCAAAATGTGTTCTAACTAACGATTTATATAACATCAATAGAGTTTTAGGATCTGCTCCCCAACGAGTGCCTACTAATGATCTAAGAATATTAGTTGACATCATGGCTCGATCTGCTAAGCAATCTACATACTTTTTCCAACACATTTTGTTTTGGAATAAAACGCCCAAAAATTTTACTTCCGATTCTATTGGTATAGTGTATCCATTGTATGTAACAGATAAATTTGAAAGATCTAAATTAAGATTATTATTCTCAAATAAAATCATTTTACTTTTCGAAGGACTAATTTCTAAATCAAGATATGAAAAATATACAGATAGATTACGTAGAGCATTGTTTATTTTGTAACTAATGTCTGTTAAATTATTTCCATAGCAATATATTGCTAAATCATCAGCAAATTGAAGATTATGTACTTCTCTACCCAATACTTCATTTAATCTATGGACGTACAATATGTACAAAAGAGGACTTAATATACCGCCTTGACACACTCCGATATGCGATAACCGAGGTCCAAGACATGTATTATTAGTGAGCTTCACATATACTTCACGACCATTCATAAAATTAAATATCCAGCGTACTAATTTATTTGATATTCCAAGTGAAGCTAGAATGTCAGACATAACATTATGATTGATATTGTTAAAAGCACCGATAATATCCAAAAAAACACCAGCAAAATGTTGCCTATTTTTTTTAGTTCTATTTATGTCCATATATAAATGACACAAACTTTCGCGAGCCGAAAATCCACGTCTAAAGCCAAACTGATTCGGCGGTAATATATTTTGAGATTCGATAAAAAATTCGAGACGTTGTTTTATAAGTTGTTCAAAAATTTTTCCAAAACAGGATGTTAAAGTGATAGGTCGATATGAATCAGCTTGTGAAGGATTCTTATTTGATTTTAATACTGGTATTAAACAATCAGTTTTCCATTCATTAGGAATAATAGAATTAAGCCAAAGTAAATTTAGGATATTAAGAAACATTTCTAAATTGTTTTCATTTAATTTTTTTAGCATTTTATATGACATATTATCTAATCCTACAGCTGTATCCTTCCTACTTTTTACTGCTGTTTGAAGTTCTACTAATTTAAAGGGCTGATTAAAAAAACTATCAGTATGTTTAAAAGTGTCACCTATATATAGAGGTCTTGAGACAAAATCAGGAGTATATTTGTGCAAAAAATCGTCAATCCATGGCATTAGATTGTTGTTATTACCTATATAAGTTTTATTTGAATATTTTTTTTTAAATTTTCTCAAATTTTGCCAAATGGTTGAAATTGGTGTCAATCTATTTAAATTTGAGCAGAAATTTTGCCAGCTTTGTATACGTACATTTCTGATTGTTAATTTTTTTAGTGCTTGCAGTCTTTTAAATGTAATATAATTGTCTATGGTAGGATCTTGTTTAAAATTGACATAAGCATTTTTACTATTTTGAACAGCTGATGCGCATTCTTCATTCCACCAGGGAAGAGGACGATGTTTATATTTTTTAATACTGTCACCTTGTGGATGCGACAATTTTTTCTGTATTGATGACTTTCTGCCTAATACTATATCAACGGTGTCTTGCATAATTTTACAGAAGCGCTGATAAGTGATAATGGGATCATTCTCATTAATAGAAAAATCCTGTAATTTTGTATTAACTAAAATACTATATGTATCCCAGTTTATTAGACGCAAATTACTGTGATGAATTGAAACAGTACCATTAATTTGTGCTAAACTATGACATGGAGAATAATCATTTCCTACGGTTAGTTCGGTCACTGTAGGGAGATGATAACTACCTATGGGGTCATCGTGTACATACCATTCA